GCCCTTGAGCGAGTCTCACCGGCACACACGTGTGTGCGCTGCCCTGTGACGCACCGACGCACGCAAAAAGACCGCCGAAACGGCGCTCTCGCCCTCCCCTCCTTCCCCGCACACAAACCCACCATTTCCCACCTTTGGGCGTGCCAGGCAGGCAGGCACCACACGCAGCCGGCGAAGACCAATTCGTTCTCTCATTTCATTTCATTCACCACCACACATGAGTGAGGGAAAAAAGAGCGTGAGGAAAGACATGGATGGGGTCATCTCTCCGGAGGGAGAGAGAGAGAGAGAGAGAGGATGACCATGGCACGGCAGTCAGGCAGCCACAGACGAGGCACGGCGAGCAATGCGGGCCGGGCTCTACCTGTCTGGGCGGCTCAAGGCAGCGGTAAGCTAGTATACATGAGCCAGGCCCCAGACGCACACTCAATGACCCGCCCATCCGCCCACCGGCCCACCTCGCCAATTAATTGAAGTACTGGACTGACAAACAGCAGCGAAGAAAGTGAGTGGCTGACTCACTCACAACAATACGCACCCACCCTCCCTCCCCCCCATCTGTCCATCCACCCACCCATGCCACGTCCAGGTCTCTCTGAGGCGGACGGGCGGCAAACGCCACACAACACAGCCGACAATACCCTCCCCCACCCCTCCCTCCCCGATATTGCTCATCGTTCCACAAGCCATCTGCCCTTCGTCAGCACGCCCACAGAGAGAGATGTAGAGCACGATTGCAGCACGGCCCAGCAGCCACACCCGTAGCAAGATGCAGCCGGGACCGTGAGTGCATCGCAGCTCAGGTCTTTATGTGGACGGCTGTTAGCGACTGAATTCCTCCGACTCAATTAGATATATAGAGTGGGTTGGTCTCTCCTCCTTGTTGATGGTGATGCTGACGTTGCTGTTGGGTGGCTGGCGGCTGGTGCTGGTGTGGGTGTTGGTGTAGGGTGGAATGGCTGGTCCATCGACGGGTAGTAAGCTCCACGTGTGTCGTTGAGGGGGATCATCCACCTGTTGCAACACACACACACACACACACACAGATACAAGGGGACGGTGGGTACCGCTGTGTGGGTGAGGGCGTGTGTGTCGCTTACACATGGTCCATGTTGCCGATGAAGAGGTAGTTGTTGTTCCAGCCACCGAAAGACAAATTCGACACTTGAGCTGCCGTTCACACAAACCAATCACACAAACAGCACATGTGTGTGCAGATAGCAGATTGCGCGTCTCAGTGAGCTGCCGTTGCTCACTTCCAGTGTAGAATTTGCCGAGCAGCCGTCCGTCCGGTGCGAAGACCTGCACGCCATCGCCCGCCCCAACGTACAGCCGTCCCATGGTGTCGACCTTGATGCCGTCTGGGATGCCCCACTTGTTGTCAGGCGATTCCACTACACACACACACACGGCAGACAGGCACGTGTGTGAAGGTTTCTGCCCTGGCTGCGAGTCTCTTGTGTGCGTACCGACAACGAGGACATCCCCGCCGATGAGCGTCCTGTTGTTGACGACGTCGAACACACGAATGTGGTGCGGCCGCTTTGGATCGATGGTCACGGGCGAGCAGTGAATCGCACCTGGAGGGAGACCACACAGACAGACGGGCACAGACAGTGGCATTGGAGAAAGAGCCAGCCATGTGGCAGTACGCCAACGTACCCGAGTCGACAATGTACATCTTGGTGTAGTCCGGTGAGAAGGCCAGGCCGTTCGGGCGGTCGAAGTCGTCGGCCACCACGTGCATCTCGCCTGTCCTCGGGTCAAACCGGTACCTGATCCCATAAACACATATAGCGACCACCAGTCAGTCCATCTGTTGTTGGAATGTGCACGTGAGTGAGCCCTTACACGAAGTTCGGCAGCGCGGGGCAGTTTGCCTGTGGGAACTGCGCACACCCGTACTCAGGATCGGTGAACCTGACACACGCACACCCAGAGAGAGCGAACCGATAAGTATTGGAACGGCGGCAGCGCAGGTCAATGTGCCGTTGTCACCATATGGATCCGTCTGGATGCGCCACCAGGTCATTTGGCGAGTTGAGGGGGAATCCTCGGTAGGAATCGACCAGCGTCTGCACATTCGTCGGGTCGTGCAGGGGCGCGTACGCTATCCTGCGACCTGCACACACACACCCCGCCCACACAAAGCGCGAAAGGCCGCATCAACCACATCATCACACCCGCCCTCTCCACTCTCTGCCTCTCTTACCCGTTGTTTCAGCGGTGAGGAGGTAGGATCCCACAATGAGCTGCCCGTTGGCGTGTGACGAGGGCGACCTGAAGACGGAGAAGGTCTCGTCTGACCAGGGGGTGGGGAAGCTGATGATCGAGTCCAGCTGCCGCTGCGTGGGGCAGTTGCCGTCCGTCAGCAGCAGCCGGTCAAAATAGGGGTCGAAAACCAGACCCTCCGAACGCATGTCCTCCTCAAAGCCAACATGCCTGACACACACACAGGGACAGTCACAGTCACATCATCGATGGCGATGGTGTGCTTTCCTGCGCGTCTGGGTGGCTCTTTCCCCTTAAGCAGTGTATCTGTCTGGCTGTCCCCTTCCCTGTGATGCCCGTTGTGGCTCACCTCATGCACTCCTCGCCCACGATTTCCGAGAACTCGGGATCTATGGCGATCATCTTGCACAAACTACCGAACAAGGCGCTCTCACCGGCTGCCCACGCTGCCCTCAGCGCAACAGCGACCACCACATAGGGCAGCCAACGCCACACACATCTCTCCATCACTCACAGCGCTAATCTGAAAAGCTGACGCGTCAGACGTGCTTGGGGAAGCACAAATTCGATACTGTTCGAACGATATGGTGTCCGATGAGGACGATGCCGAGCCAACGAGACTCCGAAAGCGTTTCTCTCAAGGTAGAATCCAAGCTCGCGTGGGGGGTGTTCCCCTTTCATGGGGGGAGCCTCCCGTCTCACTCTTTCAGGTATGCACATTTTACATTTCCACATTGGCAGAGGTCCCTGATGCGCCACAGGAGACGGCGAGAATTGGGGACAGGAGACGGAGATATTTTTTTTCCACGCCAACGTGCGAATTCATCTTCCTCAGCTTCTCTGCAACCTCATTCAAGACGGATGGCTCCACTGTGAGTCCAGGCCACACCTGAGCACCCGCGTCCAGCCATCATATGGACGGCTGGAGGTGATGCCGCTGCTGTCGTGGCCAAGACGCTATCCGATGCGACATCAACGCCCTTCGCCGAGAGGAACTGTTGATGCTCAACAAGCACCTGAACGGCGACGGCACCATCAAGGACAAGGACACGCACAAGAAGGACTTCGCGGCGAGGCTCAGGCTCTATGGCTACTCCCAGAGGTACAGGTACACACTGTTGGTAGACCAGTGTGTGCATCCATGCGGTTGTGCTTTGTGTGTGGCATGGTGACACCCGACCATCGTAAAATCTGTGAGAAGGATGACGAACGCAGTGGGTGCAGCCTGTGCTCGGCTTCCTGCCTATCTTGTTGGGCGGTGGCGGCGGTGGTCACAATGGGGGAAATGGTGGCGGTGCTGAGGACGCCGTCATGGATCGGTGAGAGAGAGTGAGGGATGCGGTCGCTGCGTGTGAGGGGAAATGCACCTGTGTGTGTTGGTGTTTGTGTTTCTGTATGCGTTGTTGGTGCAGTGAGGGTGGCGAGGAGGGCGGCGGTGATAACAATGAGGACACCGAGATGGAGGAGTGGGTGTGACGTAATGTCACTCGTGCACACAAGTCACTGTTTTGCGTTCGCCATGTGTGCGTATGTGTGTTAGCTGCTGCTGCGCACGAGGTGGGCCAGGCCGCGATACCAATATCTTACCTCCGCCTCTTTCCTATGTCGGCGGGAAAGCCGGCCTGACGGAGTGCGGCGATATCATTCAATCGGCAAAATACCTATCGGCGGAGAAAACATGGGAGTCATGATGGGACCCCAGCCCTGAAATGGTCAGGAGAAAGGCGAGCACTTTATGCGCATCTGTCCATCTGCCGCTTCCATTTAGGAGGGGCTACCACTACTCCTCAAAACATACGTGGAGCTTCACTCCCCAGACACAACGTCGACAGGCGTGACGAGGCTATCACCATCCTCCAAAGAAGGCATCTGAAGAAGTAAGGAGAGCAAAGGGGCTCCCTCGCCCTTCACAAGCGTTGCCGCTCTTTCTGTCGCTCTTGTCGTTTAGTCCGGCAAAGTTGCGTGCGTGGATGTTTGGGAGGGGTGATGTTAGCGACTCCAAGCTCGGCAGACACCTACAGACTCACAGAAAAAACAGAGAACCTCAGTGTCTGTGGGCCCTACTGGTGAATCACTGCTACGAAGACGTATGCGCCATCATCGAAGGTGAAGGTGAGCAGGCTTTAAGTTTCATCGCGTTTGTGTTCACAGAATGGCCTTTTGTGTTTGCAGGGCCGATCACATTATTGATATATAGAGTGAGACATCAGTAGGGTGGTGGTGTACTGCGTGGCGGCCGTCGGGCTATAGGACTTGAGGCGAGGAAGGCGTGGTTGCAGGTCAGCAGACGTCAAGCAACCATTCACCATCCACCTGCCTTGCTTGTGTCTCACAGCGCTACAAATCAGAGAACGCCTCGACGTGGCAGCAAGATGTTCTGGCCCTAATAGGGGACCAGCCTACGTAAGACCTGTAGCATAGTTATTCTCGTTTGCTTTGCATAGATACAAACCCTGTACCCTGGCAAATGTCTCCGATCTGCCACAGAACAGGTAGGCCGAGAGAGGAGAGAAAGAGATAGCGCGCGCAGATTGCTTTGTCTGCCACAGCGACAACGGTTGACAGAGAAGCCGGCAGGAGATAGAGGAGGATCTGTTTGGTGACAACCCGTGAGCAGAAACATACAAACGAATGCAGCCATCTACTGTGGTCTCTGTCAGGTTGCTAGTCCCTGATCCGTCGGCTCCAAACCATCTGCCGACGCGCCGCTCGTCGCGCCGGCGCTCATCCAAGCGGTAGAGTGTCATCTACCGTAGACGCAGCAAACAGCCGCGCTCCAACATGCCCGAAGAAAGACTCGCGAGCAACCGACAGAGCAAAGGTGCGAGTGCGCAAGCATTTGCCACTCCATGTCTCGACTTCTCTCCCTTGTCATATCAGTCGCGTTTGGCGACAACGTCAGCCACGAGAGAGGGAGCGATCTTCTTGGTGGGTGATGCGTCTTCTTGTCAGATACAGATGAACGATCCGAATTCGCGTTCGTGAGTGCACAACGGCGCGGTGTTTAATACGGCCCGGTAAGGAAGGAGCGCATGGAGAGATGAGAAGCAGCCATACTCTCGGTGCAATGGGCGGATGGGAGTGCCGTGTGTGCTGCAGACAGCTTGCAAAGCGCATGCTTGCCACCCAGACCAGGAGTGCTCCGCAATCGCCCGAAAGGCTCGGCACCACGACACTTTGCAGCGAGGTAGATAAAATCGATGCATGTGATGTGACGCCTTATGTATCTGTGTGTAAGTATCTGTGTAGGTCAGGCTCCGTCTCTGCGCCGCCCCACACAGGTACCTCATGTCTGTGAGTGTCAACTTCCAAGTCGTCACACATATGCGTCATGGAACATGTTTGGCAGCGTGAGCTCAAGGGATCTCGAGGAAGAGCGGACGGGTTTTTCTCTCAATCGCCGCCTACATTTTATATTTGTGGCTCGTGTCTCCGGCTGGCCCGCAACCGAAGCCTCACGAGCAGTATGTGATCATCAACGAGCCACGCGTATTCCCCGGCGCAGCGAGTGACAAGGGCCACAGAGGATGGCAGCCGAGGCGATTGGAAGCTTCTCCAAGCCACTGAGGGGCAAAGCACGCATTAAGGTGGTAGTGGAGGGGCAAAAAGGCCGTGGAATTGTTTGCACTCTGGGAGGTGGATCTGTGTGCAGAGCACTCCTTCACTGTGTGACGAGCGACGCCTCTTCAAGAAGATCGGAAAGCCAGGGACCGCCAAAGCACGGTACAATCTGAGCAGCAGAGCACCGTCGATGGCACTGAAGGCGACGACACCATACCCCGAACGAGAAGACCGAGAGGCACCGAGGGCGCCCCAAGAGGTTTGAGCTACCTGGACAACACCGGGCGCATCACCAACATCAAGAACTTCAAAGCTTGGGCGCAGAATGTCAGAGGCGACCAGGATCAGGTGAGGACAAAGGAAATGGGTGATATGGGTGGGACAGGGCGACGCTCACCGTTGTGTGTTTGCTTGTATGCAGATCTCGAATCTGGTCACGGCGGAGCGAGGCAGGGGAGGAGGGAGACGAGGATAGTAAGTCCCGTCTGCCATTCCGGCGGGCCTTTCCCTGGTACGCACGAACAAGAGAGAAAACCCAGTGAGAGAATGGACGGGCAGACATGACGGACGGGTGAGGGCCTGGCACCATACACGTGCTGCGTCTTTTCTTTGTTGTGTTCCAGTGACACGTTTGATCCGCTCAGGGTACTACGCGTTCGACGCCCACACGAGATGTGTCAGCGAGACGGGAGAGGGACATGATGGGGGGCCGCTGGGGACGACCTGGCGATGCGTGAACATCTGACTGCGTGTGCGTGCACGCTGGCTGGCGGTGTCCGCTGGTGTAGGAATGAGAGAGAACAAATCCAATGAGACATGGGGGCCTTTCGCATTGTCTGTGTCTCCTTTATCAGGCGCCCGAATCGCTGCCTTCATTTTATATCGGCTGAGAGTGTAGAGAAGCGACGGACGTGTTGAGCGTGTTTCGTTTCCATCATCAATTTGATGGCGGAGACACACGTATCCGATATCTTGAGCACGAAGTGGACCGTGAGCACACACACGATACACAACATACACATGGAGATACTAACCTTTCCCTCTTTGTGTATCTGGTGTATGTGGTTCCTTTCTGTCTGTCAGTATGAGTGGCTGTGCATCCACACACTCATCCCCATCTGGGCCCCCCAGCTGTGCCCCGAGCTGCGCACTCCGCTGCACGTGTGGACCAAGTGCCGCATCGTGCCCATCTGCCGCCTCATCCAGGCCGCACCCGGCCAGCCGCTCATCAACAACGGGGCCGTGAGCCTCTACCACTAAGGCGGCAGATAGCTGTTCGGCCTCACCAACGCGCAGCGGCAGGCATTGCTGCCGATGGGTATGGGTGCGTGACCCACACGCCCAATGCCCTGCAGCGACGCAATATGGCCACGGCACGGCTCGGTGGCAGTCAGGTGGACAACGCGTACAGGGCGTTCGTCCAGAATGTGATCAACACCTGCGCCCACCCGTAAGTGGCTGTGTTGCAGACACGGGGAGAGGGGAGGAAGGGCTGAGTGACGGCCACTCGTATAGTGTATGTGTGTGTATGTGTGTGTGGATGCTTCAGGGGTCAGAGTTCGGTGTAGAAGTTGTGGACCAGGCGTACCTGCTGACGCACCCGGGGCAGTGTATGGGCCTCGTGTGTGCGCTGTTCGGGAAGCGCCGCATCAACGGCACCATCCCTGGCCAGCAAAACTTCACCGACGACCAGCTCGACTCCATCCTGGCCTAGTAAGCTCCCTGCACACACACATCACCCTACAGCACAGCCCACCACACCGTATGGTGTGTGTATCATGATGTTCGTTGTCAGCCTGGAGGCGCACTGGCCGCCCGACCCGGATGGCGACCGTATCAGCCAGGCCATCGAGGTGTGTCACCAGGAGAGGCTGCGGCGCCCTCTTGGGCGGCTGCGGCTGTCCGACGACGTGAGGGAGACCGAGGTGATAATGGGATACTAGTTGGTGCCAATCACCCCTTTGTAGTGCTGAAACACGGCACGGTCAGTGCACGTGCATACACACCCCTGATCGTATGGACGCACACGGCATGTGTGCTGTTTGCCTACACGTCAGCTGGCGTCATTTGGTGACCCGACCCTCCATCAGATCGTCCAAGGCCCCCCATTCGTCGGCGAGAGCAATCGCCAGAGGGCAGAGCGGTACTTCACTGGAAAAGTAAGTGCCAGCAGTGTCTCTATACTGTGTGTGTACTTCGTGTGTTGCGGGATGTCGACACGGCAGACGCGAGCGTTGAGAAGCTGACCTGCCCGTCCAATCGTACATTCGTCGAGCGGGACTGGCGTTCTTGGCGATGGAACTGGCAGTTTTGGCGATGGGATTGGGGCCTCTGGCTATGGGGGCATGATGACGTTCCATCCGTCGAGGCGGCTGTTTCACCAAGCAATATCGGTGGGTGACGAGTCTGGACCGGGGTTGGTAGGCGCATTGGAGAGGCTGAGGCGGTCGGTCGGTTGCTTAGTTGGTCCGTCAGTGTACACAGATGTGTGTTAGGTGGGGGAGTAGATTGACTGGCTGGCATGAGTGGTTGGGATAAAAGAAGCGCTGTCAGTGCCTGTCACTCACCACCCACAGACAGACAGACAGGCCGATGGGGAGGAATGGCGAGGCGGCTGTGTCCGGCGTGAAATGGCTGCCTACATTTTATATTGGCCGATTTGTGTCTCAATCCTTCCGCCTGTATCTGATCTGATCTGCCTGTCTCTCCCGTCAAGTTGCCCAGCTTCGGCAGCGTACATCCTATGGTTCGCCGCATGTGAGGTGCCAAGAGAGTTTAGGGTATGCACATACGTACCACACGAGTGAATGGCCATGCGATGCGATGGTGCGTGTCTCTCATGCAGGGAATGTCGTAGGCGGATAGATTTGCAGTCAAGGATGAGCGCCAAGAAAGGAGGGCCCCAAAGCAAGGAAAAAAGAGAGGTCGCTCGCGCCGTGAGGACAATTTAGGAGACACACAAGAAGGGTAAGGTAGATGATACTTCACAAGTAAGTCCTCTGTTAGAGAGACACACTGTAACACACAAAACGACAGACACTCTGTCCATGTGTCTAGGAAGGAAACCATTGGCGTGCTCAATCCGATGCTTCAGGGCGAGAATGGCAAGCCATGAAACTGGACTATGTGCCATGACGACCAGTGGGTGAATGGTGAACCAACGGATGAGCGACTAATCTGTTGTGTACATGTGTTCATGTCAATGGTGTGCAGTGTCAGATTTCTGTCCAGAATGCGGCATTTCCTCTACGACATAAAGTGTCGAGTGAAAGGAACAGGCGAGAGGGAGCACTTTGACAACTGGCAAGAGACGAGGTGAAGAGGTACCTGTCACCGTGTGGTCACCGCCATGCCTTGCATGCCCCTCATGTCTCCTCTTACTGTCAGGATGTTGACAATGGAGCAGGCCAGATGGATGTTAGACACCAATGGTCAGACTCAGACAGGTGAGACGACCCACGGTCTCAGTCGTTGATCCTTCGGATACACGGATAGATCTATGTACGCCATTGGTGATCATGCCCTCATTGTTGTCTGCCTGTCTGCCTGCCTTCCTGCCTGTGCTGATTCAGCGAGTCGGAGCCGACACACCTGTACGGACAACGGAAAACGGCGGAAAACGGATCACCCGCGTTTTGTCTTCGGCGCCGAGGAGAACTCGTTTGAGGTTTTCTCGGCGTTTGAGCGTCGATTGAGGAGCTACCATCCGCCCTCTATCGGCCCACGGCCCCAGGGCCATCCAATAAGCGCATTCTTTGCACATTTTGCCGCCCCTGCCCCGTTGCTCGACGTCCGAGCCCCTTCCCCACCCCCCCTATGGCCCGCCTGCCGGCGGACGCCGGCAAGATAGCGGCCCGATGCCTGGCGAGGGTCGCCAACCATCCAGATGCCTTCCCGCATCTGGACATGGTGACCAGCACTGGGATACGGCTGACGCCGGGCATTGTGTTTAAGGACTTCCGGAAGGCCTACCACCACCTGCTGTGGTTCGAGACCATCACGAAAACCTCCACGAAGCCGGGAGGGTCGCACACAGGGATGGGAGGGAGGGTGGATGGGATGGTCCAGGATGCGTTTGATGCATCTGTGCATCTGCCAATGTGTCTCTGGTGTGTTTGTGTGTGGGTCTTGTGTGTGGTGCAGTACACCGTGCTGCCCGAGTACTACATTCCTATCGTCACGCAGTACCTCCAGATGACCAACGACGAGTTGCGCACCACAGCAGAGTGGAATGTAAGCGCAGAAACGACGCACCAGGTACACACATGAATGCACTCTGATCACTCCCTCTGTGTGTGTCTGCTGTGTGTGGTTCCTTTCTGTCTGTCATACGTGGCTCGTGTGACAAAAGTTGGGCGTGTGGGTTGGCGCTTCTGTTTTGTCTCAAATCAGAGATTTGAGCAGCATGGCAATTGGCTAGAGGCGGCCAGGCAGGAGAATGCTTGGCCGCTGCTATCATATCGGCCAGCAAGGGGATGTGCGACTTATGAGCTGATTGTTTCCGATGTGCGACGCGTCTTGATCATTCGAAACTCAGACAAAGAGATCCTCGTGGATGTACAGCGACAACAGTCGATCTGTCCTCACACGCAGACGCGTACACACACATCAGACTGCGAGACACACAATCAGCCGAACGTGTGAGGGTCGCCTGCGCACACACCACAACACACACAGACACACACTCACGACACGCATGTCCATCGATCGATCGATCTGACTCGTCTGTCTACCTTTCCTGAGTTTTGTGTTGAGTTGGGGTTCTCTGTAGTCGATGGCCGTCCTCTCCCTCATTCGCCTCGGCCGTCGCTCCTCTCCCCCTGTCCGACCCCGACCATCACAGCTCGCCCCCTGCTGGTGCTGGTGCTGGCGTTGGTGTGTTGGGGCGGAGGATGACGGCGGTCTGTGTCGCTTGACGAAGAAGGGATAGAAGTCGAGCGGGCCGTCTGCATTTGAGCGGCGGCGCAGCTTGGCGGTGAGTTTGAGGGATAGTGGGCAGTAGTTGACGCCTCGGCTGTGGTTGCGCAAGTGATAGCGACATCCATCCACACACTCGCTGACCTCACGCTCATCCTCACCAACATCGTCTCTGCACACACACAAACTCACACACCCATAAGCACACACACACAATGTCTCGGTGTCTCACTTTTGGCTGACCTGTGCTGCGGTGAGTCTGCATTGTCATTGTTGCCGTGTGGGTGTTGTGGTGGGTCGGTGCGATGGTGGTCGGGAGTGTCATTGATGTGCTGTGGCGGCGTGTGTGGGGCCGGCTGCTGCTGCTGCTGCTGCTGTTCGTCTTCATCATCATTGTCATCATGTTCCTGCATTCGGTTGGATGGGATGGGCGAGAGGGCGGGGCGATACCGACGGTGGGGATTGTGATTGTTGTTGGCGGTGAGTCGCCCCACACGAACACCGCTAGCCGTCAGACTGCCGAGACGATGATGGTGGGCAACAGGCAAAGGGGATGCCACACGAACCTGACACATACAAGAGACACGCAGTGAGTGCGCATCGGTGTCTTCGTGTGTGGTTGGTTGACGTGTGATTGATTGTGTTGTCCCCTTCGCTGCCGCAGCACATGATTCTCGACCACCTCACTTTGGGTGAGTGAGTGTTTGTCTGTGTCACGAGTCTGTTGATGGCGCTCCTCTGCGCGTCGATGATCCGCCTGGAGTAATCGATGTGAACCACACAGACACAAAGATGAGCTGTCAGGTGTGTCGGCTCCCCTGATTCACTCACTCGTAGTATTGTGCGATGCTGTCAATGTCGCGCGGCACGCCCGCCCGCCGCCAGCGATACTGAACTGCACCAGACGGCGGCAATGGCGGCCTCACACACCACTCATCATCACGATCATGCCACTTCCGAGACACACAACCGCGAACGGTCACAAATACTAGTCACTCGTCCAACGACAGAGAGGAATTGATTGTCCAAACGATCGATCGGTGTACATGTATAGTCGGCAATGCAACGGTCATCAACAAATGGGCTCAGTCAATCACACAGCCGGCAACACAGATCGCTCTCGTGATTCATGTTTCGTCAGCTGCCGCCTGTCGCTGCTGACCTGGCCCTCCCTCTCCATCTCACCTCGTGGCCGCCTCGACCCATGGCACTTCTGAGCGGCGATCTGCCGCAAAATTGAAGGGCAACAATACAATACCAGCAGACAATGAATGCGGCTGACTGCATAGTATTGTCACCTCACCTTCCCTTGGAGCCTTCGACCGCAGCCTCCAGTCGCCGCCGCCTGGCCGCCTCCTGAACAACGCATGAAGGACCATACAGACATAAGTAGCACCACCACAAAGAGGCTGCAGCCGACTGACCTTCTTGTTGAGAGCGGCTTCTCGGCTGACGAGTGCATCGAACAGTCGTGTGAAGTCATCGTCATTGTCGATGGCACTGCGGAGAGCATCCTCGAAGGCCGACCGGACGGCTGAGGGAAGGGCCGGCAGGAGAGGAAGGATGCCGGGCACGTGATCCAGGCTCTGGCGGATGACCCCGGCCGTCAGACGGATGACTCGGCTCTGAGCTGCGATGGATGCGGGGGTTATGGTGGTGAGCCTGCCGTCGAAGAGCTGTTTGAGCATGTCGTTTGTGTCCCGCTTGTCCCCGAGGATGGCCTTGAGGGTTGTCGTCTGGGCCTGTCGGGCATGGAGCGGTGTTTGCTGCTCGGTGAGGAGGGAAGGCAGGGCCTTGGTGCTGCTGATGGCGGTGCTCTGGTGCCACGGGGAAAACATAAGGCCTCGTTGTGTCGAGCCCAGGGCCGACAGCGTCAAGGAGAAGGTGAAGACAAGCCACACAAACATCACAGTATAACTTGCGGACTATTGTTTTCTACGGACGAAATAGCGCGGCGATATGAGTGGTCTTGTCGAGCCGTCCATCAGTGTTCGCTTCGCTGGCGATGGCGAGGCAGATGAGCCGGTGGTCGTCAAGGAGAGCGTGGCACATTCCTTCACGTACTTCCTCCAGGTGGGCAATTTTTTTATATTCAAGTCAGACACACAGCACCAGACGCAGCAGATGAGAGATGCACATCGGCCCGCTTCGTCTGTGTGTTCGTCACACAACATAGGTTCTTGATGGCGGCTTTCAGGAGGGCCAGCAGCGTGAGGTGCGCATCGAGCGGATCAGTCGGGCCGTCGGTGTGGTGGTGCTGCAGCACGAGCTGGACATCATCAAGTCGCTGACCAAGGACAACCTGCTGGACGCGATGATTGCACTCGACTATCTGCAGTTCGACACCGACAAGGTCTTCACACCGGGCAGCAGCGCGAGTCTTCTCTGGCGCATCCATCGCAACGTGCGCTATAGGACGGCAGACAGGCACGTGAGCTGCGAGTTGATGTGTCCTTGGTCTGTCTGTTACAGGTAGTGGTGGAGGGGTGGCTGCGTGATTCTCAGCTCGCCACCACTCTGCTGGACAGCTTCAGTCACTACGCCTTCATCGCCCGCTTCATCCACCAGCACCCCGACATTCGCACGGCCCTGCTGCCGGCGCTGTGCAAGAAGCCCGACGTCATCAGTGCTCAGTGGCGTCGGTGTGAGAGAGGGGAGGACGAGACGAACGACTCCATCGAGGCGGCCATCAGCCTGGTGGACAGCCTGGTGGATGGGCTATCCCATGGTCGCATCGATATTGGCAACCAGGAGGTCGCCCAGTTCATCACAAAGGCGACTGGCTCCGAATCACTGGCTGCTGCATATGGTACGAGGGGAGGCAGCGGGCTGCAATGCCTACTTGGATCATTGCCCTGCTGTGTTGTGTCTGGATGCAGCGGCTGCCTTCGAGGCTGACGTGTTCGCCGACCGCGCAGTGATGACCACACAGCCCTTCGCTAACAACCAGCAGGGATCCGTGACGTGCCTCGGGTTCTCGGTCACAGTCGCGGGCCTTCCCCATCCCTACACCCCTCCCAATTCCGGTCCCACATCCAGCAGTGACCCGCCCCCCAACGCCATACGCGACGGCGATGCGAAGGTTGCTGATATCGGCGGCTGGCGCGTGGTTTTCGAGAGGGCTGATGATGGCACACCAGTGGAGTCGCCCCCAACGTGCTTCGCCTCTGACGCCTCCCTGGAGATTGCCAGTGGTGGTGACAGCGATGGCACAGTCCGGCTGCACGGGGACCCCGAGATGATAGGGAGGATCCACATGGGGGACGACGGCCCGTCTGTGCGTCGCTTCGCTCTACAGATACTGAGAGGCGGGATTGGGACCTGCCTCAACCGACGCAACATCTCGGCTGAGTCGCTCGCCCAGCAAGGGGCGGGAGAGGCGCGGCTCAAGGACGTCAAGATGACCATGACGGTGCGACATTTCCCGATGCGTGCTCTCGCCCTTCACTACCTCCGGCTGTGTGTCAAGGAGGGGCGATGGGATGACGTCAAACACATGGCCAGGTGAACAACGAGGGAGCACAAACGCATTAATGCACAGACACATTGGTGGTGCATTGCTCGATTGTTTGTCTGCCTGTGCAGGTCGATTCGTCGTGAGGTCGCTCTTTACATGCTGACGTGCCTGGCTCAAGTGCGCCACCATCGCCTCCGACTCATGCTGTGCTGGGCGGCAGCGGTCGGCGATCTGCCTGAGAAGCACAGCGAACGCATCGTATCGAAGCTGACGACCGATCTCATTGAGGAAAATCCTGCTGATGTGGCCGCCGTCCTTCCCATCATACCCGGCCTCCCAGCACCAGTGCAGACGGCCTTCGAGGATGCTCTCAAGGGAGCTGTTGACGCACAAGATGACGAATGTTTCCACCAGCTGTACGATGCTTTTGTCGAGGTCAGCCGATGCCATTCAGTTGTCTGGCTGTCCCTCTGTGTCCTCTCACCCACTATTGCTCTGTGTGCTTGGATGTGTATCTGGCACACAGGAGGCGGCCGAGCGGCAGCGTTTCGAGGTCGAGAAGGAACAGCTGCGTCAGGAGAGAGATCAGGTGCGTCAAGTACCAGCCACACCTGTTCCTTTCTCTGCGCCACGGTCTGTTTGTGTGTACTTGTTTTGGCTATGCAGGAGAAGGCCGCTCGGCAGCGTTTGGAGGCCGAGGTCGAGCGCCTGCGGCAGGAGAATGATCAGGTACCCCCACAAAAGCCGATTGCTTGCCCGAGTGAAGCAACACAGTGGCTTCTTTTGTATCACTCAGCTACGTCGCGGAACGAAGCGGCCACGAGAGGAAATGGAGGGCCACCACCACCAGCACCAGAGGCAGCAGCAGCAGCAAGAGGGCGAGGCTGACCACGAGATGAAGTCGTGATGGGTGGGTGACATGCAGCCGGTGACCCAGTGGCGGCGGTGGCTGTGCTGCATATAGACATACTTATGAATGAGAGCCTCATGTGTGTGGTCCGTGCCGTGATGGATTCGATTTCGTCTTGTGTGCTCTATTGACTTGGGTGCTGCATTATCACGGTCACCGGGAGGAGGGGCATTGATGGCAACACTGCTGCTGCTGTTCCTTCCTTGCCTACCTTACCTGCCTGCTGCCAGTGAGTGCTCGTCTGACTGTCTCCCTGTCTGGCTGACTGTCTGCCTGCCTGCCTGGCGCCCAGCATTGAGTAGCTAGCTACCGGCACCACACTCTCATGTCAGTGCGCTTGTCGCAAGCACGAGTTTGAGTTGTTGACTGACATGAGTGCCTTCGTATTTGTGTCTGTCTTATCTGTCTGCCTGTCTGTATGGCTGCACAAATGTGTGAGCTCCTTTTTCCATTCATCCGATCCATCCGCCGTCGTGCTGCTGTGAGTGAGTGCGGTGGTGCCCGTACGTACGTGGGGCCGACAGACAGCTCTGTGACATTCGTTTGCTGTCGATTGATAAGTGAATCAAATCAATGAGGGTCATCAACGTCATCCATCCATCCAACACACACACAGACAGACAGAGCGTCCACACACACACGAATGCCCCTCAAGCATCACAGCAATGGGCCGTCCACATCGTGATCCAGCCCCAATCGACGTGTGTGGACGGACACGCAAAGAAAAATCTCGTCGATCGTCCGTCGCATTCATCAAATGTCCGCAGGGTAATCGGACAGTCGACCGATCGACCACGTGCACTAGCCCACCTCATCAGCCCAAGCCGCACGAAAACCCAGCCAAGACACCGACGGCCTCTCCAGAGAAATAAATGAGTCAGTCACGAAGAGGGGCCAAGCGTCGCATCTTCGAGACCATACCGCCTCAGCAGCTGCCGCACGGCCGGCGTGGTGATGGGGAACCGCTCGTCGAAACCCCACCCATCCACCGCCTCCACCTCGGTCGTCTTTACCGCAACGCGCCCGCCATCGCTGCCGTCGCCATCGAGGTGTACAAAGGCCACCACAGACCCACCCCCCAGCATTAAGACCACCATGCGGCCCCCCCTCGAACATTCCTGTTGCCAATCGATGACGATGCAGGCTGCTTGAAGTTCGTCTGATTCAGTGGCCAAGGAGGACTCCTGCAGCAGAGACAGATACCCGGCATGGTACGAACCCACATCGGCAGAGATCACCGTCCTCAGGCCGGTGGCTTCCACTTGCAACAAGGTGGCGATTGCAAATGAGCTGAAAGAGGGATAGACATTATTACCACCGATGCGCCGGCCGCAGATGACGGGCGGATCGCCCTCATGATACATGTGGCTCCCAAACCACTCGTCCCTTTCGCCAATGCGGAACCGCTTACTGCCCCCGATGCGGAACCATCGCACCCGCCTCAACCTTACAAGCGGCACGTGCGATACGACACAACCGAACACAAACGCGAAAACAGAGGCCGCCATGATGAAGCCGCCGTCCAGAATGAAACTGATAACGATGAAGCAATACCAATGCTCAACCACATCTACAAGATCGTCATAGCTCGGAGGCGGAGCAGTGGCATCCCACCAAAAGAGCAGGATTCGCACGGCCATCCACCCGCAGGCCACCACATAGACGGCGGAAACGGCTAAGGTCAGGAGAAAACTCAGGAGAAAATTCAGCGGCCAGGACGGCGCGACAATCATAAAAGTCCACCCCTTCTTGCCCTCCGTCAGCTGGAGGCCCTCATCCGAGCTGCCCGGGTGGGAGTCGTCACTGTGGAGCTGACCCCCGAGCGTCTTGTAGACGGCCATGGCAGCCGGCAGCCGCTGGAAGCTGGCCTTGTCGGGCACATGAGCCGCCACACTCTCAGCCGATAGCACCAGGGGCAGCTCGCCAGCAAAACCGCAGACACGCGCCAGCTTGATAAATGTGACCATCGTGGGCCACTGAGCCGCCTGCTCGATGACGTAGGCGCAGCGAGCGAGATACCCAAGCCGCGAGAGGGATGGCGGCAGTGGAGGGGCCGAGGGGTCGATGCCGCGGTTCCTCTCGACGTCGATGAGGCCGGTGAGCTGCTGCTGGGCGAGGGAGCTGTCGATGCGCCATAGGAAGGCCTCGTCAATCAGCTGAGAGCTGTATGCCTTGCCGACCGCCCGGGCCCTCACAGTCTCGTCCACAGGCAGCAAAGAGGCGAACACACGGCCCAGGACATCCGGCAGAAGGTCTTGACCGTCGCCAGCCCCATCAGCGATGACGATCTCGAGGTGCTGCTGAGTGTCGGAATCGCTGACGTCACCATCAGCAGTGGCTCCTGATAGCAGCGGCCAACTGTCGGCGACTCTCCGATAATCAGCGGAGCGGCGTGTCCACGGCAGCCAGGCCATCCACCAGCCACCACTGCAGCCACCACTGCAGCCACACAGATGCCACACAGATCAGCGTGGGGTCATGAGTGTTTTAAGTCGGTGTGTCTGGAAGTACTTGAGAGCTCGATGGTCAGCGGACAGCGGCTCCAGATCTAGGCAGATTTGCCAAGCTCGCAGTGTTCTGTCGAGTCAAGCAGGGTCTGTCGAGTCATCCCTTCTCTCTCCCCTTCCCTCTCCCAGGTGCGCGTGGATGTGCGAGGGAGAAACGTTTTGGAAAGCACGTTTGCTTACGTACTTCGTTTCGCTTCGGTTTCCTCTTCTCCCGCGTCAGATCTGGCGGCCGAGCTGCATGAAGACAGTCATGAGTACTGCCCCGCCTCCATACGCTCCCGAGTGGTCTGCTGATGACGCCAAGCAAGTGAACGTGACGGTGCAGCCGGTGTCCAACCCTCACGTCTACGGACAGCCGCTCACAATGGATCCGGGCACTGCCCCGCCTCCATACGCTCCCGAGTGGTCTGCTGATGACGCCAAGCAAGTGAACGTGACGGTGCAGCCGGTGTCCAACCCTCACGTCTACGGACAGCCGCTCACAATGGATCCGGGCAAGGACACAGCGGCCCTCGGGAAACCTGCCGCAACATCCTCGTCGGGGTGCTGGCGCTGCATCTTGGATGAGCATGGCAAGATCAGGCTGTGGGCGTGCTGCCTCATAGGCCTTCTGGTCATCTTGGTGATCGGTGGCATCGTCGGGGTCATCCTCGCGAAGACACTCGGGGGTGACGCGTTCGGCGGCGACACGGTCGACCTGGTCATACAGAGTGCCAACACCAAGGAGCTTTGGCTGCAGCGAATGGTATGCATGTCGTATGGACGAATGCAGCGGACGAGGCGATTTGTGAGGTCGTTTGCATCTGTATGTGTTATGGCTATGGCTGGCAGGTCGAGGACTTCAACCGTGAGCAGGAAAAGCAGCACCGCCGCAGACGCCTCCAATCGGCCCCCGACAACGGGACCAACGACACCAAACGGATTGTGGCCAAGGTCAGTGGATGAGCGACTGACGCCGTGACCTTCCACACCTCCCGCTCTCCTCTCTGCGCATCGTTGCATCCGTCGATTGCATGAGCAGGTGCATCACACGGGCAGCACGTACGACGAGAGCCTCAAGCCCAACATCTGGTCGCCAGCCAACCGCCTGTGGGTGCGCCTCAAGAACGAGGAGACGGGGGCGGTGGCCATCGTGTCCGACATCGACAACCTGTGCTTCTCCACCACAACCATCCCGCTGGGCCTCGCCATCTGGAGGAAGCTCGCGACGGCACTCGGATGGCCTGATGCTGACATTGGCTGGAAAGACATCGCGGATTTGGCCAAGGTGGGGGAGAATATCGATCGGCGTGTAGGTATCTGCTCTTTGTTGTATTCGTCCATAGAATGAAAGCGGCTGGGGTGCGGTGGATCCATCCCTGGCGGTCCGCGGTCGGTTCTCGTACGGCCATGGGCATCCCGAGTCGTCCAACAGCGGCCGCCTTAGCTTCCTCGCATCCATATACGCATACCGAGGGGGGGAGGACCCGCTGCAAGCCGACGATCTGAAAGGTGTGTCGACTGGCCATACGAGCAGGGGTGTCTTTGGTTCGTGTGTCATCTGCTTTGTGCTGGGACGGCAGATGCGGAGATTGTGGCGTCTATCCGGTCGCTGGCCAGATCGGTGACACACATGGGACATGTAAGTGAGAGCAGCGCACCAGCGGTGGATCGATGGTGTGGATTTGTGTGTGTGTGTGTGTCGTGTCAGATTGACACCGACATCTTGGCAAGGTGGGTAGTTCATCGATCGATGTGCTCTGGTTGTTCGTCCATGTGTGTGTCGCTGCTCGAGTGTGCAGGATGGTCGAGCGAGGCCCCGGCTACCTCAACGCCGTCGTAAGCCGACATGCAGGACAGCACGATGCGCGCACGGCTGCGTATTCCTGCACAACCTGCAGGCCAACTATGAGTCCAACGTCATCAGCTGGAACAAAGACAAGGCCGCCGAACTGAGTGAGTGGGGCTGTAAAGGTCATCTACAGCACCGTCGGCTGTTTATGGATCCATCTTTTTCTGCTGCTGTCTGTTTTTCATTGTGCAGGTGCATGGGATGACGGTACACACACACATGGATGATGGAAAACGAACGCATCGATCGATATGTCAGAACCGGCGGCCGTTCTCTGTCTGTCGCACATGTCTGTCTGCAGACTTCGTCTTCATCTACCCATCGGACGGCACGTAAGCAGACAGAAATGACCACTGATTATGTGTTTCGTTCCCTGAAAGGACGTCACACGACGTCACACGACAGGTACTGGATGGACCACCCGTTCTGTGTGGTCGACGGCGTTGAATGGACCACCGATGAACAGGTCCGCCCCTCAATCCATACTCACGGCGTGCCCGTGTCCTTCCCCATGGATCTGTGGCTGCGTCCTTCCCCGCTCGTTTAGGCTGAGGCTGCTCTGACGTTCATCCGCTATGTCACTGACAAGGACAGAAACGACATGCTGCTGGACTACGGCATCAGACCCTTCAGCGGGCGAAGGGAGGTCTCATCGGAAGGTAAGGTAACTCAGTGGCGTGCAGAGAGAGAGCACTGAACTGATGCTAGCTAGCATCACATCTCCCTCTCTCTCGTGTCTCCGTCTGCTTGGATAGGGTTTCCTCCGTTTACGCGAGAGAATGGCGTGATCCCGACCAAGAACCCCACGAACGTGCCGCAGCTGCCCTTCCCCGACACCTCCGTCATCAGAGCCGTCATTGACACGTGGAAGGCCAACAAGAAGCCGGCCGTGGTCAGTGAGTGAGTCTGTCAGGCACCGCACCCATCCCACGATGATGATGATGATGGCCATCCTTGTCTTGTCTGCCTGCATACACACGCGTGTGTTGTGTTGTGTTGTGTTGTGTTGTGCAGGTGGTCCTGACTGTCGACACGTCTGGGTCGATGAGAGGCGGCAAACTGCAGGAAATGAAAGCAGGTACACTAGCTGCCATGGTGTGGTGGGCGAAAGCGCAGGAGCGACATGACGCCTGATGGTTGTTTCTGTGGTCGGTTCTGTCAGCTGTTGGCGAGTTCCTGAATGCCATGCAGCCGCATGACGAGGTGCGCACCCTCGGACGGCCGGATCGATCATCCCAACCATGTCTTTGTTTCTTTAATGTGTGTCTGTTGGCTGCTCGGTGTGCAGCTGTATCTGATCCGCTTCTCGGAGGATGTGCAGTTGCTCGAGCAGCAGTCTGGTGAGTGGTGGGTGGGTCAGCCACACGGACGAACGGCCAACACATTCGTATAGACAGTTGTTGCTGTCTTTCTGTGCTGTTGATGCAGGGCTGATTGGCGAGAAGAGGGACGAACTCCTGGCGGTCGTCGACAACTTTGTGGCCGGTGAATAAGATGCGATAAACACATCACACACAAGGCTGTGCGCTGATGGACGGATGCACTTGTCCGTGCGTGTCTTCTCCCTTTACCGCTCCATGCGTCGCGTCAGGTGGTGCGACGGCCCTGTACAACGCCACCCGTGACAGCCTGGAACTGATCGCCGCCATGCGGGCTGCTGCAAACGACACCTTCGACAAATCATGGGACGTCGTCATCATGACCGACGGCATGGACGAAGGTGAGTTGAGTCAGTGAGTGGGGGAGGAGGGAGGCACGGACCCATCTCACTCCCTGACGTGTCTGGCTGCCTGCCTCCGTGTGTGCAGGTGAGAACCACATCAGCAAGGACGAGGTCTACTCGATGTTGCCTGGAAGCGAAGACCCCACTGGTATTTTCTGGATGGCATTGCACACACAGAAAGAGGGAGAGAGGAAAGGCCTTTCGATTTGTGGCCCTCCGTGTGTGTCGTTGTGTGTGTGTGTGCAGCTGTGCACATCTACAGTGTGGCGTTTGACTTCAACGACAACTCGGCCCAGGCCCAGGCGGGCCGCGACTTCCTCCGAACCATAGCTGAGGACAGCAACGGCAAATACTTCGCCCCCGACGCACGCAGCCTCAGCCTCGTCTACAACCTCATCTCACAGGAATTCTGATCGACCGACCTGCCGTGTGTCCACGTGTGCGTGTGCCTGTGTGTGTGTGTGCCTGTGAGGGTGTCGTCGTCTGTCAATCGTCGATGGATTGGGCCCGGTGCATGTATGTGTTTCGTGTTGTGGGAATGAGTATGAGTGCATGTATGTGTATGTGTGGTGTCACCACAACCAAGGTCGGTCTGCTTTTTGCGACCACTTCATTCATGAGTCAGTCGATCTGCACTGAACTGAATGGGGTAACTGACAGAGTGAGTGGATTGTACCTTTCATGCGCTCTGCCCCACACCCCTGTATGTAGCATATCGGCCGCAGCCAGCCCAGCCGGTCCGACAGACATTACTCGTAGGCCATAAGTCAGTCAGTCGCCCTGCAAGTACGTTACGTGAGCCCTGTCTGCGTGCACTGACTGCATGGCATGTGTGTGGTTTTCTAGTCGATACCCCCACACACAAGGGAGCGACGAACGAGGCAAGGCGGGCTGCTTTGTTTGTTCAAACCAACCTTCTTTGCTCAAGTCGTCTGCCTGTCTGTCCTGTCAGATTTGTTTGTTCAAGTGACGCCTTTGTTTGCTCAAGTGTCTCGTAGAAGTGATGCTTCGACCAGTCGTCATGTGTCTGCCGTCGTCTGCACTTTTTGTGCGGGTATCAGTGAGGAGGGAGGGGGAGAGGGGGGATGGCCACACATTGCTACAGACGATTCTGTGATCGTACCCACGTACCCACAGAGGACTCAGACAAGGGGCGAAAACATGCTGACGCACACTATGGTTGTTCCGGTAACGTTGCCCAAGTGCACAAGGCCCAGAGCATTGATTCAATCAATCGCCATCTCCCTTTGTGCGAGCTTACAAATATCATATCCCCGCCATCTTCGAACGTTTTTCTCCAGGATGATGCAGGCGCTCACCCGCTGCGTAGATCTCCGCTGTCCCGGCGTCGCGCGGCGGCTTTCAACTCTGGCTTCTACGCGCCCTGCAGCTCCTACTGCTTACGATGAGTCCGCAGCAAGCAAGGCGGCCTCACCCCTCCCTGCATTCCACCCTGCAAGGCCCCCTGCAAGGCCAGCCGACTCATCCATGACGGTTGAATCCCTTCTCAAGGCGTCCGAGCTCATCCCTCACACACCCTCTTCACCCTCCCAGATGTCGCTCATCCAGCAGGCATCGGCTCTTCTCAGGCAGAACCAGTTCGCCGCAGAGAAGCTGGTGCGCTTCCTGCACCATCTGTCGTCTCAGCGTGCCAGGACTCCGCAAGAGACCCGCGCCTTCTTTGTGGCTGCTGGCGACTGGCTGGCCGATGGGCGAGTGGACGACCTGAAGAGTCTGGAGATGGTGCGCGTGTTGGTTGCTTATGGGAAGGTGCGGGTGCGGCATCGGCTGGTGATGGGCCAGCTGGGGGAGAGGCTGACCAGACTGGTGCCCATATTCGACCGGCCAGTGCACCTCGGTACGCAGGCAGGCACATTGAGCCGTTCATCTTTTCAATCATTTGTGTGCTTTGCTGTCTTCCCTGGTTTCCAGCCAACATCGCGGGGACTTTCTCCACTCTGCGGCTCCCCTCCCCGGCTCTCTTCCACGCCATCGCTCAGCGGCTCCCGCACTTCCAGCCGACAGCCTTCGAGCCAGTGGACATCTCAGAGCTCCTGCAGGCCTTCACACGACTGCACACCAACCCCCAGATCAGCCATTCGGCCACCGTGATGGACCACCTGGCCGATGTGGTCAGGGACAGGCGCGATTCCCTGGCTGGCGACCAGATTGCCCTGGTGATCAACGCGTACGCGGCTGTTGGAGGGCGGAAGGATATCGTGAGGGACATGCAAGGGACTGTGGTGAAGCGATTGGGCGGGGATGGGCCTAGTGAGAGAGGGAGGGAGGGGGGAAGGCGGGCGTCGCGATTCTTCACCACAGCCAACCTGGCGCTGATCCTCAACTCATCTGCGAAAGCGGCCCCGCCAGACCCCTCACATGAAGTGAGAGAGAGGCAGGCAGCCAGGGGGCTGTGCTGTGCTGATCTGTGTCGATCCTATTGGTGCGTGCCTGTCAGTTCCTCGCATCCGTGGCCGGTGCGCTGAAGGGCTATGCCGCCGAGGACTTCAACGCGCAGTCCATCGCACTCACGTGAGGCTAATTAGCTAGGATGTTCCCAGAGCTGCCAATTGGAGTTTGCCTCTGTGTTCTTGTGTCAGATGTCATGCGCTGTCGAAGCTCCGCTTCTACCCTGCCGACCTCATAAGCTATCTCTGTGACATGGTGATCTTGCCCAGCGACCCCCGGCCGTCTCGCCCGTCAGCCAAATGGGGCCCTGTCCGGTCATTCCCGGCATCATCGTTTCCCCACCACCAAAGAGAAGAGGCCACATCACCCACCACGAGGGACCCGCTTCTGCAGAGCTTCCCATCGCAGGAGCTGTCCAACCTGGCCTGGGCCATCGCATCTTTCCCTCACCTCCACCAGCGGGTGATGGACGGCGTCGTCACTTATGTGGAGAGACACGCCGACAAGATGCCTCCACTGCACCTGGTAGGGTAGGAGGGATCGCATGGACAAATGCTGGCTCGTGTGGTGTGGTATGCGTGTGTTTCTTTCCTGTGATGCATGTGCACAGGCGATGACGGTGAGTGCGATCGGTTTGTACAACAGCTTGGCTGCGGTAGAGCACCGGAGCACTGTCCCTGACACGTTTGCCGCCCGATGCCTGGAGAACTTCCGAGCCCAACCAGACCAATACGGTGGGCAACACAATCCAGATAAGATACACACACAGACAAACAACCAACCAACCACAACAGCCCAGAAGAGGTCTGTTGCCGCTTGTGTGTGTTTCGTTCGCAAGACGGCCACACGGTTTCTCGCCTAAGTGCTGGCCTTCTCCGACTGGCCCTCGACCATCCATGCCCATCCACTTTCCTGCCACCAGCGAGCCGTGGAGACCTGACCGATATGATGCGCCACATCGCTGCGTTGGAGGCCAGGCTGCCCCTGTGTGACTGCCGACTGGCGCACCTGTTCTTTGCGAGATACGAGAGGTGCTTCGGGGCACTGCCAGTGGATGGCCATGGAGATGACTGCGGTGCAGTGGCTGCGCGGATTAGAGCCCGTGTGGAGGAGGGGAAGGACGATTAGGTAGGGAGCCGTGATGCAGTCATAGTGCGTGAGTGAGATGAGCTGTCGAAGCTCATGGCCAATGGGGGAAGGTGTAGATAGTGCAGAACTGGTCGAGAGCAGTGGCTTTCAGTGTCTGCCAACGAATGGGTCTCACTCCCACTCGGTGTCTCATTCACATAATAATTATGTACACGGGCCAACACGGCCGCACGCACGCAGACAGACATCCACGCACATGCAATGTATCCCTCCTACTCTCTGCCCTCTCGGCAGCAACGCAATCAATCATGCCATCACTTGCTGTGTGTGTCGGTTAGTGTCGGTGTCGCACGGCCGTCCCGAATGGAATGGCATCGGCGGTCAAGGTGACAACCAGACCACTGACACCTTTCCATCGGGCCGCTCCACGACACCAACACGACCCACATCACACAGAAACACACGCCGTATTCACAAACTCGATCAGAGACTAGCACTAGCCCACCGACGAGACGAGACGAGACTTGGTCTCATGACGAACCCCCGTCCGTTCCATCCACACCACACATCTGTCTGTCTATCTGTCTTTCTATCGACCTGCGACGAGCAGCTCCCCTGATCAACACGCCGAACACCCACTCAGCGAAGGTACATCGACCGAAATGTACCTTCGCTGCATAAGTGTTTGGTTTGCCAACAGAGGACGCCGCTCGTTGCTGGCCACCAATCGAAGGCTTCACGCACGCCGTCTCAGACGACTCCCATGTCCCTCCGCCGCTTCACAAGTGGTCAGCTTGACCGTCACCTGGCACTCTGCACATGGCAACGACCCGTTTGTGGCGGTGGGCTGCAGCATGCGCCGGGCTGCACACGTCTTGATGGTCTCCGTGGACTGGTCCACCATCTGCGGCGCCAACAGAGACCACTGCACAGCATCAGACACACACACACACACACACACAGAGAGAGAGAGAGAGAGGAAGGGAAATCGTTGACGGCAGCTGCCCTGTTGAGGCTTGTTCGGATGTGTTGTAACTTACCGGCTGGTCGTCGACGGGCAGCCCCGCAGCGATCCACTGACTCATGCCGCCCAAGTCATAGATGTACTGCACACAACACAGCACAGCACAGCACAGCAGGACAAGGTGCCACGTATGTGCCTTGGTATGGTGGTGTGTGGTGGTGTGTGGTGTGGCATGAAGTGTCGTGTTGCGTGTTGCGAAAGGGCTCGCTGCCAAAGGAGAAGGCTGCCTACGAGCCTCGATACACACGCCTGCCTTCTCTGCACTCGTTGCAGCGGCAGTCGCACAGGCCGCGCAAAGACCACTGGGTAGAGTGCACTCACTGGCTGGGCTGCAGGGACGGTGCGGTGCACGAGTCTGTGAATACCTGGAAGCCCGCCTCTTGGCTGAGGAACGATGCCGCTATCGCCGATCGCCGCCCAGACTGGCAGTACAGGCCAATCTTGTACGCTTCACACCCTGCATTGCAATGAGGAAACGGAGGACATGACTGATATGACTGCCTGTCGATCAACAGGCAGGCAGGCCAGCACGCGACTACCCACCCTTGAGCAGCGACGGGTCCCTTATGGATCCGAGCGACTCGACCAATGGCGCCTCGGGGACGTGACCGCTCTGTCATGACAATGGGCAGACAGAAGCGACGTACGTATGAGGATCGAGCGGAGCGGATGTGTGTGTCGACTCGACTTGCCGGCGTACGTACATCGTATTCGTTGAGCGTCCTGACATCCACCACGAGGTCGAAGCAGTCCCTGGTCCAGTCGTTGCCTATCGCGCTGTAGTTGCCGCTTGCCAGGTACACCGAACCACACACTGACAGCACAGCAAACAAGGAGAGCAGTCAACGCACATCACATGGCCTGACGTGCTCATCTCTGTTTGTTCTTCCTTCCCCACCAGATCTGCAGATCAGAGCACAGAGCAGGCAGACGAGGGTCAGCGACCACATAGATCTGACACGCCTGGACGTCAAGAACAGCTCATTCTCAATGCAAGCCAGATCGCAAGTGGTTTAGGGCGCGTAAAACCCGAACGGCGGGATAAGTTGGAGTAGTGTGGTTTCCCACCCGTTTGCAGAGCTAGGCTGCCTCCGGCACCAGCAGCAGCAGGATGAGGCCCATCCATTTGGCCCGGCAGCATGGCACCTCCGAGCAGTTGCTGCATCAGGTCAAGATGGCGTCCGGGTTAAGGTGCTGCACCAGCACAGCACACAGACGGAGGGAGGGAGGAAGGGAGAACGGGTGGATTTGCAGAGAGCTCTCCTGTGTGTGTTCTGTCTGTCCTCTTGTGGCGCAGGTCTTACCTGTATTTCGTCGCTGTAAGGATGCATGGAGGGTGGCTGGGTGCCAGAGGGTGGGGTGCTGCTAGAGGGGCCGCAACGCCACGATGCAGCTAGCTATGGAGCAGAACTGCACCTCTGCAATGGGGTGTTGCTCTGTCTGTGTGTGGGTGTGTGTGTGGTGCAGGGGTGCACGTGCAACTGCGTGTTGTGTTTGAAGTTGGAGGACATCATTAAATCCACCTATGTCAACGTGTATGAGACCAAACTGGTCAGCCAGCGGCACACTGCACTTACACCCATACTCATGAGTACCCGGCCCGTTCTGTGCGTGTGTGTGTATGTGCGTGTATGTATGTAGGAGGCCAACTATCCCTCGGTAGACTGTTGTTGCGGCGAGTATGACAACATCACCGTCATATACTACGACAGAGAATACCTCGACAGTGAGCCACACAGCCACACCCACACATCTATACCCTCTCCTACACGACGGCCTTGATGCACTCACTGCTGTGCGTTGTGGTGGCATGGATGGATGGATGGCTGGATGGATGGATGTGTCACATAGACATCGACCAGGCTGGCTGCTGCGTTCCGGCGTTCACCCACTGCCAGTGCTGCCCCACGTGTTTCGACATGGTACACACACACAAAGGCACAAAGGCACAAAGATACAAAGACACAAAGGCACAAAGACACAACGGAATGGACAGACATCCTCGTATCTGTGTGTGCGTGTGTGTTGATGTGATATTTGTGCACTTCTTGATGTGATGTGTGGTGTGCAGTGTGGGAAGGCGTTGGTGCTGCACGGCCCCAACAAGTGCGCCTGTAGCAAGTGTTTCAACCCCGACAAACTGTCCAACAGTAAGCAGCCAGACGCCACACAACACATTCAACACGCTTCGCTGCCGGCCTCCCTGCCTGCCGGCCTGCTTATTCTCTGTGTGTGTGTGATAATTATGTTGTGGGCTGCAGCTCCGGTGTCGGCCATGAACTGTTGCACTGCGTTCTGTTGCTGCTCCAAGCCCTTCATTATGGTAGGCAAGCCAATCCACATACCAAGAGGGAGGGAGAAAGGGGGCCGTCTGTGTATGTCTGTCAATCTATCTGTGTGTGTGTCTGGTGACAGTTGCCGGGCCTGGACGAGGTCGATGAGTTGAAGCGCGCCATCTGCAGGCAAGGAAGGCCGAGGGAGACAACAGACAAGAAATAAGATGAGAGCGGATGAATCTTTGCAAGATGTTTGTGATCTCTCTTGACTCAGTGCCCGCGATGCTGCCAAGTCTCGCATGGACGCCGGGCACCGGTAGGTAGCACACCACCGGCCACACCACGCCACACACACACACGCGCAAGAGACATGAACCTCCACATCCGTTCTCTCCGCTGTCTTTTCCGTCCCCCTGTTCAGTCCCGACATGGGCGGCCCGCCGGTCGAACGCACCAGAGAGAGAGAGGCAATTGGGGTCTCTCTCCTCGCGAACCATGTCTGTCTGTGTGTGTGTTGTGTGTGTTTGTCCACCAGGCGCAGCAGGTGATGGCGGCCCCGGTGGCCCACCAGCCCATGATGGTGGCGGCACCCCAGGCCGTCATGATGCAGCCCGCACAGCCCGCAGGAGTAGTGGTACGCATCGCATCCACACGCACACACACACGAAGGAAGGATACTTGCGAGGGTCGGTGTGCTGTGCCACCTCTCTCTCCTTTGGCATTCATTGTGTTGTGCAGGTGATGACGCAGCCCCAGCCGATGACCTATGGCCGCTGACTGACTGAGACCCATAGCACTCACACCAACACACCAAGACAGACACGTGACGGACGACACCCATACGATAGACACATGACGATAGGATAGCGATGAATGATGCATTGCTGCCATGCGTCCATCTGTGACGTCGTAGCTGCCAGCACACACACGCCACACATGCCTCCGTGATGCACGCTTCACCAGAACCAGCGAGATTGTGCAGCACCACCCCACCCCGGCCACGCACCCACACACGATTTTTGGATGGACGGGATGGATCGGTGGATTGGATGGCCGGCTGATTTGTTGCTCTTTTCCGTGTGTGCGTGTCCATCATGATGCTATCTATGCTGTTGGAGATGTCTGTCTGCCATGATGATGTTTGCTAGTGCACATGTGGATGGGCTGTCAGTGACCGTGGCCGGGTGCTGTGGATGACATTGTGTGCACACATGATCGATGCATTCGATGCGCTGTCTTGCCTGCATGGCCTGCCCGGACTGCTAGAAAGAACGTCGCGGCCGTTTGAAAGACGTTGGATTCCAAGCTCGCATTCACTCGACAAGCCGTTGTTGCCTCCCCTCACTGTGTTCAAGCCGTCATTCGAGTCTTCCCGCCTCACATGAGCAGCCCCTCAGAGGCATCCCCCAACCCAGAGGTGACCCTCCCTCTCCCATCGCACGCCAATGAAGACGAGCCGCCGCCTCCAGACACCGATCTGGCGGCCAGGAGAAAGAACAAATCCAAGAAGAAGACACGACACACACGAAAAGGCAGCTTCCGAGCGATGACGGAGGCCATTGAAAAGGCAGCTTCCGAGCGATGACGGAGGCCATTGGGAGCCGACTTGTTGGGGGCGGTGCAGGGGAGGTCGGCAAGGACCAAGGACATGACCCAAGAGAGGCGACTTCAGCCCAGCGGCACAGCAGGGGGTCGGAGGCTGTCTTCTCGCCGATTGAGGCCGGCAGGAAGAGAAGCAAAAGCAAGGTCAGGCAATTAAGGGATCACACTGATCGAACAACGGCGTCAGCCCCTCTATTGCGCATCCCCCATGAGTGCATTCAATGCATGCAGGTCATGCAATACGTCGTCGGCGCTGCGGCTGACAACAGCACACCGGCCACATCATCAGCAAAGAAGACGCCCCAAAACAGGCGCATCCGATTCAGCTTCGGCCTGTTCGGCAGAGGCAAGGAGCAGAGCACGGAGACCTTTCCCCTGCCAGCACACACCGATGGATCCCCACAAGACGACACAGGACAGAAGCAGGCAGCCGAGAGAGAGAGGAGGAAACCTGTCGCCCTCATGGCCTTGGAGAAGCAGCTGAGCATCGACGAGAAGGAGAGGGAACAGCCAATGGACCCGAGCAAGATGACGCTCGGCCAGTGGAAGGCCTTCGCCACGCGGACGAAGCGGCAACAGAGTTTGCTCATGGGAGATCAGCCTATCAAGTGGATCAACACCACTCAGGCGAGCCTCGTCTTTGGCGGTTTCATCATTGCCAACGCCATCGTGCTGGGGTGAGGGATGGATGGGATGAGACACACATGCCGTAAGAATGCACAAGAAGGCACAATGGGTCATTATGTTTCCTTTGGTCAGGTTGGAGTCCGACTATGGCGGAGGGGAGTCGAGACATTTGGGATGGTACCTCACGGTGGGTGGGTGAGACACGGCCAAAGGCACTTCACTCCTACCATACCAATCAATGTGGGTCGCTGCCTGTGTTGGTGCAGGAGAGCTTCTTTATAGTGATTTTCCTGCTCGAGATAATCCTGCGCGTCTTAGCAAATGGATGGAATACCTTCAAAGGTGGGTGGCTGCACGTAGAAAGAGCCACAAAAGACCTGGCTGTCATCATTGCATCTGTGTGCGCTCTCCAGATCCATGGAACGACTTTGATGCCAGTGAGGAATCCCTTGGTCACTTACCTTTTCTTGCCGTGGCGTATCGCTTTTGTGTCCTCTTGCGTGCCACTTGCACAGTTTTGATCGTTCTGGCCATCCTCGACACTTGGATTCTGACTTGGGTGGTCGATCCAGCCGAATCAGGAGAGAGCAGTAGTGTCCTGGGAATCATCACACTGCTCAGGGTGAGGGGAGGGGAACACACTTTGAAGACTCGGCCACAGAATGATCCTGTTGCGTGTTTGTCCACAGGTCCTTCGGCTGATGCGTCTTGCTCGGATTCTTCGCCTGTTTCGCGTCTTCAAAGAGCTCTTCATGCTGCTCAGAGGTACCCTGCAGCTGCCACCAGCCATTCACCCGGTTACAGCTTCCTTCTTTCACTCTGTCTTGGCGCAGGTTTGGTGAATGCTGCTCGTGCGCTGTCGTGGGTGGGGTTCCTCCTCACAATCATATTCTACGTGTGTGCCGTCTAGTGAGCAATATGTGCACACACTCACAGACGGGTGGATCAACACAGCATAAGTACAGGTCTCTGCGTTTGTGTGTCTCTCAATCCTCTCGACGCAGCACAACTCGTACAATTGGCAGCAGCTCGGTTTTTTATGACGAGTACGAGGATGACGTCTATGAGTGGTGGGCAGACAGGCAGACAGGCAGGCAGGCAGGCAGGCAGAGAGAGAAGGAGACAGCAAGCGGGTTACGCACCCGGTCTCTGTGTGGACATGTGTAGGTTTGGTACGATGGGCAAGTCATTCCTCACTCTGTTTCAGCTCATGACGCTCGAAGGATGGCCGGACATCGGCAGTAAGCAACACGGATGCCCGCTACACGGCCCATTCAGATGAATGCAGAGACCAATTACCGCTGTGTGTCGCTCGCCTTGTGTGCAGGGGCTGTTGTCGAGAAATCGCCATGGCAGGCGTAAGCAAGAAAGCGACAGGCAAAGACATGGATGGTCCGCCTGATTTCCCTTGGACGGACATCCACATGCGCTCGTGCAGGGTCTTCATTGTGGTCTTCATCCTCCTTACGCAGTACTGCATGCTCAACCTTGTCACTGGTATCATCGTCGAGAACTTCATGGACACGGCGAGGTCTCAGCAGACACAGATGCTCAAGCAGATAGAGGAGGAGAAGAAAAACGTCATCGAGGACCTCACCGCCATATTTGTGTTCGCCAACCACGGCGCAGAAGGGGAGATGACCGCTGAACGTACGGAAGACGCTCCGAGCCTTCTGCTCTGCTGCATTCTCCGTGTGATGAACGTCATGAATGTCATTCTTTCTGCCGCTTGTAGATTTTGCAAAGGCATTGGAGCATGAGAGTGTGGTCAAGAAATGCCACCAGATGGACATCGCTGTGATCGATGCCGACGACATGTTCTCAGTACTTGACGTCAACGGCAATGGAACGCTATCACTGGAGGAGTTCCTCGAGGGCATGCTCCGCATCAAGGGATCCGCCAAGTCGAGACACCTGCTCAATGTCCAGAACGACCTCCACCGGTAAAGAGGAACACACATCGATCGATGCAGAGTAGGCAGTCAGTGGTGCTCCGTCTCCTTATTTCAGTGTGGCGCGTAACATCAACTATCGTCTGAAGGATCTGGAGATCAGGACGGAGCAGCGGCTGACTCAGCTGTCGGCTGACATCGCCGCGCAGATAGCCCGGCTGGAGGAGAACCTGGAGGTGTTGGTCAAGGGAGAGTCGGGAATGACGTCGGTGTCATGCTTGGAGGCCTCCTCGCCCGTCGGCAGGAGGAAAAATGAACATGACGTGACGAAGGCCCCCGCGGCCAGTGAGGTCGCAGGAATCGATGCCGCCAGCAAAGAAAGAAGTCCCAGCTCGTCTCCCAAGTCGCCCTCAAAGGGCCCTGTTCGCCTTGCCCCTGTCCACCTCGACGACTCACAGCTCTCCAGCTCGTGGCTTGGCAGGGCCTTCCACTCTCATTCGCAGCCATCCATCCCCCCCGCCGCCATCCCGTCCACGCGGTCGTCGCCATCCGTTTCTCCCACGAGCATCCTGCGGACCGGCGACAGCAGCAAAGGTGGCAACAAGTACAAGAAAAAACTCTCCATCACTGAGGTCTCGCGACTCCCCGGAGCCACGTATAGCCCCAGCAGTAGCAGCGCCGAGGGCGAGACAGACGATGACCATCGCCGGCGGATGGCGCAAGTGTCTCTGTCTCAGTCGTATGATTCGACTCGGCTGAGGGAAGCCTCACAAGGGATGGGGGAAGCGGGGTCGCAGTCGAGCGCTCAGCTGGGTGGCGGAGGGGCGGGTGGCATGACGGCGACGATTCCCTTGCCCGCCCGGCCAATCGTGTATCCCAAACCAATGGAAGGCAGGACAGCGGGCGGAAAAGACAAGAGCAGAGGGGCCAAGAAATGAGTCGGGGAGGGAGGCAGGGATGGGGAGAGGGAGGGAGGGGTGTGTGAATATCGCAGCCAGAGATTGTCGAATGGAGATTGAGTGTCTGAATCCACTGATGTCCTCCACCGATGTCCTCCGTGCATGGAGACACATCCATTTGTCATACCTTCATGCAGCCAGTACATGCACACTCGGTCGATGATGGCTCTGCCAAAGGACGCCCTTTTCGCCTATTTGCCGCCTCTCGGTGTCGGTTGTATGTCGTTTTCCGGCCGTCTCCGGCCGTAATGATTGATCCCAAACCTGAACACGGGGGCACCGAGAGAGAGCCCCATGAAAGACGCCGGGGCCGACGTCCGTCTGACTTGCCGTCACTAGGTATTCCATACCTTTCAATGTTGGTGTATCTGGAGGCGGGCTGTGCGGCTTGCTGCGTAGTGATAGTCGTGAATGTGATCTTGCGCGGTGAGCGCTGTCGGACCCATTCCAGCTCGTGCTCCACATCAGTAATCTGGAGACCCCAATCAGCCACTGCATCAGCCAGGAGAGAACGTATGTCATCGACAGGGAAGCACCCCTCTCTCTGTCAGCTCGCTGACCTTGAGGCCGTTGCTTTAGCAGGAGGTTTCCCCATCTCTCCGTCCATTCGCGTGAGCTCGCCGCCTCCTTCTTGCAGACCGTAGTCCAGAAGGCGTTTCGATGCACCTCATTCACCGGGTTGCGCGGCGTCTCCATTCGGGGAGGAGCAGAGGGAAAAGACGATCGCGAACTTCCCTAAACCCTAACCCTTGAGAGTCGCGAAAGTAACCACCGCGGTTGTTCACATCATTTTAGGGGAGATCAGGCGATTGACACCATAACACAAGGCACGCACAGCCACACGTGGTACGATATCACCGCATGAAGATGAACCACCTCACTCAACCGGCGGCCCGGCCGGACAGCCGAGTCGTGTCTCACTCAGTGTTGTCGCATTGTACACGTAGCAAGGACGACATCTTAAATTCAAACACTGCTCCCGCACGAGAGAAAATCAGCCGTCCGTAAGATCGCGCACCATCCAACTCATTAACTGACTACAGGCAAAAAAGCACACGTGTACTTGCATCTCCATCTCATCTCATCTCATCTGTGTGCGTGTGTGTGTGAAGGTTGAAAAGGCCTCCCTCCCTCTTCCGTAGGCCGCCCAAACCAACTTAACTTGACACAAACAACAGAGTCACTCACTCCCTCCCTCCGCACATGGCTTGGCACCACGACGTATATGAGCGCACCATCAGGCGAGGGGCCCGTGAACACACATGTGGTATGGTCACGTATCGATCTGTCCATCCATCCGCTTGTTCGTCTACTTGGTGACCAACTCTGTGAGCAGTCTCACCGCATACCCCGTGCCCACATTCTCCTTCCAATCCCACGCTGGACCAGCCGCATCTGATGGATGCACGGGGCAGACAGACCAACCAGAGAGAGCAGCCAACACATGAACATATATTGTGCGCCTTCCGTCATGTAGATGCCTGCTTCCTTTTGTTTGTGAGAGTCGGTGTCTTTCTCACGCACCTATGTGTGCCCACGACGCCTTGTCAACAAACTCCTTTAGAAACGTCGCTGCCGTGATCGCACCGCCCCAGCGGCCGCCAACGTTCTGAGACAGACCATATATGAACACAACACGCACCCCAACATGCAAACACGCATGCCATTCATCCGTCCATCCATCCACCCATCTGTATGGGCCTCACCCACCTTGAGGTCGCTGATGGTGCCCTTGAGCTCCTCAGCAGCGTCGGGCAGCAGGGGCAGGCGCCACAGGGACTCGCCCGACACCTTGGCGGCCTCCAGCAGCGCCTCGCTGAGGGTATCGTCGGGTGTGAACAGCCCGGCGCACTTTGTGCCGAGCGCCACGATGCAGGCGCCGGTGAGGGTGGCGATGTCGATGATGGTCGTCGCCTGCACGGTCTTCTCGGCGTAGACCAGGGAGTCGTTGAGGATCAACCGGCCCTCGGCATCGGTGTTGCCAACCTGAATGAATGAATGGACGGACGGACGGCGTGCAGAAAGAAACAGAGAGAAGGGTATCGCATCATCGAGTTCGCAGGGTGATTGATTTGTCCTCTTCTGTAAGTACCTCGATGGTTTTGCCGTTAGATGCTGTGAGCACATCGCCGGGCAGGTAGGCGTTGTGGGAGATAAGGTTCAGCACAGCCTGCAAGCAGAGAGAAGAACACGGATGCCATCCATTCATTCAGCCAGCCGCCCGTGTGTTGTGTTGGTTTGCCTCACTCACCGGCACGATGAAGTGCACCTCGACATTCTTGGGTTTGAGCGCGCCGATGGCCTTGGCCACGCCCAACACAGCCGCACCTCCACCCCTGCACACAGACACCCAGCAAGCCGATCAGATCAACAGGGCATGAATGTAGCCTGCTCTGCGTCAATATCTCCCTTACATGTCGAACTTCATCATTTCGATCATGCTGCCGACCTTGAGGTTGTACCCGCCAGTATCGTGACACACGCCCTTGCCAACCAACGCTACCTGCACACAACACAACACACAGACAGCGCGCTAGACACACGACCAGGAAAGGTCCCAAGCTGAATGGCTGATGTACCTTCTTCTTGGGGCTCTCTCCCTTCCAGCAGAGATGGATAAACCTGGGCGCGATCTCTGCCCCCTTGCCGACGGCCAGGTAGCTGCCCATGCCCAAGGCCCTGCACTCGTCCACACTCAGGATCTTGCCCTCCAGCCCACCCTCCTGCGCCATCTTGATCGCCGCATCCGCCAGCGACGCCGGATGACAGTAGTTGGGCGGCATCGACACCAAATCCTTGGCAAACAGCACCCCGGCGGCCATCGCCCGGCTCTCCGTGATGCACTTGTCGATATCGCCGGCCGTGAGGCCTGACGGGGGGATGATGGTCAGGGCCTCGAGCAGTGGCAGGGGGGCGATCCTGTCGCCCGTCTTGAGGCGATTCTTGTGGGCGTCGTCACTCAGGGTGAGGAGCAGCGACTCCAGCACCGACTGCAGGATGCGCACCGGGCACGATGGCGGCAGCGCGAGGGTGGCCGCCTTGGCCTTCTCGCCCTTGATGGTCTTCCCGATGCACGCGCCGATCTTGCAGCCTGCGGCGGCGTCGAGGGCGCTCATCTTGCCGAAGCCGAAGAGCGCGACGGACCGCACCTTGCCTGCCACTCGCGTGGTCATGGTGGACGCGGCCGCACCCTTGTACTCATGCAGCTCGATGCCCTCCTGCAACGCGCCCCCAAACACCTTGTCCAGATCACCTGCACACGTCCAAACACACACAAAATCCTCCCTATGGTTCGGCTCTCAGCAGCATGTTTTCCTCCCTCACTGACCATAGTCGTGCTCCATCTTGGCGGACTTGTCGGTTGATTCGTTCTGGCAGCACGGCAGCAGCAGGAGGTCCGCTGCCACGTCGGTGAGCGGCGTGGCCTCCACTGTGATCTTGAGCGCCGAGGCCGCGGGATCCTTCGTGAGCGGGATCTGGTCGAAGAGCGTCGTCATGATGACTGTAAGGATAGCCTTTAAGCACCAAAACCCTCGGAGGTTTTCCTCTGCAAGCCAAGCTCGCAAGGATTTCCTAGGATATTGCGTGAAACTGTTCGTCATCACCAAGGGATGATTGTCGTTGGTTGATTGTATTGTATTGTATTGTATTGATTGTATTGTATTGATTGTATTGTATTGATTGTATTGTATTGTCCGTCGCAAGTGTGAGGGCCTTGTCTCCCGAACGATCCCGCTGCGAATCATCTGAGATCACCAATGGCGGCGAATTCCACCGACAAGACCGAGGAGGAGATCCGGTGGTCTAAGCATCAGTTCGTACCAACCAAGCGGAGGGGAAGAACACACGCAGAAACAATGAACAACGCTCGTTGACTGCGAAAACATGTCGCACACTACAAACAAGCGTGAGACATGCAACATGACACACATTCACGGTTGGGATGGACGGGATGCTTACGAATGGTATACGGTCGGATAATCACTCCGTTTATGACAGAGCGACAAGTGCTGTCATCAATTCCCATCATCACATGCTCCCATCTATATCACATGAGTCAGGTAAAGTACACTCTCGCCTCTTCCCTCCCCGACTTTCATTGCATATGGGCCTGTAGATCTGAGACTGACCTACTGACTGACCGCTCGGCATCAAACGTACACTCGCATCGTCTCACACTTAGTCTCGCATCAAGAATGTGGGAGATGCCTGGCCTCACCGGCGATGTCTCCTAGCATACATGCCCAAAGATCTGATCACAGCTGCTGCCATTGACGTGGGTATATTAAGTGGTATAATACGGATGAGCAAAGAAGGGACAGAGCTCTGTCAGCCGGACATTATCATACACGGCAGGCTGCAGCGCGCGCAGGACGAACAGGGTGATGTAGGGCGCCCACACTGCTGTGAACACAGCAGTCGCGGCTAACAGTGTTGTCAGCCTGAACGTCAGGACTCCAGGCTCATCCTCGGATCGCAGAATGGGCAGATTGTGCAGCCGCGTCGATACCTGCAGACATCCACAGCACAATCAGGGGAAGGACAGTACGGCCGCGCATGTCTAAAGGCTGCCATCGTATATGTCTCCCTTCGCTATTCCCCCACTGACCATATAGAGGATGACTTCGCATGCCATCTCGACAGCGACCAGGAGACACAGCCCGCCCAGCCTCTCGAACAGCCGGGACAGCGAGAAGGGAGACAGCAGTTGCTCCATCAATATAAGTGATAGATTGATGAAAATCAGAATCAGGCTCTCGGCCTGGTTGTAGGCGTGCTGCTGGTCGCTCAAAGCTCTGAGATACCTTGGGCGGACGTCATACGCCATGAAATTGCTCTGCAGATGGATCACGGATGTCATGGACGACAGTCCGCTCGAGCTGGACCGCATGCGCCGTCCCGCTCGCACCACACTCTGATAGATCTCACTCGACGACCGCCGCGGTTCCCCACTGCCGGATCCATTGATGAACAGCGCTGGCTCTTTGTTGGTTGTTGCCTGTGTGCTGACTGTCTCGCTGCTGCCTGAAGCCCCAGAAAGACCATGGCGGCTAGCAGTGTCTCTCGGTTTGCTGCGCCTATCATCGGTCGGCTTGGCCGATCGGCCGTCGCGTGTGCGCATGAGCGCTCGGATGACGTTGGCATTGAACATGTCAACGTAGGGCACCGCCAGGTCACCCAGGAGGTCGTAGAGGGCGAAGAGCAGAGACGACTTGATCTTGTAGCTGAGGGCAGCCATTTCAGCCTGTATAAGGAAAATGCGTTTCGACATTCATGCGTTGAGAAGTGTTCATACTGACTTGCAAGAGGCGAGGTACGACTAGCGAGATCAAAGCGATTGGGAAGATGACGCAGTAGTTGAATAGAGGAGGGCCGTCTCGCATCTTACGGGCTGTTCCGTTCACAATTGCCACCAAAGGAAAGCAGCTTAACAAACAGACGAATGCCAGTCGTGTCTTCTCGGTGTCCGTTGTGGCCCCCTCAGCTTTTGGCAGAAGGAGCCTCCCCCACAAATGCGAGGCAGCCCATGGTGTATACACAAGGAAGGTCATCTGAATCGTGTACAGCACCCGCCTCTTGACCACTCCCGTCATGTCTCTCGACACGTGCCAAAAGAACCAGGGGACCATCACGGTGTACACTGCCCTTTCCAATCTGTGAGAAGGAAGCAGAAAGTACCCATTGACAGAAGCAGATGCAGCCAGCGTCACAGGGCACATAGCTGCCAAACTGCATGTCTCACTTACGCAAAGGAAATCCAAGTATATGGTGTCAGCTGGGGGGATATGGCCAAGCTGCGGGCGATAGCATGAGCTGCTACGGTGATCGCCAAAAGAATCCACAACTCGCGGATGCGCCGGAGTATCCGACGTGGGCGGCACCCCTCAACCAGTGCGACAAACCAAACAAGAAATGCCGACCAGCCGATCGCAATGCGCGTGAAGTCAATAGCAACGCCCGCCATGTTGGACTCGCAAGTCTTCCATACCAGCGGCGCCGTCAAGACCAGCGGCACCGCTAGAACAAGTGCGAATACCACTTGTAATATAACCACTTGCATCACTCGCCGCAATGATCGCATAAAAGGCTCAGGGGAAAAACGTGCGCCAATCAGCACCTCCCTCACGTGGATTGTCTCTCCATCATCCACAACATTCTGCTCGTAGACGAGGTGCGATTCGAACTCCTCGAAGGCCGCCGGGTATCCTGCAGACACCGGTGCGGACAGGTCAAGAGATGCAGCATTTGTGCTGTTGTGCCAAAGCCCGTTCCCATGATTCACCGGCAGCCTTCTCGAATTCCAATTTCATTGCCTGGATGGCCACCTCTTCGGCCCTGTTGGCTGACGGCTCTGGCGCTCCCACCTCCGAGATGTCCGGCAGAGTGGTCGACTGTGACGCCGCGTGATGACAGGCGCTCCGGAAACCGTTAGTTTGACACGAAGGACTCCTCTCTCGTTCAAGATCAAGGTCCAGGGGGCACTTGCTGCTGTGCATTTCTTTGCCGAGCCCTCCTTCGGTCGTGAGCTCTTGGGGCCTTCCCTGCTGGACGTGTGGCTGCGTTACGCACGTGTCCTCGCAGCTGGGGCCGAGGAAGTCGTGCACGTCCTCCCGAAGACCACATTCATGCAGCTCCTCACCGCCGTTCACCGGGCCGGGCTGTGGTGACTCATCGTCGCGGTGGCTGACACGTGGGCTGGCAGCATCACCATTGAGTGGGGGAAGGAAGATTTGTACTGCGTTCTCATGGAGCGCCATTGTGCCGCCGGATAGCGGCCCCCCGAACAATCAGTGGGAACCGGAGAGTTCGCGATCCAATCGCCACGAGAATGGCGAACGAAGATGTCGCATCGATGGTTCTGCACCGATCTGCTCTGTACTTAGTTGTTTCGGTTGACCCTGTACTTAGTTGACTGACCGTTTACGGGTCAACAATTGAAGTATCTAGGGTTTTGGTCCGTGATCATAGCAGGGTGCGGTGACCTTCTTTCTTGGGTGTCTAGACGTGTGGAATGGAACACCGCAAGTGCCTTATCAAACGAACACAAATATCAGTCAACACCGGTCATTCCATCCATCCAACACTGACTGTCCCAGTGCCTCTACACTAGACCCCCGATGACATGACCGTCGCACGCCATTCAAAGCCCTCAACCCACAACAACGCGGCACGCGCAGGCACTCATGCAGCAATGCACCCACAGCGCATGGCCACCCCATCAACACACAGCCGGCCATTCGTCCATTCCTACATGCAGGCAGGCAGGCAACCGCGGAACCAACCGACTCAAGTCCATCCAGACACTGCTATGCTCACAGAAACTCAGAATGCCTGTGTGGGTGCGTGTGGGTGGTGAGATAGTACACAGCCAACCTCCCTCCCTCATCTGCCGCTCTTCTCCTGTGCGTGTGCGGCCGCCTTGAGCAGGGCCTCCTCGATGCGCTGCTTGGCGTCCGGCGCCGCGGTCAGCTCCTCCTCCTTGCAGGCCGCTGAGGCATCCCGGAACACGCGGCCCATCTCTATCAAACCCTCCGCACGACGCCGACGCACCGACTCGTCAACCGCCATGTCCTTCAAAACCTGACACACCGATGAATGAATGGATCGATGGGCAGAGGGCAATCATATATCGGATTGTGTGTGTGGATGTGGTGTCTCGGTAGTCTGACTTTCTTGGCGGCCTGTCTGACGGTGGACTCGATGTCCATGACGGAGAGGCCCCACATGGTCTCCACAAACATGGGCAAGGTCTCCTCCATCTGCTTGAGCTGTCACCACACACACACACACACACAAGACACAAAGAGATGCACACACAGAGGTGAATGGATGGACGGACACACCACATGAGGCCCACCATACATACCTCCTCAGGCGTCGGCTGAAACGGGACGTCCTCCTCACTCTGTTGCTGCTGCGGCTGCTGTTGCTGCTGTGTCTCATGCCCCCCAGCAGCAGCCGGCTGGCCCTGCTGCTGCTGCTGCTGCTGCCGCTGCTGCGGTGGCGGTGGCGGTACCTCACTCCTGTCCGCCCCTGCACCCTCCTGGGCCTCGTTGGCCTCCCCCTCTGTCTTGCCCTCCTGCCTGGCACGCTGGGGGCTCTTGACGCGCTCCTGGAACTGACCTCGCAGCTTAGATGCCGCCTGCACACACACACACACAGAGAGAGAGAGAGAGAGAGAGAGAGAAAGGGCGTGGGTGGTGTGATGTGTTGTGGGGTGAGAGGCGTGTGTTGTGTGTGGTGCCTGCCATGGCTACCGCGAGAGTGCGGACGCCTGAGTGAGCGAGTTTGAATGTGTTACTCGTGGCGCGGACGTTGGAGTGCCACTTGGCGAATCGACCCTCCAGACCCAGGAAACCCTCCTTGCCTACACACACACGTGATGGTTTGTTGGGTTGGCTTGGTGCGCTGCTGCGTGTTGTCTGTCTGTCTGTCTCCCTCCCTCACCAAGGAATTGTTTGGCCCTGTTCTCGTACGTCCAGCCGATGGCCTCCACCATGGTCGCACCAAACGATTGCTGAAGACACCACAGGAAGAGACACAAAGAAGGCGCGATGCGATGGATGTCAGTCAGGTCAACAAACACAGACAGCAACCACAGTTAGTTGCATACATACTGGCTGACTGACCTCGCAGAGCTCCTTGGCTTCCTTCTTGATGTCCTCCTTCCACGTGACGGGGTCGCCGGTGACGTACCCCTCGACGCGGTCACGCAGCTTGACAGCCAGGTCCACCTCGCGCCTCGTCTGCTTCCACTCCAAGGCCTTCTCAGCCTTGACACTCGGCAACGCCCCGGCCTGACACACACACACACACACACACACAGAGGGAGAGAGAGAGGGGGAGGGACAGAGTGGTCTTTGTGTGGTGGGGTGGTGGGTGTGTACCTCTGCGGCTGATTTGTCGACGAGGTCGACCATTGCGGCTAGTTTGAGAGTGCCGACGTAGGGCTCGAGCCGTTCGCTGCCGAAGAGCATGGTGAAGAACAGACCGGGGTCCATGAACTCCATCCGACTCGCAGCCTCCTGCACACACACACGCACACACGAGAGGAGAGGATGCTGTCTGTGCTGTGCTGCTGTGTCGTGTGTTGTGTGGGGGTCGGCCGACAGACCTTGCCGTATTCGTCGTACTGCTTGCGGCGCTCCTCATCCCCCAGCACCTGATACGCGGCGCCGAGCGCCTGCAGGAAGGAGACACACACGGCGACACACAGAAAGGCAGAGTACGTGTTGTGATGCAGACAGACAGACAGCTCCATCCATTCATCCATCCAGGCCTTCGCTGCTTGGCTGGCTGCCCGGCTGGCTGGCTGGCTGACCTGGAACTTCTCCTTGGCCTCAGGGTCATCGGGGTTCTTGTCAGGGTGACACTGCCGAGCCAACTTGTAGTACTGCTTCCTGCACACACACGCGCGCAAACGATGCCGCCCCTCTCTCGACCCCGCCATTCTGTCACCCAGCCACCCACCGGATTTCTGCTGGTGTGGCTGTGGTGGGTACGCCCAGCAGGTCATAGTATGCCGTGTCCTTGACCGTGCGGGGCTCCCGCGGCGCATCGGGGTTGTCGCGGGGGGGTGGCGGCGGCGGCGAGGGGGGCCCCTCGTCGGACTTCTTCGTCGGGGACGAGTCCGACTGTTCAAACAACCACAATCAGACAGACAGACAGACAGATAGACACCATCAGGAGTCATGTGGGTGTGGGCATCCAGTGGCCTGTCTGCAGCTGCCTCACCTCTGTTGTTTCGGTGTAGGTTGGTTCCTCTGGCTGGCCGCCTTGGCCCTGCTGTGGCTCGGTGGTGTCGCCAGGGGGCACTGGGGGCGGCTGTGAGGTGTCTGGCGGGGGGGCGCCCTTTGCTGCGCGGCTGCGGAGGTCGGAGAGGCTCTTGAGCTTGGCGTCGGCCTCTTCTGGCGTGGATGAGTTGAGCACGCAATCGGCCTCCTCGGGCAAACTGTACCAACGATCTACCCACTCCTGATTGCGACACACAACACATGTGTCACGCGGAGAGAGGGAATGTGTGTGTTCGCTTGGTCCCTCACCCGTTTCTTCTTGTCCCATTTGCGGCCCTGTGTCCTCTCGGCGATGCACTCGGGCGTGTTGATGATCCCACGGCCTATCTGGTAACACGCGACACCCACACCTGAATCCAGCAATGCATCAAGGGACGCCCACACACCCACACACACACTCACTCACACGCACACAGTCATTTAAGCTCCTTTTGCCACGTGTGTGCTACTCATACCTGTGACCGGCAGTATGACTGCCGACGCCACGCCGGCCGCACAGCCCTTGAAAAACCCCGACACACCCTCCTCACGGGCACCTATAGCGAGCGACACACGCACTAGTGCATGAGGTATATCGTCCCTCTCTCCTTGTCTCCCTGTCTATCTGGCTCGCTCACCCATGATAGGGTTGGCGACGAGGCTCGCGACGCCCGCCAGCACGCCCTTGCCCACAGACTTCACCCCGCTGGCAACACCAGCTATCGCATCCCTACACACAACACAACACAACACAACACAGCACACCGAAGACACACCAAGTCTGTCTGTCTGTCAGCAACCAGACTCACTTGGGTTTTCTCGTCGAGAAGAGTTCATTGAACATCCGTCGGGCGTCCTCCTCCGACAGCTCAGCAGGCATTCCAGGAGGCCGTCGCTGCTCAACTATCTCGTGATTGGGGGCACCCTCACCAGCCGGCGTCGGAGCCCCTTCAGCAGCACCCGACGCGCTCGGCTGGGCAGGAGGTGCAGGAGGGGGATCCATGGAGGCCGATGGAGACCCAGACGCCTGCATGGGCCTCTTCACCGTGCGAGGGCGGCCGGACGGCGAGTCACTCATCGTCAGTCACAACAATCACGAGGGGAAGGAGAGGGACTCGGAAACACGAATGAAAGGATTCTCCGAAACACTTGCGAGCTTTGTGCGAGCTTCGCGAATGGATCTGCCCCCGCCTTGCTCCACGATCCTGGATCTGGAGCCGCTGTCCGCTGACCATCGAGCTCTCAAGTACTTCCAGACACACCGACTCAAAACACTCATGACCCCACGCTGATCTGTGTGGCATCGGTGTGTCTGCAGTAGGCTGCAGTGGTGGCTGCAGTGGTGGCTGCAGTGGTGGCTGCGGTGGATGGCCTGGCTGCCGTGGACACGCCGTTCCGCTGATTATCGGAGAGTCGCCGACAGTCAGCCGCTGCTATCAGGAGCCACTGCTGATGGTGACGTCAGCGATTCCGACACTCAGCAGCACCTCGACATCGTCATCGCTGGTGGGGCTGGTGACGGTCAAGACCTGCTGCCGGATGTCCTGGGCCGTGTGTTCGCCTCATTGCTGCCTGTGGACGAGTCGGTGAGGGCCCGGGCGGTCGGCAAGACATACAGCTCTCAGCTGATTGACGAGGCCTTCCTATGGCGCATCGACAGCTCCCTCGCCCAGCAGCAGCTCACCGGCCTCATCGACGTGGAGAGGGACCGCGGCGTCGACCCCTCGGCCCCTCCACTGCCGCCGTCTCTCTCGCGGCTTGGGTACCTCTCTCGCTGTGCCTATGTCATCGAGCAGGCGGCTCAGTGGCCCACGATGGTCACATTCATCAAGCTGGCGCGTGTCTGCGGTTTTGCTGGCCAGCTGCCGCTGGTGCTATCGGCTGAGAGTGTGGCGGCTCATGTGCCCGACAAGGTCAGCTTCCAGCGGCTGCCGGCTACCATGGCCGTCTACAAGACGCTCGGGGGTCAGCTCCACAGTGACGACTCCCACCCCAGCAGCTCGGATGAGGGCCTCCAGCTGACGGAGGGCAAGAAGGGGTGGACTTTCTTGATTGTAAAGCCGATTTGGCCGCTGAATTTTCTCCTGAGTTTTCTCCTGACCTTAGTCTTTTCCGCCGTCTATGTGGTGGCCTGCGGGTGGGTGGTCGTGAGAATCCTGCGATGGACTTACAATGACACTTTTGGGCATGACGACAATCTTGGCGATCTCTTTGTGGATTGGCTGGTCTTCATCTTTGTTGGCGGCATCCTGAACATCTGCTTCCTTATAGGGGCCTCTGCTTTCGGGTTTGTGTTCGGTTTGCACGTATGGCACCTGCCGCTTGTGAGGTTGAGGCGACTGCGATGGTTCCGCATCGGGAAGCAGCACCGTTTCCGCCTTGGCGAAAGGGACGAGTCGTTTGGGAGCTATCACGAGTGCGATCCGCCCGTCAAGTGCGGCCGGCGCACCTTTCCCTCTTTCAGCTCATTCGCAATGGCCTCGTTGATGAAGCGAGCGGAACAACCCGGATCTTCCATGAGGACGGTGGTCTCTGCCGATCTCGGCCGGAACCATGTCGGCTATCTGTCACTCCTGCGCGGCTCCTCCTTGGCCGCTGAATCAGACGCAGCCCGCATCGTCATCGATTGGCAACAGGACTGCGTGAGGGGGGGCCGCATGGTGGTCTTAATGCTGGGGGGTGGGACTGTGGTGGCCTTTGTACACCTCGATGGTGACGGCAGCGATGGCGGGCGCGTTGCCGTAAAGACGACCGAGGTGGAGGCGGCGGATGGGGGCGGGCTCGACGAGCGGTTCCCCATCACTACGCTCGCCGTGCGGCAGCTGCTGCGGCGGTATGCTCTCGAAAATGAGACGCTTGGCCCCTCGTCATGACTGACTCATTCATTTCTCTGGAGAGGCTGTCGGTGTCCTGGTTGGGTTTCCGTGCGGTTTGGGCTGTAATGGGGTGGGTGGGCCAGTGCACGTGGTCGATCGAATGTCCGATTACCCTGCGGACATTCGATGACTGCGACGGACGATCGACGAGATTTTTCTTTGCGTGTCCGTCCACACGAGTCGATTGGGGCTGGATCACATCATGGACGGCCCATTGCTGTGATGGTTGAGGGGCATTCGTGTGTGTGTGGACGGCTCTGTCTGTGCTGGTGGCTGATGGATGGATGGATGGATGACGTTGATGACCCTCATTGATTGATTCACTTATCAATCGACAGCAAACGAATGTCACAGAGCTGTCTGTCGGCCCCACGTACGTACGGGCACCACCGCACTCACTCACAGCAGCACGACAGCCAATGGATCGGATGAAATGGAAAAAGGAGCTCACACATTTGTGTAGCCAGGCAGGCAGGCAGACAGATAAGATAGACACAAATACAAAGGCACCCATGTCAGTCAACAACTCAAACTCGTGCTTGCGAGCGTGAAGTGACATGTGTGTGCATGCACAAAGCTACTGACCTGAGAGTATGGTGCCGGTAGCTGGCTACTCAATGCTGGCCGCCCAGCTGCATGATCGATTCTTCCTCGTGCATTAAAGCGGCATGACAGGCAGACAGTCAGACAGTCAGACAGTCAGACGGGCAGGCACTCACTGGCTGCAGACAGGTAAGGTAGGCCAGGGAGGAACAGCAGCAGCAGTGTTGCCATCAATGCCCCTCCTCCAGGTGACCGTGATAGTGATAATACAGCACCCGAGTGAATAGAGCACACAAGCCGAAATCGAATCCATCACGGCACGGACCACACACATGAGGCTCTCACTCATAAGTTTGTCCATATGCAGCACAGCCGCCACTGCCGGTGGGTCAGCCGCCGCATGTCACCCACCACACATACATCACGACTTCATCTCGTGGTCGGCCTCGCCCTCTTGCTCCTGCTGCTGCTGGTGGCCCTCCATCTCTTCTCGTGGCCGCTTCGTTCCGCGACGTAGCTGAGTGATACAGAAGAAGCAAGCCACTGTGTTTGGTTCACTCGGGCAAGCAATCGGGTTTTGTGGGGGTACCTGATCATTCTCCTGCCGCAGGCGCTCGACCTTGGCCTCCAAACGCTGCCGAGCGTCCTTCTCCTGCATAGCCAAAACAAGTACACACAAACAGACCGTGGGAGGGCACAGAGAAAGGAACAGGTGTGGCTGGTACTTGACGCACCTGATCTCTCTCCTGACGCAGCTGTTCCTTTTCGGCCCCGAAACGCTGCCGCTCGGCTTCATGAGCCTTCTGCCGATCAGTCGCCTCCTGTGTGCCAGAGACACATCCAAGCACACAGAGCAATAGTGGGTGAGAGGGCACAGAGGGAATATCAGACCGCCGAATGGGATCGGCTAACCTTGACAAGAGCATCGTACAGCTGATGGAAACGTTTGTCTCCTCGTCCGTCGAAGGCCTCCTCGACGGCCTCCGTGACTGCGGTGTCGAAGGCCGTGCGCACTGCTGCTGGGAGCGTGGGCAGGACGGGGAGGACAGCAGCCACATCAGCAGGATTCTTCTCAATGAAGCCGGCCGTCAGCTTCGAAACGATGATGTCACAGCTCTTCTCCGGCAGATCACCGACCGCCGCCGCCCAGCACAGCATGAGTCGGAGGGGGTGATCGCGCACCTTGATCAGGTACTTCAGTATGCGAAGAGCGACCTCACGACGAATCGACCTGAAAAGGCGGACACCAATCGAGCCATGCACCACCAGTGTATCTGCAGCTGTGCATTAATGCGTTTGTGTTCCCTCTTTGCTCACCTGGCCATGTGTGTGACGTCATCCCACCGCCCCTCCTTGACACACAGCCGGAGGTAGTGAAGGGCAAGAGCGCGCATCGGGAAGTGTCGCACCGTCACTGCCATGATGACGTCCTTGAGCCGCGCCTCTCCCGCCCCTTGCTGGGCAAGCGACTCGCGCGAGATGTTGCGTCGGTTGATGAACGTCGTGCCCCTGCCTCCCCCCAGCACCTGCACAATGAAGCGACGCACAGACGGGCCGCCGTCCCTCATGCGGATCTCCCTACTGGCCGCCTCGTGTAGCTCGATGACCTTCCGGCCGGCACCGCTGTGTGCTGCTCGCGCCGCTGCCGCCGTGCCATCGCCATCAGCACCACCGCCGGCGATCTCCAGAGAGCCGTCAGCAGCGAAGCACCTCACGAACGACTCCCCCTCCGCGCCGTCATCGACACTGTTGAAGGCGATGTCCCAGCCGCCGACGTCTGCAATTTTCGCATTGCCGTCGCCTATGGCGTTGGGGGGCGGGTCACGAGATGTGGGAGCGGAATTGGGAAGGGTGTAGGGATGGGGAAGACCCGCGAGCGTCATCGAGAACCCGAGGCACGTCACGGATCCCTGCTGGTTGTTGGCGAAGGGCTGTGCGGTCACTGAAGAGGGCTCAATGAACACGTCAGCCTCGAAGGCAGCCGCTGCAGCAGACACAACACAGCAGGGCAATCATCCAAGTAGGCATTGCAGCCCGCTGCCTCCCCTCGTACCATATGCGGCAGCTAATGATTCAGAACCGGTGGCCATCGTGATGAACTGGGCGACCTCCTGGTGGCCAACATCGATGCGACCATGGGATAGCCCATCCACCAGGCTGTCCACCAAGCTGATGGCTGCTTCGATGGCGTCATTCGTCTCGTCCTCGCGTTTCTCACGCCGACGCCACTGGGCACTGATAACCTCGGGCTTCTTGCGCAGCGCCGGCAGCAGGGCCGTGCGAATGTCCTTGTGCTGGTGGATGAGGCGGGCGACGAAGGCGTAGCGGCTGAAGCTGTCCAGCAGACTGGTGGCGAGCTGATTGTCATGCAGCCAGCCTCCCACCACCACCTGTAGCACACAGACCAAGGACACATCAACTCGCAGCTCACGTGACCCTCTTAACTTGTTTAGCGCACCTTGCGATGGATGCCCCAGAGCAGGCTTTGGTTGCTGCCCGGTGTGAAGATCTTGTCGGTATCGAACTGCAGGTAGTCGAGTGCAATCATCACATCCAGCAGGTTGTCATTGCTCAGCGAATCGATGATGTCCAGCTCATGCTGCAGCACCACCACACCGACGGCTCGGCTGATCCGCTCGATGCGCACTTCACGCTGCTGGCCCTCCTGGAATTCGCCATCAAGGACCTGCACGGACGCACACAGAGATGAGGAATGGCCACGGGCATTTCTGATCTGCTGCGTCCGGTGCTGTGTCTGACCTGCTGGAAGTACTTGATGGACTGCTCGACGAGAGCACTCATCGCAGCAGGACTCGCCGACAGATAGCTACCAGCTCGGGCGGCAAACGCGGTTTGTTTGACGGGCCTTCGCGCCTCGAGGAGATCAGACGTTCTTAGTCGGCGCTATCAAATGCGGTGAAGAATGCGCGCACAGCCACACAAAACAGTGCGGACTGTCATTCCCGCTCACTCGTGTCCATCTTTGTGTGTGTGCTGTCCTACCTCAGGTACTCGTTGTTCGGTGAGGAGCCTCAGGCTGGCCGTCTGTTTGTCTGTCTGAAGCACACCTCTGGTGGCGTCTGCCCGGCCACTTCTCGTCCTTGCTCAAGAGCAGCTTGAAGGGCAGGTGCACAAACGCATGCACATGCATGGCCAGATGCTTGGCCATAGCAGACAGACAGACAGACAGGCACAAGATGGATCGGATGCATGATGCGGCACATGCGCCGCCACTCTCACTCTGTATATGTACCCACGGCACATGACATGTGTTGTATCCCTCTCTCTGTGTGCATGCTGGCTGTCGTTCGTTATGTAGGTGTGGCTGTCTGTCGTTGAGGGGAGCAACTCACTCTCCCTGCCTGCCCGTCGCGCACGATGTCTGACCTGCCCAGCAGCAGCAGCTGCAGGCTCAGCTTCTGCGTCCACAGATCAGCGCCGAACCCCTACCACGACTACAGCGGCTACAACTACGACCCCAACAGCAAGCCGTACAACGACTATCAGTACTACGTGGTGCTGCCTGTGGGCGCGAGTGTGGCGACGTTTGAGCTGACCGAGGGCGTCGTCAGCCGCACCATCACGCCCACGCGGGCACGGCAGCTCATCGCCAATAACGGAGCCGACCCATGCGTACGGGTCACCGTGGTGTGGGGCTACAAGCGTACGTCGTCATTCATGGGCTACGGAAGACACCCGCCGCAGGTGGCCGAGTATCCTCTCATGGATCTGGCCATCGACCACGACCTCGACAGCCTGGTCAATGGAGAGGACGTCATGTACGGCGTGCGCTGGCCGGACCATCCAGACGGCGTGAGTGTGGTCATGGCCATGCTTGAGGGCGGAGCGGACGTCGGCATGGCCCTCGGCATCGCTGTCGAGCGCATCAATGAAGCCGTCGTGGACGCGGCCCTGCAGCACCGCCCCGACCCGAATGCGTCGACGGCCGTCGGCATCCAAGGCTGCGTCGGCCGCATGCTCGAGAAGGGACGGCGCAGCGATGCCCGTGCTGCCACGTGCACACGCATCTTCCTCAAGCTCGTGAAGCGCAACCCGACATTGGTGAGCGACGACACGCGAGTGGGCGGCATCTGTGGCCGCCTCGCCGGCAGTCCGGGACAAGAGCCGGCAGCAAGTGTGGACGAAGCCTTCTGTGACACACTCTTCGACACCCCCCGCCCGCTGCAGGCCACCTCCTTCGCCTCCCTCGTCCACGCAGCCATTGAGAGCGGGTCTGTCGCTGCCTTCAAGTGGCTGTGCCGCAAGAACCGAGCTGCGACAATGACCTACATCAATTCGCCAAGGGGGGGAGTAGCCGGAGGAACGCCTCTCCACTGCATTGCGTTTGGTCGTGGGCGGCTGCCGGCATCCCAGGCGATCAAGAATATGCAGTTCATCCGCCAGATGCTCGTGCTCGGGGCGTCCTTCGAGTCGGCTGTGGGCCAAGGACTGCAGCGTATGGACCTCGTGCGCGACGTCTGAGGTTTGCATCTGAGGACGCTGTCAGACATGCGTCAGGTGCAGACGGTCATCAACGGCTCACTCGAATTCATGGCGCATCTGGCAGCGGAGCTCACTGACATCCTCGACACAGCGACGGCCCGGCAGCAGCACCAGCAGCAGCACCAGACGGCCGTCATCGCCCCCCCTCAGCAGATGGGTCCGTTCGCCAGGCGCGTTGCCGCCTTCTGTGTGCCCATCCCCGACCAGGAAATTGAGGACCAGACACGCCTCGGTCAGCGTGTCAATGCGGCCATCCGTCGGTTCACCGCCGCGGCTGCGCATGCCTTTGCCGCGAGCGATGGCGAGGCGCCGGCGAGCGTGTCGTCGCTCATGTGCTTCGTGCTGGGGCAGCCGGGCGGCCCGCAGGTGGGCGTGCGGGAGGTGGTCGTCAAGTCGATAGCGGACGAGGCGGCCCGACATGGCCTGACGATAGCAGGGCTGCCGACTCTTGTGCCGACGTTCGACCTGCGCGACGTGGGGTATGTGCGAAGGGTGGGCGGCAGCGAGGCGTTTGAGCCGATGCATCTCGAGTCGCTGACAGACAGGCAGCCGGGCGAGTCGCCGGGTCTGGCCAATGTGCCGCCCTTGTGGGTACTTAACTGGCTTTGACCTTTGTAAGTGTATATCTGCCGTCCTTCCTTTTTGGTACGTACGGTTTTCTTCCTTCCTTATCAAGCAAGCGCCCGGCGTGTGTTTGTGCTCCATTGTCTGCCTGTCTGCTGCGGTAGACTCACTGACCGACTCCATGGATGGATGGAAGAAAGTATGCAGTACACTGACTGACCAGTATATGTGGAGTGTGTGGTGGGTGGTGCGATCGGTCGATCATGAAGTGGTTGTGTGCTCTAGTGTCACGGTGACGGAGGGGGGTTTTGATGGCCTGCTGCCTGCCTTCCCCTCACCGTCCTGCATGCCTACCTGCCCGTCTGTCTGTCTATCTGTCGCCCGCCAGTCATGTCGTTTTAATGCACAGCTGGGCGGAAGCAGAGACAGGGCAGCCAGCCTCACTCGCGGCGCATTGATTGCATGGCCTTATCGCTGTCGTGCTGCCTGTCTGTCTGTCTGTCTGTCTGTCTGTCTGCCGCCCCTTCCTGTTATCTGTCGATAGCTTAGTAGCCACAGCCATGGCTGCCTCTCTCTCTCTCTCTCTGTTTTGATGGGACGACACACATGCCTCGCTTCTCCTTTCCATCCATCCATCCATCCATCCATCCATGTCTGTGTGTGTTTCACACTCGTCGTCCATTCACACACACACACAGACACACACCATCATACCAGACAGACAGACAGCTCCGATGCAGTCAGTCATTTTTGCCAGCCCCTTTGTACACGGCGTTGATGCCGTGCCGAGGGGGCGGGTGGGTGTTTGGGTTCCCTTCCTGTGTGTGTCGTCCTGCATTCACATCGGTTTGCGTCCCCCTCCTGCATGGCGCTCGGTCACGACTCGAGGCTCTCTTGCTGAACGTTTCCATGTACATACGTACACAACGCACATTGATGCAGTTGGATCCGTCCATTGTGCATGATGGATGGTATGTGGTGGGTGGGGTGCGATGCGTGTCAGTCATGTGCCCGTGGTCCGTCTCTGCTGCCTTGCCTGGTACCTGTGGACGTCCGTACGTACGTATTTGTCTCTCTGTCTGTCTGTCTTTCTGTCTGTCTCTAGACAGAGCTATGTACATACATATACTGAGTGTGCACATCAAGTGCACATTGGGCCCTCCCTAAGCTTGCTTCTCTCTGTCCGAATGTGTTGCCCGGTGGCTGACTTGGTGATGCCTGGGCGGTCGCAGATAGACAGTGCGGCCGTGGAGGTGTGTGAGGACGTGTGAGTGAACAAAAAGCGCTGCAGCTCGAGCCGCCGGTTTAACGCATTTTCTGTTTCGCCTGGGCCACTGCAGCAGCAGCAGTGCGTCAGAAACATGCATTCAATCATCTCGCTCCCTCGCCATTTGCGAGCTAATTTGCGAAAGGGGTGAGTCACTCTTCTCGGGGTTGGTGAGTCACTCGGCAAACTCTTGACGACTTCCTGGTCTGCATAAGCTGCTCTACAGGCCTCTTCTTGCGCTTATCGTTCACACGTCGAGATGTCGGCGCCTCCAGCAGCAGCAGCAGCGGCTTCATCATTCTCCCCATCTCTCGACTCCAACATGAGCCCTTCATCGATAGGCCGCATCATGACTGTCAAGGACGTCGTGGGCGAGGCCATGCAGTACCTCCAGTACGCCGACGTGCGCTCACTGATCATCTCCCTGGGGCGAATGACGCCTCAAGAGGTAGGCAGGGGAGAAGCAATCACGGAAAGCACAACGGTTTGCTTGCGTCCAGGTCGATGTGTTTTATGAGCCCCTCTGCCGCGCCCGCAATGTGCTGCCCGCCTCCCCGACTCCTCCCACGTCGTCCCGTCCACCGTTCAGGCCGCTCTTTTTCCGCCGAATCTACGGCAGATACTGCGATGAGTGCAGCCAGCCGCTCATCGCGGCACCAGCAGCAGGGGCAGGGCACTCGAGCGCATCGTCGCCAGGGCCTTCGTCGCGCGGCAACGTGTTCTTCTGCCGCACGGTGGTGTTTTGTTTCCGCTGCAAGGCCAAGTTCCACCGGCGGCGGGCGCTGGGCGCCGCGCTGAGGGACATGGCGAAGTCCAAGGCGTCGCTGGTGAGGCTGGGGGTGCCATGGGAGGAGGTGCCGTTCGCGCATGGGGGACTGGTGAGGGATGGAGAGCAGGGAGGCGGCTTGTGCTGCCGTCATGTGACATGATGTGAAGCATCTCTTGTCGGCAGGTGGTTGAGAAAGCGGCGTGGTCGCGCATCCGCGAGACCTACCGGCGTCGCGTGTGTGCGGTGATGCGTGAGATGAGCAGGACGTTCGAGTCTTCACTTGTTCGGCAGTTCGGCCTCCCGCTGTTCCAGCGGGTCATCGCCCCTGTGTTCCCGCCTGAGAGATGTGCTCACAGGGGGCAGGGCAGGGCCAGACAGCCGTCACTCATCGTCAGGTGAGACTCATACACACACACACATGGAAGAGAGAATGGATGGATGGATGCATGGATACATACATCCCTCTGTGTTTGTGTGTGTTGTCAGGACTGTGATGTCGTGTTTGAAGGCGCCGTACGCTCAGTACAACGCCGCTGGGGACGACGTGACCCGCTTTGTGGAGGCCATGGACGAAATCAAGGCCATACTGAAAAAGGTGAGGCCTAGCCAAACTCACTCGACCAAACCAACCCACTCCATCTTCCTGTCTCATGGCTTTATCCATGATGGTCAGTATGTGGAAATCGCCACCCACGAGCATTTTGACCTCATGAACCAGCTCGTCTCTCAGCGGATACAGAGATACCAAGTACGAACTCAGACCGCCCAGACAGACAGAGCGTCCACACCCTCTTATGCGCCTCATCTCATTCTGACCTGCCCCTGTGTATTCCGTCAGATTGACGAGAGCCCCCTGGTGCCGCTGTACCTGAATCTGGCGCACGGCATCCTCTTCCCACCCATCCCGGCCCCACTACCACCCACCCGCCGACACACACACGGCTGGACCGACACACAGGACGGCAACAGCGGCAGCAAACGGGGCAAGAGGGCGGGCGACAAAGCGACGGAGACCACCGTCAAGTCTGACGTCAAGAAGATGCTCGCACCGGTAAGTGAGCCAGGGAGGGAGGGAGGAGGGAGTGGATCACTTGGTGGGTGCATGGATCAGCCCCCCCCTCTCTCTCTCTCTCTGTGTGTGTGTGTGTGTGGACCTAGTACATGCCGGGCACGAGCAAGGCGTCGTTGCAGCGTGAGGGCTACATCAGCAGCGGCAGCAGCCCGTCACTGGCCGTCCCTTCCCCCCTGCGGCCGTCGCCCGCTTCCTCGCCACCACCCTCACCCAGATCTATGCCGTGATGGATGGATGGATGCATGGCCGCTTGTACTATAGGCAGACAGAGAGGGAGGGAGGGAGGCAGGGAGGGAGAGAGGGACAGGGGAGTTTTCTCTCTGGCTTGTTTGGCTGGCTGGCCCATGATGGAATGCCCACGGCTCACATGGCATTGGGCAGGTGAAGCCATCGGCTGTCCCAGCCCCTTTGTGGAAGGTTAGGTGTGCACACAGACTGGCTGTACATCTGCGCTTGCAATTGAGAAGGAGGCAGAGAATATGCATTTGTGGTGCTGCCTGTTGCTGCCGGTGGTGGAGGGGGGGAACAAGTGCGTTGGGCGGCTGACATGACACTTGCGTGTATACATGGGAAGACGCAAGCAAAGGGTCTGGTCTGAATGGTCTATCTATCCCTCAGTGAGGTCATCGTTGAAGTAAAGATGTATCACTGGCACATGGTCGTCGGGGTCAAGACCAATGCTCTGCAACTCCTGAAGATACACACAAACACACACACACCCATCGAATCGACACACAAATATAGAGGAAGTGCGGAGAAGTGCCTGACCTCGCTGTCATCGGGCATCCCGTTCTCATCCAGCGTCTTGCTCATATCTGCATCCACACCCACGCACATGTGTCTCCCTCCCTCCCTCCCTCCCTCCCTCACGCCCCCACTCACTGACCCACCGAGAGGCACAGCGAGTCTCTTCCAGGTGTATGACGCAGCCTGGAAGTTGTAAGGCAGATACCGCTCCTGGATCTCCTCCAGAGTCTCCTCACTGCACACCTGCACCCACACCGGTGCCGTCTGTCAGCACGCATCTATGGCTTACCACCAGGTCGGTGGTCTGCCGTGTGAGCAGGTTGAGCAGCCGAACTGTCCTGGTCTTACGCGTCAGGTCGCCAATCTGATACCTCTCGTCACGCCACCATCTACACACACAATCACATTCGTGTCTCTCTCCATGTGTGTCTCATGGCGTATAGTCTGCTTATTACGGCGTGCCGAAGTCTGTGGCCCAGGCCGAGTCGGGGTAGATTGGCCCCACGTGGATGAATCGGCCCTGAGGGCAGTACACGCCCTCGAGACACGATTGGGGATCGACGTACCGTCTCGCCTGCAACCAACCACATAGAATGGGGTGCTGGAAGAAGGAAGACATCCGTGTGTGCAATCCATCGTACAGACCTCCTTTGTTTCTGGGTCGAACCAGTGCGTCACGTCACCCCCCGCAGCCTCGGTTATGGGACTTGCCAGCGGGCCTGATAGATAGACAGACACACGAACAAACGGACAGTCACCGGAAAAGATGGATACATGTGTGTCGGTCTCTTCTTTCTGGCCAGCCGTGACGGTCACCTTTGTACTGCGCCAGGAGGTGCGTGAGGTCAAACACCTTGCCGAACAGCGTCACCCAGCAGTCATGCCCGCTGCAGTGGCGTGCGACATCGTCTGGCGTGTAATACCTGAAAGACAAGCAGCAAACATCGATGCAGTGAGCCAATGTGGGTATCGTCGTTGCCCTGCCTCCATCCTGTCAGGCTGTTGCGTGGCCGTCTCCCTCTCCCCCTCTCTCTCTTTTTCTCACCTCCTTCTGGCGTATGGCTTCGGCACATCACCAGGGCCGCTCACAGGCTGCCCGCCACTCGCTCCATTGCCCTCCATTGCCTCTACTCCCTCTGTTTTTCTCTTCTGAAAGGTATCGTTTTAACTTTGAGCTCGCAGCTAAGCTTGCAGACCTCGAGCAATTTCTCGTGCAGATCTCAGAGCGTTTTGGCATCTACTGCAGCTGCTGACGATGTCCCGTCTGTGCGGCAGCTGCACTGAGGACGAGCATCAGTCGGAGATCTTGGAGGACACTGCCGGCAGCAGCATCATACAGCTGCCCATCCAGACCGACAATGAAGTAAAAGACCAGGCCAATCAACACTCAAATGGTGCGGGCACACATCGTGATGCCGCACACAAGTGGCTGTCGTGAAATACCTTCACACGCACACTCACGTGTGTGTGCACATCTCTCTCTGTGTGTCTGTGATGGTGTGGCTGTCTGTGGGCAGATGATGGGAATGCGGCGGCCAAGCCTGGTGCAGTGGCGGCCATGTGCAGCTGCTGCGAATACGTCGAGGAGCAGGGCAAGCTGAAGCTGCAAGGTGCGCACACACACACTTCCACTCACAGCTGCTGTGTTGATCCTATCCTTCACCATCCACGCGTCCGTCAGAGTCGCTCCGATTGGTACTGGAGTCTCCCGAGTTCAAGGCCTCGCCCCGCGCCGGGATGCACAAGGTGTTCTTCGAGGACAGCACATCCATGTGGTCGCAGGTCAGTGCGCGGGGCGGGCAGCTGTGTACGAAAGGCGGACACATTGCTGGCTGTGTGGTGTGTGGTGTGATGATGTGTGGTGGGTGGGTCAGACCGTCACAAGAAGCCTGGCTAGCCGCAGCCAAGGTCACTTGACGGTCACTCTTCCTCTCTCTCGCTGTATATGCAGATCTTCGCGTGTGCAGGTTTGGCGGGCATTGTGCTGCTTTCGGGGCTGCAGCAGCAGCAGAAGGAGTCATCTGGCAAGACTAAGGAAGAGGTACACATCTACGTGCAGGTGTAGCTATGGGTGTGCGGAATTGCCTACATGCGTGTGTCTGTGTGTGTGTGTACAGGCTTCGACTGCTCCCAAGGTGAACGGATGTCTTATCAAGGGAGACACTGACAATGGTACGCACATCATGCCCACGCCTTGATGGGTCGATTATGAATACCCATCACCCTCGACGGCATGTGCGCGCGTGTGCGTGTCCTGCAGCGCCGAAACAGAAAGGAGATATCGGTAGGCGCCTTGCACACATAAACAACCACAACCGGCACTCTCCTCTCCATGTAAGGTCTGGTGTCTGCCCGCCTACCTGTGCTGTGCACTGACTGCACTGACTGCAGCCGTCCCCGTGGCCTCGCCTCCACCGTCGGACCGCCAGGCACCCTCAAGCAGACCTGCCCTCTTCAAAAAGTCCAAAATGTGCGTAAGTAAACAGTATTCGCTTCTCATGGATTTGTATGTGTGCGTGTGTGTGTGCGTGTGTAGGAGGCTCTTCGTTGCCGTGGCTGGGGTAGCGGTTTTGATCGCCGCCGCGATTGTGCTCGGCCTCATGCTGCCATACTCCTTCTCACACACATGTAAGGACACCTACCTTCACACACAAAGACATCACCACCCTTCCCTCCCTCCCTCCCTGCATGTCATGTGCAGCCCCTATAGTGCCGGTGGGTATCGAGGGCGCCGTTGTGGCCGCCAAAAGGACCTTCTATGCCCCAGGTAGGTAGGTAGGTAGGTAGGTGGGGGCGGCGGGGATAGGACACAAACGTCTCATGTCCATCACACCTGTGGTGTGCGTGTGTGTCTGTTGCTCGCTGCGAGTGCAGGTGGCTACATTTTGGATGGCCGTGACCCAGTGGCGTACCGGAAGCTCGAAAGAAATGCTGAGGTATCCATCCATCCATCCACACAAATGGAGAGGTGGAGTGCATCGCATGGGATCTCGTGTGTGTGTGTGTGTGTGTGTGTGTGCAGCCAGTGATGGGCAGGAAAGGCGATTCGACGCTCGAGAGCGACTACAAGGGGCTCTTCAAGGTACGCATCGACGTTGCTTAGGTCGTGAATCGACAAGTTGTGTGTGTGAGTCTGTTCTGTTGCCCAGGTTGCCTTTGCCAGCAAGGAGCACAAGGAGATGTTTGATACCAACCCGCGTAAGCAAGCATCGATTCCACACACGTGTGGTGTGCATACCCATTTGTGTGTGTTGTGGGTGCAGGTGCGTATCTGCCCAAGTACGGGGCCTGGTGTGCCTGCGTCATTGCTCACGGAGGTCAGTAAGTGCACACACACACACACACACACACATACGAAGACACATTGCGTTGATATATTCACTCAGAGTACCGGCCGGCCGACCCGACAATGTGGGAGGTCCACGAGGGGGAACTTTATGTCGCCCACGGCCAGCGGGAGCTGGTCAGTGGAGCACTTGCAACTGCACATGGCTGTGATGCACACTTCAAACGCACACAGAGAGAAATGCATCTGAGTGTGTCCGCTCCGCGTGTGTGTGAGTATGGTGTGCAGGAGGTGTGGCGTGCCGACCGTTCTGGTTTCATCACGGAGGGCAACCGCTTTTGGGCGGCTCAGGGGTGGGCCAACTAGCGGACGTACTTACATGTACTCACTCACTGATATACTCAGTCCGTATGTGTGTACCATGATGTCTGGATGGTACATTCGTCTCTGGCTGGTGTCACGTCACAGTGGTTGGTGTTTTTGTTTGTGGCTGCATGTGTGTGTATTAGTGTGTGTGTGTATGTGTGGGGGCGGCCGGTCTGATCGATCCTATCCATGACACGTGGTGCATGCGCATCACGGATACTTTATTGTGTAGTTCCCCCTCTCCCTCTCTCCCTTCCTCCCGCCCTCTTGTCTGTCTGTCTGTCTGTCTGTCTGCTCTCTGTGTCTCCCTCCCTCTTGCCAGCCGTGTATGTATGTGATTTATTCGTTCCCTCCAGCAAGCAGGACAAGACACTCATAGACACATGGGGCGGGGGCGGCCATACATACATACGTACGTGCAGGTGTGTGTCACTAGTGTTTTTGGTCCTTCTGTGTCTCTTGTCTGCGAGCTGCGATGTGTATCCTCCGTCCCTGCCTCCATCCATCCATCCATCCATTGTTTTTCTGCTCGCTTGGTGTTTTTCACTCTCTTGCTGTGGGGGTGGAATCCTGCCTGCCTCCTGTGTCTTGAACTGGTGAGAGGATGTGGCATGAGTAGCTAGGTGATTGTCTGTGTGGATAGTACATGCAGTGCCTGTGTGGCGTCTGCGGGTGGCCATGTGCAGAATTAACAATGGTGTGTAAGACTCGTTAAGACTCGTCTGCTCCAGTAGATCACATGCGCAGTGCCCCCCCCCCCTCCCTCCCTCCCTCCCTCTCTGCACACACAGCCCACCCCTGCGCACATCCCTGTGTGTGGGAAGGTGCCTGTCTGCCTGCTGCGCACTCCTGCACACCAACAGTCGACCGGTGGATGGATGAACGTACCGCAAAGACCGATGACTGATTTGACTAGCCATCACGCTCCCCCCCACACACATACACGCACTTGAGAGCTCACGCGACGACGCCGATCCCATCGGAGCAGAGAAGTGCTGTCTTCAAAGACTTTTGCACGGGCAGCATCGATACCCATCAAGTCTGGCAGAGCAGCAGACAGATAGACAGACAGGCACTTAGACAGAACATACTGCCAGAATCAGCCACACCACACTACACCCTCTCTTGCTTCTTGTCTCACTAGCAAAGGACGACCAGATATGATATGTACATGTGTGTGCATAATCGACAGACACGTGGATGGGATGGATCATACCAATGGCATCCATCCAGTCACTTGAGGCAAACACACACCAGCCACCCTCTACGCCCACCCACTTGATGTTATCCATACCTCTACACGTACGGTGCTCGTGCTTAAACAAAGACGCGCGAGCCTTTACACATTCACCCATCCTATACTATGTGTGTGCGCCAAGGCACTCACCCACACACGCACCCACACATGTGTTGTGGTGTGTCTACCAGTAACCGCCGTAGCCACCGCCGTAGCCACGGCCATACCCACGGCCGTAGCCACCGCCACCATACTTCTTGTTCTTGTAGCCATACCACTTCTGCTTGAGCTTGTTCTTGTAGTACTTGAGCTTGTCCCAGAAGTCCGGGCCCAGCCTCCGCTCTGTGGGACTCGATGACTCCTCCACAGCCTCCAGGCCACTGGGCTCATCTTCATCTTCATCTGCACACACACCACACACACATACAGTACGTGGCCAAAATAATCTATGACGTGTGTGGTTGCGGGGGATGTCTGTCTGCACACCCACCTGTCGGTGCCGCCGTCGGCTCATCAGCCGCGACCTCATCGTCTGCTGCCGCTGGCTCCGTCACAAGAGCATCAGACACACCACCTACTTACAAGCACACAGACAGGTACACACGAAAGGCGTACCTGTGGCTGCGAGGCATCTATGTCACTTCGTGTGTGCGTAAGTACCATCGGATGTCACTTCGTCGGTGTCATCAGCTTCCCCGCCTCGCAAACGCCGGGCCGCCGCAGACGGAGCATCGGCATTTGCAGCCCGCCGCTTCTGATCATCAGCGCAGACCAGTGCGATGCCGAGCAGGCACACCAGCAGGGAAAGGAGCTTCATCGGTCGTGGAGCGGACGGACGACGGGTGGAAACGCAGACGAGCAGCGGGCAGGTGAAGAGACGACAACAACAACAACAACAACAAGGGGCTGGCTGAAGAGAATAATGAGGAGAGAGAGACTCGGAGTCAAAAGCGATGAGAGTGGAGGGAGTCGAGGGATGCTGCAGATGAGAGGACAGAAAGGGGAGAGGAGGAGAGAGGATCTCTCTCTGTCGTCGCACGGCTAACGCAGAGAGAGGAGGAGAGCGCGGGAACTGCAACGGCCGCGAATTATGTAAACGCTCTCATGTGGGATTGCACGAAAACTTTCGAGGATGTCTGTTCATATCATGAACTGATTGCTTCCGATGTGCGACGCGTCTTGATCATTCGAAACTCAGACAAAGAGATCCTCGTGGATGTACAGCGACAACAGTCGATCTGTCCTCACACGCAGACGCGTACACACACATCAGACTGCGAGACACACAATCAGCCGAACGTGTGATGGTCGCCTGCGCACACACCACAACACACACAGACACACACTCACGACACGCATCTCCATCGATCGATCGATCTGACTCGTCTGTCTACCTTTCCTGAGTTTTGTGGTGAGTTTGGGTTCTCTGTAGTCGATGGCCGTCCTCTCCCTCATTCGCCTCGGCCCTCGCTCCTCTCCCCCTGTCCGCCCCCGACCATCGCTGCTCGCCCCCTGCTGGTGCTGGTGCTGGTGGTGCTGCTGTTGGTGTTGTTGGTGTGTTGGTGCGGAGGATGACGGCGGCCTGTGTCGCTTGACGAAGAAGGGATAGAAGTCGAGCGGGCCGTCTGCATTTGAGCGGCGGCGCAGCTTGGCAGTGAGTTTGAGCGATGGTGGGCAGTAGTTGACTCCTCGGCTGTGGTTGCGCAAGTGATAGCGACATCCATTCACACACTCGCTGACCTCACGCTCACCCTCACACTCATCACCCCTGACAGACACAAACTCACACACACACACACACACACACAATGTCTCGCTGTCTCACTTCTTGCTGACCTGTGCTGCGGTGTGTCTCCATTGTCATTGTTGCCGTGTGGGTGTTGTGGTGGGTCGGTGCGATGGTGGTCGGGAGTGTCATTGATGTGCTGCGGTGGAGTGTGTGGGCCCGGCTGCTTCTGCTGCTCTTGGTGTTCGTCATCGTTGTCATCATGTTCCTGCATGCAATTGGATGGGATGGGCGAGAGGGCGGGGCGATACCGACGGTGGGGATTGTGATTGTTGTTGTTGGCAGTGGGGCGACCCACACGAACACCGCTAGCCGTCACACTGCCAAGACGGTGATGGTGGGCAACAGGCAAAGGGGATGCCACACGAACCTGACACATGCACACAAACAGTGAGTGCGCATCGAGTCTGATTTTCGTGTGTGGTTGGTTGACGTGTGATTGATTGTGCTGTCCCCTTCGCTGCCGCAGCACGTGATTCTCGACCACCTGACGACAGACAAACACACTATCTCACTTTGGGTGAGTGAGTGTTTGTTTGTGTCACGAGTCTGTTGATGGCGCTCCTCTGTGCGTCGATGATCCGCCTGGAGTGATCGATGTAAACCACACAGACACAAAGATGAGCTGTCATGTGTGTCGGCTTGCCTGATTCACTCACTCGTAGTATTGTGCGATGCTGTCAATGTCGCGCGGCACGCCCGCCCGCCGCCAGCGATACTGAACCGCACCAGACGGCGGCAATGGCTGCCTCACACCACTCATCATCACGATCATGCCACTTCCGACACACACGACCAAGAACGCTCTCAAATACTTGTCACTCACTCAATGACCGAGGCGAATTCGTTTTGTCCAAACGACCGATCGGTGTACATGTACAGTCGCCATCCAACGGTCAATCAACAAATGGGCTCAGTCAATCACACAGCCGACAACACAGACCGCTCTCGTGACCCATGTTTGGTCAGCTGCCGCCTGTCGCTGTTGACCTGGCCTTCCCTCTCCATCTCACCTCGTGGCCGCCTCGGCCCATGGCACTTCTGAGCGGCGACCTGCCGCTAAAATTGAAGGGCAACAATACATACCAGCAGACGATGGATGCGGCTGACTGCACAGTGTTGTCACCTGCCCCTTGAAAGTTCGACCTCAGCCTCCAGTCGCCGCCGCCTGGCCGCCTCCTGAACAACACATGATGGACCATACAGAGATAAGTAGTACCACCACGAAGAGGCTGCGGCCGACTGACCTTTTTGTTGCGAGCGGCTTCTCGGCTGACGAGTGCATCGAACAGCCGTGTGAAGTCATCGTCATTCTCGACGGCGCTGCGGAGAGCATCCTTGAAGGCCGACCGGACGGCTGAGGGAAGGGCCGGCAGGAGAGGAAGGATGCCGGGCACGTGATCCAGGCTCTGGCGGATGACCCCGGCCGTCAGACGGATGACTCGGCTCTGAGCTGCGACGGATGCGGGGGTTATGGTGGTAAGCCTGCCGTCGAAGAGCTGTTTGAGCATGTCATTTGTGTCCCGCTTGTCCTCGAGGATGGTCTTGAGGGTTGTTGTCTGGGTCTGTCGGGCGTGGAGCTGTGTCTGCTGCTGTTTGGCGAGGAGGGAATAATTAAGGCCGCGTCGTGTCGAGCCCAGGGCCGACAGCGTCAAGAAGAAGGTCAGGATAAGACACGCAAACATCACCGTATAACCTGCGGACTATTGTTTTCTACGGACGAAATAGTGGCCGACGAGATCTTGTTGCTGACGTGCTTCACATACCGTCCTGGCGATATGAGTGGTCTCGTCAGGCCGTCCATCTGCGTGCGCTTCGCCGGCGATGGCGAGGCAGATGAGCCGCTGGTCGTCCATGAGACGATCCTCCATCAGTTTCAGTACTTCCAGCGAGTAAGACTCAAAGCACCAGACGCAGCAGATCAGAAATGCACATCGGCCCGCTTCGTCTGTGTGTTCGTGCAGCTGTTGGATGGTGAGTTTCAGGAGGGCCAGCAGCGTGAGGTGCGCATCGAGCGCATCAGCCGAGCCGTGGGGCTGGTGGTGCTGCAGCATGAGCTGGACATCATCGATTCGCTCACCAAGGACAACCTGCTGGACGCGATGATTGCACTCGACTACCTGCAGTTCGATACCGACAAGATCTTCACACCGGGCAGCAACCAAAGCCTGCTCTGGGGCATCCATCGCAAGGTGCGCTAAACAAGTTAAGAGGGTCACGTGAGCTGCGAGTTGATGTGTCCTTGGTCTGTGTGCTACAGGTGGTGGTGGGAGGCTGGCTGCATGACAATCAGCTCGCCACCAGTCTGCTGGACAGCTTCAGCCGCTACGCCTTCGTCGCCCGCCTCATCCACCAGCACAAGGACATTCGCACGGCCCTGCTGCCGGCGCTGCGCAAGAAGCCCGACGTCATCAGTGCCCAGTGGCGTCGCTGTGTGAGAGGGGAGGAGGCAGATGACCCCATCAAGGCGGCCATGAGCCTGGTGGACAGCCTGGTGGATGGGCTGTCGTCTGGCCGCATCGATGTGAGCCGCCAGGAGGTCGCCCAGTTCATCACGGCTGCGACGGGTAGCACGTCTCTTGCTGCAGCGCACGGTGAGGAGAGAGTCGACAGGCATGCTGTCAGCACTCACATGAATTCATCCTTGGTCTGCAGGTTCGGTCTTCGAGAGGGACATTTTCACTCCGTCCGCCACCAGCAGCACCCACCCCTTCGCCAACGACGAGCGGAGATCGGCCAGATGCGGCGGTATCAACTTCAAGGTAGCGGCCCTTCCCCATCCCTACACCCCTCACCCATCCCCCGGCCCGCCTCCCAACGCCATGGACGATGCTGATGCGAAAGTTGCAGACGTCGGCGGCTGGCACATCACCTTCGATAGCATCGATGAAAGCGCAACGAGGGAGTCGTTTGCGAGGTGCTTCGCTCCTGACGCCTCCCTCGAGATCTCCATTGGCGCTGATGGCAATGGCACGGAGGCGGCGGCGCCAGCAGCACACAGCGGCGGTGGTGCTCGCCGGAATGCCATCCGGCTGCACGAGGCGCCCACCGTGATGACCGAGAAAACAATTCACATGGGTGGGGAGGGATCATCCGGCCCCTCCATTTCTCACTTCGGTGCCAACCTGGGCGAAGGTTCTGTCGGGACGCACACCAATCGACCTCACATCTCAAGTGAGTCGCTCGTCCACGGGAGCGCGCTCAAGGACGTCATCATGATCATGACTGTGCGGCATTTCCCAATGCGCGCCCTCGCCCTGCACTACCTTAGACTGTGTGTCCAGGAGGGGCGATGGGATGACGTCACACTCATGGCCAAGTAAGGGAGCAAGGAGCGGTGTACAGACACACTGGCGGCACATCGGGTGTCCGTCCATCCATGTGTGCAGGTCGATTCACCGTGAGGTCGCGGTTCACATGCTGTCATGGCTGATCAACGCGCTCGACCATCGCCTCCGGCTCATGCTGTGCTGGGCGGCGGCGGTCGGCGATCTGCCTGAGGAGAGCTGTGATCGCATCGTATCGACGTTGACGACCGATCTCATTGAGGAGAATCTTGCTGAAACGGCTGCCGTCCTTCCCATCATACCCTCCCTCCCATCAGCAGTGAAGACGGCCTTCGAGGATGCTCTCAAGGGAGCGGTTGACGCACGAGATGACGAATGTTTCCAGGAGCTGTACAATGCCCTCGTCAAGGTCAGCCGATCCCATTGAGTTGTCTCATCGTCTGTGCGCTCTCACCCTCTCCGTCTGTGTGTTCGGGTGTGTCTGTGGCACATAGGAGGCGGCCGAGCGGCAGCGTGTGGAGGCTGAGAGGGGGCAGCTGCGTCAGGAGATAGATCAGGTGCGTCGAGTGCCACCCACACAAGCTCGTCTCTTCTCTGTGCCCATTTTCTGTGTATGTATGTACTGGTTTTGGCTATGCAGGAGGCGGCCTCTCGGCAGCGTTTGGAGGCCGAGGTCGAGCAGTTGCGTCAGGAGATAGATCAGGTACACCCACACAATCGGTTGGCATGATTGGATCAAACACACTTGTTTGTGCACACCTGTATGCATGTGTGTGTGCGCGCGTCACCCAGTTGCGTCGCGGGGCGGAGTGGTCACGAGGGGAGATGGAGGACCAGCAGCAGCAGCAGCGAGAGGGGACACCTAACTAATCGGTGAGTGGCTGTGTGCACACTCGTGAGTGATCGATTCTCACGTTTCTTTGTCCCTAGCTATCTTTCTCCGACTCCCTTCTTCCCGCGTAGCTGGATGAAAAGGCCGCCCTGGCTGGTGGATACATGTTCTCTCTAGCTGCAGTCATGTTGTTTTAATACACACAGACGACAGTGTGTGTTTCACACTCGTCGTCCATACACACACACACCAGACAGACACACAGACTGCATGCATAAGTCCACACTGATTGGTGCCTGTGGGTTCTGGGCCGGGTGGGGGGAGGGTGGGTTGGGTTGCCTAATTGTGTGTGTCGTGGTAATTTCACATCGGTGTGCGGTCCTGCATGGTCACTGAGACGTTGTTGCTGAGCGCTTTCGTGTACACACACATACATGACATGTATACATCATATGAGGGCATATGATGGCTGCACGCTGGTCTAGTGCTACGGTGACGGAGAGGGGTTTTGATGGCCTGCCTGCTGCCTGCCTTCCCCTCACCGTCCTCCATGCCAACCTGCCCGTCTGTCTGTCTGTCTGTTGCCCGCCAGCCATGTCGTTTTAATGCACAGCTGGGCGGGAGCAGTGGCAGGCCAGCCAGCCAGCCACACTCGTCGCGCGTTGAATGCATGGTCTTATCGCTGTCGTGCTGCCTGTCTGTCTGCCGCCCCCTTCCACCTCTTCTCTGTCGATAGCTTAGTGGCCACAGCCATGGCCGCCCCTCTCTCTCCCTCTCTCTCTCTCTCTGTTTTGATGCGCATCCACGGCCGTCTTTTTCGATTGGACGACACACATGCCTCGCTTCTCCTTTCCATATATCCATCCATCCATCCATCTCTGTGTGTGTTTCACACTCGTCCATTTATCCACATACATCTGCATACCATTACACCAGACAGACAGACTGCCTCTATGCAGTCAGTCATTTTTGCCTTTTCGCATGCTTAAGTCCACACCGATTGGTGCCTGTGGGTGGTAGGCCGGGCGGGGGGAGGGCGGGTTGCCTTGCCTTACTGTGTGTGTGTGTGGTGATAAGTTCGCATCGGCGATCGCTTTCATGTACACACACATACATGCCATGCACGCCTTCTCACTCGTGCTGCGTTCTGCGTGCGGTGGGTGGGGTGGGGTGGGATGCATGCGCATGTCATGTGCGACTGGTCCGTCTCTGCTGCCTTAATTGCCACAGGCAGGACGGCTCTCTCCTCAGTTATATACGGATGTATGTATGTACTTATGTACATATTTGTGTCTCTGTCTGTACACAGCTGTACGTACCTGTTGCATTCCCTCTCTGGATGACGGTTTAATGGGCTTTTCGAGTATGCGCGCGCGCGCGCGCGTGAATTGTCCTCCTTTGGTCTGTACAATCAATGGAAAGTCATTGCTCACACACACACACACACACACCTTTGGCCAGTCGACTGGTAAAGGCTGCCTGCCATGCGACGAGTCGAATGGATACCGCACCCACATGAAGCTTCGACAGACAGAAACAATACAGGTCGCTCATCAGGTGTCACATGCATCAAAGAGAAAGCCGTCAGTCATTCGGTCCACCCATCCCCATGCATCCCGATCAGACAAGCATCGAGACAGTCCGACCGGACCGCGGACAGACACATGCGCTCCAATGTCAACACCACCGCGCAAAGACCGCCCTGCCTGACACATTCACACGCAAGTCAAAGAATGGCACAGAGAGACACACCGCGTACGTCGTCTGCGCACTTCGCTGCTCGTGTCAGTCGTGTTGATGAAACATACCTCCGCTGTCTATCGGTCGAAGAGGCTGGCTGAGATGACGGGTCCCAGCACCACACGCACCAGCTGAGTGGCCTCCGGGAAGCGGTCCTTGAAGGCACCACACGCACCAGACACAGCCGGCTCCGTCGTCTCGACCCACACACCCACTGTAGGCGATGAGAGACAGAGAGAGAGAGAGCACATGACGTCTGACCATCCATCCCATCCTCTCTTTCGTTCTGACCAGTGCTATCCGCCGTCATTCTGTCTTCGACGAGGAGACGAGGATCCACGCGATGAATGGGTGGTTGCTGTCCGTCAGCAATGCCACCCCCTGTAGCAGTCTCGGCTTGTTGTCGTTGTGCACCCCTGCACCGGTGTGTGTGGCGACCGGGTCAGCAGCGCATGAACGCGGCCTTCACCGACATGCCTGAGCTCCACACACATGGAGAGGCACACACGCAGGTGACTCACATGATGTCTGCTCCCCTCCTGTCACTTACCTGGGGAGTGCCTTCTACCTGGAGTTGGTCTCGTGAGTCTGGGCGAAGTGATAGAAGATCCTGTCTTTGGCGAAGGACGAGACCGATGCATGGGTGTCGTTGTCGTCGGGGATGTGAGGGGATACCAGGTCTTTTCGTCATGCCTGTCGCAGGAAATCTGTCCGTGGCACACTGGCGATGCCACGCTTAGTGTTTTTGACCTAATGAGTGCCCGCGAAGTGGATGAGGACGGTTCTCTCGACGAACGACGACACGGACGAGTGGTCAACGACGACACCAGACCGCAAGCCCGTGAAGCGGCGATAGCAGATGCCGCTGCGGACGGGTGGGTCGTGCTCTTGTCTCTGCTGCTCGTAGGGATGGTCGTCAAGGGGGGGCGGGTTGATGGTGAGCTCGAAGCCGTCCTCGTCCTTGATGGCCCGCAGTGTGTCGCCGTGCTGGAACAGCTGGAGCCGACTGCCGTCACCGAAGTCGATGTGGCGGCCCACCATCTTGAGCTGAGCCAGCACACGCGGGGTGGCCAGATACGCCTGCAGACACACAACACATGAACACATTCACACACCGATTGTAAGGACATTCTTTCTCCCTCCCTCTCCCGGTTGGCTTACCGTCTTGTTTGGAAACTTGTGCAGATCGGCCGAAGTGAGCCTCACGGGCAGCTGGCAGTAGCCGCACTGCGCCGCCAGAGCAATCGCCTCCCTCATCTCCTTCCAGCCGCCCGCCTCCGTCACACACACGGCCGCCAGCAGGTCAGCCACACCCATCTGCTGATCGTCGAACACCAGCAACTGCACTGCCTGCCCGTTGGCCGCCCGTCGCAGCCCCGCCTCTGTGCTGAGCGAATGGCCCAGCCGCTGCCGCAGCTGAGCCGCTCCGAAGAGGCCCCTGAGCCAAGTGCATGTAGCCCTCAGCCGCAGTATGTCATTGAGGCTGAGAAGGTAGAAGCTGCGGCGGCCGACGAAGATGTATGTGAAGGGGTGCTGCTGCTGATGATGATCTGTGTGCTGCATCACACCTGGGACGAATGGATGGATCAGATCTGCCGAGAAGAAGCAGATGGGAGCGAGAGGGAAGATTCTCGGGCGGAGTTGATGAGTGGATCAAAACGAGATGCCGAAATGTCAATACGCTGAAAACAGACGGAATGCGCTGACCTCGCCAAGCTGAGCTCGCAGATCTTTTCCGAAGTTGTTTCGCCCTGAGCAAATGTCGGTGACCACGAACGGGCAGTCGTACCCCAAGAAGGTGGCCGTGATGGGCGGCGGCGCCTTTGGCACAGGGATGGCGCAGCTCATGGCGAGGAAGGGGTGCAAAGTGATGGTCAGCAGGGTGAAGAGAGAGGATGCAAGGCACCCAGCAAGCCGCCAGAAGAGAGATCTGCGTCTGTTTGATTTGTTTTGTTTGTTTGTTTATTTGGCTTTCAGTTGCAAGTGCGCGAGGCGGAGGCCAGGGAGGGCATCAACAACGACCATGAGGTAGGCAGGCACGGATCACGCCAGTGAGATCTGTGTGGCGTGAAATGCTCTCTTTATCTGTGTGTCTGTGGGCTGTCAGAACACACTTTTCCTGCCCGGCGTCAAGCTGGAGCCCTCCATCACTGCCGTGGACGGCGTGCCAGAAGCCGTCAAGGACGCTGAGATGATATTCCTGGTCATACCCACACAGTTCCTGCGGAAGTTCATTCAGGTGTGACATGAGAAAACAGGACAAGAGAGCCGCACTGCAGGCGCCATGGCATGGTGGACGTGTCTGTGTCTGTGTCTGTGTCTGTGTGTTTATTGCGTCAGACGTTTCACTCGTGCCTGCCGGTGGGTGTGCCGATGGTGTGCTGCGCCAAGGGCATCGAAAACGACACCCTCCAGACGCCCTTTGAGATCATGGAGGAAGAGCTGCCCGGCAAGTACCACCGACATCTCGGGGTGCTTACCGGCCCCTCGTTCGCGCGCGAGGTCGCCGAGGGGCAGCAGACAAACGTGACAGTCGCTGCACGAGACCCAGAGGTCAACGCACACCGACACACACACTCGTCGGACGATGTGTGCACACCGGGATATATATATATGTGTGTGTGTGTGCAGATAGCCAAGAAGGTGCAGTATGCGGTGAGCGACGAGTGTTTCCGCGCCTACACGTCGTCGGACGTCATCGGGTGTGAAATCTGCGGAGCCATCAAGAACGTTTATGGTGAGCGAGGCCCACACAGTGGTGAAGTGTCGGTGTGTGTGTGTGTGTGTGTGCGTGTGACTGTGTGTGTGTGTGTTTGTGCAGCCATTGCGTCGGGAGCGCTCGAGGGCTTTGGAATGGGGTAAGCGAAGCGACCAGCCCTGCTCCATTTATATCTCAGTTGTCGTCATGCCTTCCTTGCCCACTTCTGTCTGTCAGATACAACGCCCGTGCAGCGCTCATCACGCGCGGACTCGGTGGGTGGCGCACACAGACAGACAGACGTCCACAGAAGGAACGGCGTCGCTGACTGTGCGTTGATTGATTGTATGTCTGTTTGTTTGATGGATGGATGGATGGATGGCTGGATCGATGGATGCAGCCGAGATCTCCCGTCTGGCGGTGCAGAAGGGTGCCTCCCCCCTCACCATCAGCGGCCTGGCCGGCGTGGGCGATCTCACCCTCACTTGCACCGGCACTCTGTCCAGGAACTGGCAGGTCAGAACAAAGTACAACATAGATACGAAGATAGCCTAGCCCACCAACACACACACACACACACACACGTATCTTTGTTCCTTCTTGTGCAGTTGGGGAATCGGATGGCGAAGGGCGAGACTTTGCAGCAGATCACGGAGAGCATGAGGGCGGTGGCCGAGGGCGTCCACACCGCCAAGTCGCTCCATCAGCTGATGGAGACGATGGGCATACACATGCCCATCGCCGACGAGATCTACAAGGTGAGCAAGCCAAGCACCACCAAACACACTGACACCCTTTCCTCCCTCTGCTCTGTGTCTAATCTAACTGTGTCGTTCATGCTGTCATGCCTGCAGGTGCTGTTTGAGGGCAAGGGCATGAAGGAGGCGTTGGCAGCGCTTCGCAGCAGACCTCTCAGGGAAGAGGTCGACCCCTCCGTCATCGAAGCCGCCAAACAGCTGCCATCCACCGGCGTGCAGAAGACGGGCTCCGGCGCATTCTACTGAGTGACCACGATGGGGTCGAGAGGCATGGCGTTTCTCGAGTAAAGAAAGACATGAACGTCCTGCATGTGGGTGGGGTGCGTGTATGTGGCTGAATCAATCCCATTTTCTCGCACTTTCTGATGCCGAATGGAATGCTGAGGGGATCCGCCTCTTATTTATTTTTGCCAGAGATGGGCACCCTTCTGCCTGCATGTAAGGGTGCCTGTGGTGCGTGGGTGTCCAAGGGGAGGGAGGGAGGGAGGGAGGGATAGAAAGGCCTCATTTGCGAGGCCAAATTCCTCCTACTCTTTTTCTTTCTTGGCTGGTGCTGATCGATTTATGTGACCGATTGGGCGAAAGTGGCTGCATGGGCTGAGTTAAAGACCACTCAGCCCGTGGACGGACGGACGGACGGACGGACAGACAGAGAGGATGGGACAGACAGACTGCATGCATTGGATGAGTAAACAGAGACCAGCTTTAGGTCAGTCAGTCAAGTTGGTCCCTTGCGTCCGTCCGTCCCCCTACCCACCCATGATATGCTCTAATCGCCAATCTTCTGTCATGCCTGCCGGCCACTGACCACTTCATTAGCACACCGCAGCACCCAGCAACACGGAGACACTCATTTCTCCTCCCTTGATTTCAGACGACGGGACGGCCATTCATTTGTTCATTCACAAGTGCCCTTCTTGTTTTGTGTTTGTATGGTGCACTGCATTTGGTTCAGCCATAGAGCTCCACCTGATGCCGGAGAGAGATGGCATGCAGAGAGACCAGACCCATCCTCTGTGTGAGTGGGGGTGTGTGTGTACCTTGACAGGGTTGATGCCCTGCAGCTGGAGGCGTCGCTTGATCTCCGCCAGGTCGGACCGACGCACACCCAGGTCATCCTTGATCTCCTCCACAGTCTGGCGCCCATCCTGCACCCAACCACACACACACACTCGTGCCTCTCTGTGTGTCGGTCGCTCAGTTGTGTTTTGTAGTGTCAGCTGACGGTGTGTGTGACGAGGCATCTGATGTTCGAGGTGTTCTCGCACCATCCCTCCCCTCCGCTCAGGTGCCAGGCGTTGCGCATCATCAGCTCAAAGTAGTCGTCATCGTCGATGGACACACTCACTCCTGCACGTAGACACAAAGAGAGAGACATGGCAGCGCTTCTCTGTGAGTCTCCCTCTGTCTCTGTCTGTCAAGCGTACCGTCGTAGTAGTCGAGCCATTCTTCCCATGTGATGGTGACGGGGCCCTGCTGCGAGCCCTTCTTGCTGTCCTTCAAGTCAAACGTCTCCAAGAACTCCTCCAGCACCTGCACACAGAAACACAGACAGGCAGAGAGGAGATGGCGTGTGTGCGATGTGATGTGTGCAGCCATCCACACAAACGTACCTGCTCCTTGGTCTTCCACCCGCAGATGACGTCCGGGTGTTTGGAGACATCGTATGTGTCCTTGACGTCCTCGGCGTCGATCACACCGTTGCCCGTCTTGTCCATCAACTTGAAGGCCTGCATCCAGCACAGAGCACAAAGAAGCGTCCGTGGCTGCACAAGAGCACTCTTAGCTATAGCATGCGCACCATTTTGACGAACCCGCGACGTCGCTCATTCATGCTGCCTCGGGCCTTGCGCAGAAACTGCCAGAGAGAGAGAGAGAGAGAGCACAGAGGAGACAGTATGTAGGATGCCTGCCCCCCCTCCAGCGGACCTCCTCATAGTCGATATTGCCATCGTCGTTGCGGTCAATCACCTTGAACAGCACTGCCCAAAGAAAGAGGGAGAAGGAATTGCTATACAAAACTTCGTCCGGCCGACTGACTGACCTTCTGCCTCGGCGTCTGTCTTGACGACGTCCATCTCACGCATGGCCTTCTTGAACTCGTACATGTTCAGACGCTTGTTGCTGACGTACACACACACACACGTGTGGTATGACACAGTCAGACACACGAGAAGAGGAGGAGGACGTCACGCGCCCACGCAATTGCACCCGTTGTCATCCATGATCCTGAACTTGCGGCCTGGAGGTCCACACACACGTACCACTTGTCCAGTGTCTGTCTGTCTGTGTGTGTGTGTCTCTGTCTTCTGACCGAGTCCCTTGATGCCATTGGCGCCGAACTTCTTGAGGCGCATGCGGAATCCGTCCAAAATGAGCTCTATAGCCTCGGCAGAGATCTTGGTGCTCTCCCCCTGCACAGACGGCTGAAGCATACCTGCAGGCACAGGGCACACACACACGCAAGCCATCGATCCATGTGCAAGCGATTAAGTGGACTGTCTGTGTTCACTGACCGCGATGCGCGAAGTGGTCCTTGGGGCGGGGCTGCGGCTGTAGGGGCGGTTGGACGATCGGCCCGTAGGCGCGGTTGTAGGGGCTGCCAGAACCAGCCATCGTGTTGCCTGCGTATGACTCCCACACAGACAACCATGAGGAAGCTGCATTTTCACATTGGGGCCCCGGCCTCTTGCTCCTCCACCTGCGGTTCTGAGAGTTGAGCTGTGCACGGGCATGTTGGAGATGATGTTGTAGCTACCCGGGGCAACCGCACCATGCTTCACACGCACACTCGGATTACCTGCAGGTTGGCAGGCAGGTAGGCACAATCACAAGAATCATGGCCAAACGCATTCATGAGTGCCGAAAAATGGTGAGGGCCGGTGTGTTCACGCCCTCCGACCTGCGGCTGCCATGCTTGGGTAGGCGGCGCCCTTGGGGTTGCACGTCATCCCGTGTGCGTACCCGCCGGGCGCCGAGGAGGCGAACTGCTGAGCCACGTTATCCTGAAAGGCACGATAGTAGGCCATCCTGACTGCTGGACTGGACGGGGAAGGGAGGGCGAAGGACGAAGGGGAGGGAGGGGGCAAAATGGGCCCCCAAACTCTCGACGATCGCCCTCTCCCTCCCTCCAAGCATTTTTAAGGCAGATATCGAGGATGAGCCGAGGCGGAAAGAAAGGGCCCAAGGCGACGGTGTACTGGGTTGGGACCAGGGTACGCTGCAGCGCATAGCACACACACTGGATGGACAACAAACACGCATCCGATTGGGCAATCCCCCGTTCGTGTGTGTCCCGGATTTGCCTGTACAGAAGCCGAATGAGGAGGGTGTGTTGGTGGGTGAGCCGCTCTTCACCGCCGAGGCCTACCAGGGCGAGTGGGATGACAACAGACGACACGGATACGGTGTCAACCTGTACAGAAACAACACAAAATACGAGGTGATTGTCCCATGAAAGATGCTGACAGACAGGCGGATGGACGGATGGATTAGCCAACTGTGCGTGAGCAGGGTCAGTGGCAGTGCAACAAGCGTCACGGAGAAGGCGTCCTGTGGCGGAAGAAGGGCAAGGAGACTGAGTGGCGCAAGGTGTACACGGGCGGCTGGCAGTATGACCTCAGACACGGCAGGGGCACCCAGCTCTACAGCAATGGCGACAGGTGGGCCACATCAGATACACAGAGGGACGCATCTCATGCGAGTGTGCGTGTTCCGGCAGATATGAGGGCGAGTGGGCGGACAACAGACGGCAGGGCAGGGGGACCATGTGGTGGGTGGGGAGGAGGCCCGCCGGCCCTCAATGCACACGCGAAACGACCACCATTCGTTGCTCTGTGTTTATGTGTGTAGGTATGCCGATGGGACAGTGTACGAAGGCGAGTGGCACGCTGACGAGCGGTGCGGACACGGCACTCTCAAACTGTAAGGACAGCCACAACCATATCCCCTTCTTCACGCTGGACACATCCTGTGTGCATCCATCCACCCACCCATCCGTCCTCCGATGCAGTCTCAACGGCGATGTCTACGAGGGCGGCTGGCTCAAGGACGACAAAGTACGCAAACGATCTCAATCAACGACTTCCCATGTCACGGATCCACAATGCCCATCGCAGGAAGGCCCCGGCGCCTATTTCTTCTTCGACACTGGCCGTGCATTCGTGGGTGAGTGGGCCAACGGTCTGCCCCAGGCCGGGGCATACAGCGACGCCGAGCTGAGCGAGGGAGAGGTGCATCCATGTGAACTGACCAAACGGCCGTATCCGAAGGAGCTGCCGCCTCTACAGCTGATGGCACCGGATGACGTAGGTATCAGCGAGTGCATGTGCATGGGGGTGTGCATGGAGTTTGGTGTGGATGCAGGTGATGGACGCGTGTCTGAAGGCCGTTAGGACCGTACAGAGCCCATTCAGGGCGAAGCACCTGCCGGTGGGTCACCCAGATGCCCGTAAAGCCACTGGGCGATGTCATGTGCCTTTCTCTCGTTGTCTGTGTGTATGTCAGCTGGAGATATTGTTCAGTGAAGACGAGCTCGATGAGCTGCACGTGACATTTGACGCCGTTGCTGTAGGCTGAGGGAGGGAGGAGACATGTACGGTATACATGTTTGACAGCCGATGTCATGTGTCCTTTGGGTGTGTAGGATGGTGACACCATCTCTGTGTTGGACATGAGGGCCCTCTACATGGCCATGGGATGCCCCATCGATGGTAAGAAAAGCTGTGTATCTCTTGCCTGTGTGTCTCTGTGTCTCCATGTCTCCGTACGATTGCAATTGCACAGACGCCGCCCTGACGGACCGCCTGGCGCTCCTGGGCATCCTCCTCTCACCGGTGCAGCAAGATGCTCTCCACACAGCAGCCACACAACTGCCGCCCGCAGCACCGCCACCAGCACCACCAGCAGGCGATGCCAGTCCCACGGCATCGTTCGTGGCACCAACACCGCTGGTGGCCACAGCCACATCCGCCGCCCCCCTGCGAGACATATTCGGCAACCCAATAGAAATGCCCCGGATCAGCTTTGAGACGTTTGCAAGGTCGGTCGCACTCGCGCCGCCAGAAGAGGGTGTGGGTGTGGGTGTGGTGGGTGAGGGAGAGAATGGTATGGGCAAGGTGATGGGGACGATGCAGATGCTCAAAGAGGCGGCAGTGGAGGAATGATGGATGACATGGGGAGAGCGTTACTCTGGGATGATGATTGCAAACTTGTCTCGCTGCTCTCGTTTTGACTTGGTGGGAGTGGTCTTGTGCTGCGTGCTGCACGGACTGGACTGACGGACAAGCTGGAGCGTCAAGGCTTCTTGAAGCAACCAATTCATGGTCCATGCGCAGCTGATACTTGTACGAACCAACCCTCAAACCAAGACACCCAGGCCATAAAGTATGTATGTCTCAAACTACACACCCCAAGGCCTCAAACCACACTCCATCCTGTAGTGCCACACTCCATCCTGTAGTGCTCGTGTCCAGCGAGGAAAGCACAGCAGCTGCAGATGCACTCGTTCAAGAAAATACCGACTGCGTAAAGCAGACAAACGGAGGCCATTCCACGACTGCAGTCGTCCACCGCTGATGTGATGTGCTTGTGTCTCCCCTCACCATCAGTTCAATGTGTGTGGCTCAGAAGTCCTTTTCCCACTCGTAGAACTTGTCCAGTGCCCCCCCCTGGTCGTCTCCCTCATCGTCGTCGGCGCCTTTGCCGCCGCCCTGCTCCGCATCGTCACAGTACACCTCCCCTGCACACATCGCGAAAGTAGGAAATGGCAGTCTATGGGGAAATATACTCTATCTATTCACCTTTTGGAATGAGTGGCGGTTTGTACTCGCGACCCAAGAGCTTGTCCCAGTCAAAATCCTGTGTGCATCCGTGGCAGGGCGGATGAAACATGCACACATGAACAGGCCGACGCTTTGCGTGCGTCTCTGTGTGTAGTGTGTAGTGTGCCTTCAAGAAGGGGTGCTCTTTGATGTCGCGGTAGCCGTTGATCGAACCGCCGATACGCACCTGATCCATCCATCCATCCATCCATCATTGGAGGGCGGATCATGAGACACGGCCTTGCCACTGTGAGCGCTGTGCCTGTCCTCCCTGTTACTTGTGGAGATCTGCAGAGGAGTCTCTTCATGAGGTTGCCGGCCTCGTTGTCGGTCATGTAGGAGGGAATGTTCAGTTTGCCCGTCAGAATGGCCCTGAAGATCTCCAGCTGGTCCTCCGCGTCGTTGCCGAACGGCAGCGGACCGCACCTATCAACACACAAGGCCCCGTTGGCATCCACCCATCTACCAAAATGGTCACATACTTACATGAACTCATAGAGACACACGCCAAACGCCCAGTGGTCGGCCGTGAGGGTGTAACCCTTGCCCAAAATCACCTCAGGAGCCATGTAATGGGGCGTGCCCTGCACCACACACGTACAACCACTCTCACCGACCGTCTCAAATAGAGAGAGGCGATTTCGTTTTGTGTGTGAGTATGGATGTACCACAAGTGTGTAGGAGCGGTCGTGCATCTTCTTGGCGCATCCGAAGTCGATGAGTTTGATGTACCCCTGGTGGTCCAGGAGGACGTTCTCGGGCTTGAGGTCTCTGTAGGCGATGTTGCGCTCGTGCAGGTACTCTATCGCCAGCACCAAAGACGCCAGGTAGAACTGCGCCTGACTGCGGTCTAACAGATTCAGCTTCCGAACCGCATCTGCATGCAATCGAGTCACGCATTGCAATGGGTGCTCGGTGGTTGCGTGATATGTCGGCTGACCGTAAAGCTCGCCGCCGGTTACGAGCTCCGTGAGAAAGTAGAGGTACTTTTTGTCCTTGAATGTGCGGACGAGTTTGACGATGAAGGGATGGTCGTTCTCGGCCATGATTTCCCGCTCCAGCTTGACGTACTCCTGCTGGTTCAGCTGCATCACCGTCTTGCGCTTCACACACCTGACACACACGAGAGACATCAACCACACACTGATGCATCCGTGTCTCCCGGGCGCTTACTTGAGAGCGAATCTGGTGCCAGATGTGTGTTTCATGAGCTTGACAGTCCCGAAGGTGCCCTTACCCACAGTCCTCATAGTTGTCAGGTCCTTGAACTGGATGTTGGTGTCCTGCAGCTTGATGCGGTCCTCCAGATGCTCAATCATGGGCCCCTGCACCAGCTCCGTAAACACCGTCTTGCTCACCAGCCACAGCTCCACCTCAGGCGACCGCGCCGTCACAGAGGCCGATCTCGCCTCGTTGAAGAGCAGCGCACGCTCGCCAAAGTAGTCGTTCTTCCCGCATGTGCGAATGTCCTTGCCATCCTTGGTCACGGTCACCTCTCCGCCTTTGATGATGTAGAAGGTGGTTCCGGTCTCGCCCTGCTTGAAGATGGTGTCGCCCTCGGTCTTCTTGACCGATGTGAAGGCGTTGATGAGCTTGTCCAGCTGCTGCTCGCTCAGGTACCGGAAGATGTAGTTCTTCTTCATGACGGCACGCTTGTGGTTGTACTCGAGCGTGCTGTTGATGTCGCTGCCCAGACACTTCTCCAACGCGGCCGAGGTGAAAACGGCTACCTTGCTGGCCCTCTTCGCGTGCGCGCTGTACTGCAGGGTCGTCTTGGGCTTCAACACGTACTCGTCGCCGAAACACTGCCCGCGCGAGAGCTGCAAAGGTGCTGTCTCGCCAGTTTTCTTGACGCCCACCTCCCCCTCGAGAACGATTAGGAAGCGCACAGTCTTGCCCTGCCCCTCCCCGCCCATGACGGCCTCGCCCTCTGTGAAGTCCTTGATGGCGGCCGCCCCCACTACCTTGGCCCGCTGGTCTTCTGTGAACTGCTTGAAGGCCGAACTCGACTGCAGGGCGATCGACATGACGTTGCGGAACAACACGTTCTGCAGGTTGCCCAGCACTTGCGCCAGCAGTTCGCGGCCGATGGACACGCACACGGCGGGGGTTGTGGCCGTGATGGTGGCAGAACGCGGCTCCTCGTAGAGAAGAGCACGTTCGCCGAAGTAGTCGCCCTTGCCGTGCTCCCTGACGTCTTTCTTCTTGATAGTGACGGCCAGGGTGCCCTCCTTGACGATGTAAAGGCAGTCCCCCGCCTCGCCCTTGCGCACGATGGTGCTGCCCCTGCCGAACGTCTCTACCATGAGGGCGTTGCAGATGACGTCTTTCTGCGCGTTGGTCAGGTCCCGGAAGATCTCAACCGAATCTGCAAAATGGAAGACACCAATGCACGACCGTGTCTCGGCGAGTGCCGATCTCTCCTTCTTACCGAGAAAGGATCTGTTTTCGGCGAAGTTGCGGCTGCTGAGCTGCTTGAGAATGTCTTTGAAGGCCTGCCGCCGGACGCCCCACAGCTGGCCGGCCTGTGCTGTCTTGACCGTCGCTGATCGCGGGCAGTTGTGGAGGAGCGCAATCTCGCCGAATGCCTTTCCTCTTTTCAGCTGGTTGACCGCCTTGCCACCCACCAACACATCGAACAAACCTGCATCAGAAATATATCCGGCGAGCATATAGGGCTCTGTTTGGTCTCTGACCGCTGTGGACGATGAAGAAATGAGAGCCCTTGCTGCCCTCCTCGCACACGATGTCGCCCGTCTTGTAGTCGAAGAACTGCATGGCCTTGATCAGGGCGTCCACCTCGCTCTCGTTCAGACTGCTGCACGCCAGGTTGTTCTTCAGGGCGCTTTTAATCATCTCGCTGTCTGCAACACTCTGCTGGCGGGTAACAAGGTGCTTCTCCGTGGCCGCCTCCACCACGGCATCCTCCACTTCATCCCGGTGGTGGATGACGAGCTTCTTCTTCTTGTCCTTCTCGACAAGCCCTGTCACCCTCTGCCCCACCCCTCCGGCGCCCCTGCCCCCCACCACGGCCTTGAGGCTCGGCACAGCCACTTTGGGGGAGGTGGCCTTGGTTGTAGGCGATGAACGCTCCTTCGGTCCCTGTTCGTGGGTCGGCATGTCCTCGCAGCGCAGCTTCGGGGTGTGTTCGTATGTGTCGTCGTTGGCCTGGTCAATGACAGTCTCCTCTCGCTTGACCACGAGCCCAGCTGGACGGTCAATTGTGCGGTCGGCATCAGAACTCGCTGTAACGGGCTGATTCGCCTTCTTGGCGGTGTAGTGCGCTGAGGATCGGCTCAGTGACAGGCAAGCTCCCATGGGGAACTGCTGCTCATACCGCGCAATGAATGCGGCGATTCTGGGGGCTGTTGGGGGCTTGCGCGTCTCCGAGTCACTGCCAGTGCAGACGCGAAGATGGATGAATCCCCTGCTCTGCCGCCGCCTGCTGAAGGCCTGAGGTATTCTGCTGACCAGCAAATCTCTATTCCAACGCTCCCTGATGCTTCCCCCATTGCAAACCATATCGATATCCCGAAGAGAGAGAGTCCCGATTCGCCGCTTCTGCCTGACGTCACCACCAGCCGGCAAGACGGCCTCGAGGAGAGTGGCTGGTGCTGCTTCTGGGCGGGTTTGTGTCCGCTCTGCGTTGATCATCCCACAGTATGAACAATGGGCTGCACACGAGGGAGGACGGCTCACTGAGTCAAGCCAACTCTGCTGTGCCTGTCTCCGCTCTGCAGATAATCCTGGTGTACATGCGCTGCTGGGAGGTAAAGCACCAAAGTCAGAGCCTAAATACAGCTGTGTCTGTGGTGCGTCTCATTGTAATTATGCCGCACAGGTAGCTGTTGGCGTGGTGAGTGCCCTTGAATCGCTCAAGTCCATCAAGCCGCCCAAAGATTCTCTTCTTGCCCTGCTCTTTCTCGTTGCTGCATTGGCCGCGATTGTACCGCATGTTTGGCTGTGTCTCAAACCAAAGAAGCCTCGGCGTCTCACGCCCTTGTACGTCCATCAGTGTGTCTTGGCGGCGCTGGCGATAGTGTATGCGCTCATCCTCTGGTACGTCTGGCGCGGACAGCCCAGAAAGACAGGTAATGCGGCCATTCGCGAAGAGACAGGAGGCCAGGCAGCAATCATCATTCAGTATCCAGCCGTCCTTCTGTGTCCGTGACTTGTCATGGCAGGCCACGCTCCTCGCCTTGCCGTCGTCTACACGACTGTCATCGCCCCTTTCCTGATGGTGCACCTCTTCTGGGGCACCGTAGCCTGCCAGTACGCTGCGTGGGAGCGAAAGAGACTGAGTCTTCTCGCAGAGGCAAGGCGCAGCAAGAGGCTGCGACAAGCGAGGCAGCCCGGCCCGGCGGACAATGTGATTGTGACTGACGGGCCGTAAGCCAGTGAATCGACTTGGCCGACGGAGCAAAATAGGGATTGCGTGCGTGGGGCGCAGTGACGTTTTCGCTAGGGATGGTCACACAGCAGGCAGCCCTGTCATTCTAGGAACGAGGACTGACAAGCAGCGATGAACGAACAGTCACTGAACATGATGAGTCCGAACGCCGTTTGTGAGCGCTGACTCATGGTGTGTGCCGGTGGATCCTAGCCAGCGGCCAGACGCAAACCCTAGATTCGGGTTACCAGCGGATCTATCCGGTGAGACCAGCGGAGGGAAGTTGCCTGTGTCCGTTACCGCCGTCGATTCATCGGCTCATCCCTTCTTCTCATCGCGCGTATCTCTCTGCCTCTCCATCTGACTCCCGACCTCCTGCCTCTGCTTCCTTTTCTGCCTCTCTGTTGATTGATCTTTCACCATGCACGGAACCATGCGCATGCTGCTCATCGCCCTCGCGCTCATCCTGATTGGCATCCTCTGCAGCGCTACAGGTGCGTGTGGCTGCGTGTGGGATCCATGGATGGAGGGTGGGTGATGGGGACAGATCGTCCGATGTATGCCTGCGCGTGCGTCTGTCCTTCCTGTCGTTGACGAATGCAGCTGAGCACCGGGATGCCTTTACCAGCAGCAAGACAGGTACGCATGTGTGCACGTGGTTCCACGTGGGCATCGACTGTCTGCTGTGGGTGTGGCACGCTTCGCTCTTTGTGTGATGCGCAGGTTCGTCCCTACGTCGTCGCCTCGCCAGGCCCGAGACCAGCGAGGACAGCACCGGTAAGGCACCACCGAGCACTGCGGGCGACGAGACCCTCAAACTGATATCTACACGCGTATGTGATGCCTGCCATGCAGGTGCGGCTCGCCGCCTTGACGAGGGCGATGACGAGGATGATGTAAGTACACACGCACGCAGCCAGCCACTTACACGCACTCCGCATTCTGATTGCGTGCGCTCCTGTGTCTGCAGGATGACGACGATGACCGCCGCGCCCTGATGACTGCAGGCAAGGCTGCAGGTGCCGCTCGCCGCCTTGACGAGGGCGATGACGAGGATGATGTAAGTACACACGCACGCAGCCAGCCACTTACACGCACTCCGCATTCTGATTGCGTGCGCTCCTGTGTCTGCAGGATGACGACGATGACCGCCGCGCCCTCATGACTGCAGGCAAGGCTGCAGGTGCCGCTCGCCGCCTTGACGAGGGCGATGACGATGACGTAAGTACTTGCAGGCATTCAGCCACTTACACGCCTCGACATCCTCCCTGACTTCTACCTGCGTGATTGCTTTCCGTTGTTAGGAGGATAATGGCGAAAAAGGTCGCGACGACGATGTGAGCACAGGGGGGCGCACGCGCACACAGACACGCCTCAGGCCTCACACCCATCCATGCGTGTGTCGCCTCCTTTGTCTGCAGGACGATGATGACGACTATGATGACCGCCGCGCCCTCGGAAAGGCTGTGTAAATGCTTTCATGATGGCATGAATGGTCGGTGCTTTTCTTATTTACTGTACCATGGATGGCTAGGCCAGGGATGTTCATGTGATGTCCCGCTCTCACCCCTTTTTTCCCTCCTTCCTCTGTAGCCAGGCCAGGCCACAGAGATACGCACGAACATGCTGTCTCCAACAAACAAAGGAAGGACAGATCAGCTCTGAAGCCGTCATGTGAAGGCATTTTGTAGACACAATGCACTGCCGGCTTTGGTGTACTTGTTTGTGCGCTGTATTTCTCATAATCAATCGGCTGCTGCAGCGTGTCGGCTAGCCTCTGGACAGACAAGAGTGCCAAATCCGAGAGCTTATGCTCGCACTTGGCACTTCTGTCTGTCAAGATGTGTGCCGGACTCAAAATGCACAGCCGATGCTGTTGGATTTGTTGCTACTGTGTATGCCCATGATTCATACATACCTGCATGCACGTTTGGGTGAGTGAGTTTGTTGAGAGACGGCGGCCTGCCTGCCTGCCTGCCTGCTGCTGGCCCCTAGCACGAGCGAACTGGTGTTTTGTGTGTCATTTGCAGCACGTGCAGCGGATGGCCAGCCGACACGGATGGTCGTGTGCCGCACTGTGCTGATGCCGGTGTTAATGTCATGCTGCTGCCCTTGCACCTTTTCTATACATGCTTTCTCGCACAGCGAACGAGCAGTCCTGAACTCACATGCGAGGCAGTGCGATTGGTTCATTTGAATGCATGTATCTGCACATGGGGATGAGATGGCAGGGAGACGAGGGGCGGTGAGAGGGGGAGTTCTGCACCATGCTTGCTTGGTTGGCGTGTCCCGGCGCTAAGCGTCGCAGACGCAGCCAGACTGCTTGAAACAGGGGAAGAGTGAAGTCACGTCATGTGGTTGAGGGGTTTCTCATTAGGACGGTGTCGTGAGTGCCATTGGTTTCTCATGAGAGGAGGGAGTGAGACACGAAAGCAGCGTGCATAGCGTCTCATGGTCATTCGAGCAGTCAGACTGTCAAGAGGGGAGACACTTGATTACACAGGTCAACATTCATATCAAGGCAATGTAGCACGAGCACTCACGTAGGTACCAAAACATCTCACTCAACCATCCAGTATGCACATGCCAATGCTAGTCTCGCTGGCTGTCTATTCACAAATGAGCCACAAGTCTCATAAAACACTCCCGCGCCTCTATCAGCCTCCTCGTCGCGTACACACCCAGCACATCCAGCTCCCCCTCATCCACCAGAACCACACGCCCCGGCCGTCCCTCACCATTAGCACCGGCCACACCTCGACCCAGCATCAGCGGCACAGCGATCCGCATGTTGCCCGTCAGCTCAAGCATGACTCGTGCCCTCTGCGTGTTGATGGCCTGGATGCCGCCATACTTGAGGCCAATGAGTCGGGCTGCTCGGAGAAGGCGTGCAGCGTCACGTACACGTCGACAGCAGACGTGCAGAATCGGGCTCTCACAATGGAACCTGATGCGGTGATGAACACATGCCAGTTGACTCATGTGCGCATCTCCCTCCCTCCCTCCCTCCCTCCCTCCCTGCAGTCTGTGTGACATTCAGCTGACCATACTTCGATGCACTCGTCTGGTGCCCTCGCCATTGCACCTCTGATGTCGTCGCCAGTGGCGCCCTCATGCGATGTGAACAGCCAGTGCTTGTCGCCCTTCTCCCGGGATGCCGTCACCCCGAGCACCTGTATCCGGCCTGCGCAGCTGCTGGTGGTGAACATGTTGGGCCTGCTGTTGATCTGCTGCAGCAGGGGGACGATCTGCTCGTCCACTGAGCCCTTGCGGCTCTTGTCACCATGGCCGACCTGCACAGAGAAGAGAACGATTCATGATCCAGATCTGCCCGAGCAGTGCTATCACGTGCCATTTGATGTCTGTCTGTGACTCTGTGCCCCGTGCCTTCTCCATTCCTTCCCATATACCTGAAGACGTAACAAGGCTTCGTTCTTCTGCTGCTGGAATGAATCCCGAGAGCTTCTTGCCGCCTCACGCACACTCTGCCCTACGCCGCTGACCCTCAGACGCATCGTTTGCGTGGGAGATCTGCCGAACGAGGGCGAGCTTGCAAACCCTGAACCCTAAAACCCTCCTAACCCGGTCAGGAAGATCTGGCGCTTGCGCGATGACCACACGGTTGAGGAAGAACCGCAAGAAGCGGGGACACGTGTCTGCTGGCCATGGGCGTATTGGGAAGCACCGGAAGCACCCAGCAGGCCGCGGCAAGGCGGGAGGGGCACACCACCACCGAATCAACTACGACAAGTACGCAAGGGAGATCTCCTCACCTCTAGAGTCGCAGATCTCCCTCACGAGCCGTCCTCTGTGTGCTTGTTCAGGTACCACCCCGGTTACTTTGGGAAGGTGGGTATGCGGCACTTCCACCTGCTCAAGAACCAGACGCACTGCCCCGTCATCAATCTCGACAAGCTCTGGTCCTTGGTGAGCGAGCAGACCAGACTCTACTACAAGGACAACACCGAGAAGGCGCCGGTCATCGACGTCACCAAGGCGGGATATTTCAAGGTCCTCGGCAAGGGAGAGCTCCCCGAGCAGCCCGTCATCGTCAAGGCGCGATACTTCACACGCCTGGCCGAGAAGAAGATCAAGGATGCGGGCGGCGTCTGTGTCCTCACAGCGTAGATACGAGCATCGTGGTCGAGAGCTGTTTTGTGACTTGACGAACCGATGGACAGATCTGTGTGGTGACGTGTGGTGGGGTGCGTGGTGGTTGTGGATGTAAGACCCGTCGTGAGCGATGCGTGTCGGTGTGGTGAAGTAATCAGTGCTTTCTCGGCAAATGTCACATGACAGTACGACACAGAAACATCCGTCATTCGTCCACAGTCATCACCACACACAACACAACCAGCACACTCGTCGTCACCTCACCCCTTCTCCGACCCCTTCTTGGCTTTCTTCTTGCCATCCCCCTCCAGCCCAGCCTCAGCGTCCACCTGCTGCTGCGCGGGGGGCAGCTCCTCCAGCTGATCTATGTCCACCACCACGTGGCCGTTGACGCTCGCGCGCTTGCTGGCCGTGGGAGAGAGCGACTGCGACTGTCCGGGCTTGTTCCTGGGCGGGGGGACTTTGGGGGCGAATGCGGGCGGGAATGGTGGCGAGAGTGAGCGCTTGATGGGGGCCTGGATGGGGGAGTCCTTAAGGCGGAGGATGGGCGACATGGCGGAGATGCCCTTGCCGGCCGCCTGGGCCTTCTTGATGCTGCCCTTGAACTTCCAGATGCCGCGGTCGTTCTCGGCGAACTCCCTGTGAGTGGATGACAGACATGGTGGGTGCCCGGTTGTGCGTGTGTGTGAGTGTGCTTGCGAGTAGATGTACCTGAGCAGGCTTCTGAACGTGAAGTCCGCCAGCTCGAACTTGCGATTCATCAGTGTCTGGAACTCCTGCGAACACAACGAACAATGGCACACACACTTGTGATATAAGGCACCGACTTTCTGTGGTGTGTTGTGTGCTGTAGGCACCTGTGTGACTTCGCTCTTGGTGATGTGGTCCTGCCGCCTGAAGAGCGATATCAGCACGTCCCGGTAGGGATCCACCTGCGGGTCCTTGCGAGACTGCAGAGCCCATATACCCCTGCACACACACACACACACACACACACATTCACAGAGAGAGAGGGAGAGAGAGTGCCTTCTGTCGTGGTGTCGCCCCTACTTGAGCTCAATGGCGATGGCCGGGAGGACTTCCTGAATGTCGGCATCCGTTGTGACGGTGCCCTTGGCGTCGTGCTTGGCGTGCACGGCGGCCTTGATCTCCGCCAAGGCCTGGGCCCCGCCGTCGCGGAGGATGGTCTCGACTGTCTGTTGGAGGTGGACCTTGCTGCGGCGGTGGTGAGTGGCGTCACGCTGTCGCTGCTTCTTCTGGATCTCCTCCACCAGCTTCTGGCGACCCTCATTCCAGCGCTTGTCGAACCGATCACACACATCGGGGAACGCCTGAGAGACAGACAGACAGACAGACAGAGAGGTGTGCAGGGCAGGGCAGGGGGGAGAGGGAGGGTGTTGGTGTTGGTGTGTGTGCGGGTGTGTGTGTACCTGTTTGAATGCGTCGTCAGGTGGGAGTTTGAACTGCCAGTGCTGCATGCGGAACTCACCCACGGCGGATAGCATCTCCGACACCCTCTCGGAATCCATTTTCACCGCCTCCTGAAACTTGCCACGCTGCACACACACCACACACACACACCACACACCACAACACAATGCCCTTTCTCTCGGCTCATCGAATGCAGTCATGCTCGCTGACTGACCTGCACACCGGCGCCCCCCTGTCTGAGCAGCGTGAGCAGCAGGTCACGGCAGAGTGCCTCGTAGGGGTCTCTGCAGACGAGGGTCGACTTGGCGACCCAGTTGCCCATGACGACTGTGCCGAACTCCTCAAGGAACGACAGCAGCTGCGGGTCGTCGACCGAGCGGGTCAGCAGCTGCTTCATGCGCGCAAACGTCACTACCTGCAGGTGCGTCAAGACCTTCTGAACCTGACATCCATCCCATACACACACAAAGAGACGATGTGGCGCGTGATGCCGAATGCTGTGTAAGGGGCGGGGCAGACACGCACCTGTTGGTCGATTGTGAGTCGGGAGAGGGACAGGAAAGAGATCGGTCCTGACGCAGCATCGGCCTGCCCAGCAGCAGCAGCAGAGGTGCCGCCAGGCGCCCCTCCCTCGCCACACGCACATAGAGCGTTGAGGTAGGGTTCGACAGCCGGCAGGAAGGCCACCTCTGGCGGCGGCTTCAAGTCGGTATCCTCGTCCTCCAGCTGCTCGTCGCCATCGCTCAGCGTCAGATCTTCCTCAACGTACTCAACCTCCACCATCGACACGTCACGCGACCCCCTCCTGCTCTTGCCGCCGGGGGGCTTCTTCTGCTGCTTCTTCGGCGGCTCCTGCTGGTGCTGGTGCTGCCGCAGACCGCGCATCAGCAGCTGTCTGTGGTAGGCCTGCCCGTCATCAGCCAGCTTACAGAGGTTGTCGAACATCTCGGCGCACTCGCCCGTGTCGCAGTCGTAGAAGTAGATGTCCTGCCAGGGCTCGGCCTCCTCCATCTCGCGCTGACGCGCCTGGGACAGCGCCAAGGCCTGCTGCTCACTGACGCTCTCGCGACGCCGATACGACACCGACACTAATGGCTTCTCCTCCTTCTCCTCCTTGACGTCTGAAGCTTCAGCCTTGGCGCCCCCAGAGGCAGAAGCAGCTGCTGCTGCCGCGCCAGCCCCCTCCTCTTGCTTGACCCTCTTCTTTCTGCTGCTGCCGGCGGTCTCCTCAGGCTGCGGCTCCTGCGCCTCGTCCGGCAGAATGGCGTCCTCAGCCGCCTTGTCGACGTGGGCAAATGAGGGCCGGAACTGGCAGACCGCACTGAGAGGCGACACGGTGAGGGAGCCGCCCCGGAGGATGCCGATGGCGTATGAGCTGTCGGTGGAGGAGCTGCCTGGTTTGGACACCAGGTGGTGCCTGGCGACAGCGTGGATGGGGTTGTCCTTGTCGTAATTGTCGGACTCGGTGTTCATCAGGTAGGACAGCCGGAGGCGGCGCTGCGTCTTCTTGATGTCGACAGTGGCCAGCTGCCCCTGGTCGCCATAGGGGCGGTAGACGGGCCGCAATGGGTACTGCAGCAGGTACAGCTCAGCGTCGGGGAGGCGGTTGATGTAGACGTCGATTTCTCGCACGATTTCGTCGTCGGCTGACTCATCGACGTCCTGCTGATCCACATCCATGGGAGCGGCCGACGGCGAGTCTTCCTCCGCCATGGCTGGGTTGTCCTCGATGCTCTGGTGGTGAGCAGCTTGTCGTTGTTGCCGAAAGCTGCGTCTACAGATCCACATCCGACATCGCAGTGAGCATGGGTGTGTGAATCATTTCGAGCTGAATGGACTCGGCTTTCTCACCTTGTTCGGGATAAGATCTCTTCCAAATGAATGATGAGCACTCGCCTTTGCTCCTCCCGCAGCAGCGGTCGCGCAGCAGTTTCAGGGAGCACCCTAGGCCGCAAAAGGCGAGCTCGCCTCCCCCAGCTGCCCAGATCTGCCTTTCTTGTGCTCTTTTCCCTTGGCGGCTGCGTCAGCATGATGGCCCTGTTGCGGATCTGCCTTGTCCTCCTTGCGCTCTCATGCATCGACGCGGCAGGCATGAAGAGCATCAAGCAGCACCCCGCAGCGCACAAGGTGCTGACCCGCTTGTCCGCGCACGTCGACAGGGTCAAGGCGCTCAAGGAGGTGAAGCTCAAAGAGGTGCCCGAGGCACTCAAGGCCGAGTTGGCGGCCCTGAAGAAGCGCGCGACAGGGACGGTCGAGCTGCCGCCGTCGTCACGCGACTTCCCCCTGCCGCCCGTCATTGATGACGTCTACGACGCCCTGGAGAACTTTCTGCGCGCGGTGGTTCGTCTGCTGCTGGGCGGCAAGAGAGGCAAGCTGACTATCGTCAAAGGCTTCAAGCCTGGCAGGTGGGTCACAGCTATGGCTGCACTGACTGAGGAAGTAATGCATGTGGGTGTGTCGTGTCGTGTCGACTTGCAGATATCTGGGTCGGTGGTATGAGGTGGCGAGCATCAAGAAGAGCTACGAGAAGGGCCTGGGCGACACGACGGCCGTCTACTCCCGCGGCAAGGGCGGAACCATCAAGGCGCGCAACGCCGGCTACACCAAGAAGGGCGTGGGCAAGCAGGTGGCCATCGAGGGAGCCGTCAACTGGCCCGCCGCCAACACCAAAGACAAGGAAGGCCGACTCACGGTGGGCAGACACAGACACACACTCCAATGGATGGATGGATGGATGGATGGAAACCAAGACACTCTGCTCTGTGTGTGGTGTGTGTCCGTGTGTGTCTGTGTGTTCAGGTGACGTTTTCGTTTCTGAAGGGTCTGGTCCGCGTGACGGCTCCGTACGTCATCATCGACCTGGGCGGAGGTGGCCCTCTGTCGTGCTTCCGCTACACCCACGCCGTTGTGTGCAACGGCCCCGCCCGCACGGCATGCTTCATCCTCTCCCGACGCAAGAAACTCCCAGACCGGCAGCTCAGGCGCATCTTCCGCAAGCTCCACGCCATGGGCTTCAACACGCGCAAGATCACTCTGACCCCGCAGCTCTACGGCATGAAGCACTGACTGAGATATATGTGGAGAGAGAGAGGGGAGAGGGGGCGAGAGAAGGGGGGGCTGGGTGATTTTTCGGGCAGATGGGCTAATTGGACGAGAGAGGGGTTGGTTGGTTGGTTTTTGTGTGTGGGTGCGTGTAGTGAGTGCGGAGTGCTTTTGGGTGTTAATTTGGTGCATGATACTATCATTCTCACGAGATGCGATTGCAGGGTGTGGTGGCTAGCTAGGACAGAAGTAGGGAAGTACAGAAGTGCCTGTAAGACGGGGGACGGGACGAGATGCTTTTACAGAGAGAAGCGATGCGATGGAACAGAGAGCCGGGGGCGCTCTGGTCTGATCGTATGCGGCCTGGTTGTCTGTCTGTCTGTCTGTCTGTGTGTGGGTATCTTGTTGTTGCTGTCTTCTGTACGGGGTTGGGGTCTGACGACCTGTGGTCAAGAACAGAGATTTTGACCAAGGATCTGTCGCCTCGACGCTGTAGGTGAGATGCAGCAAGAGACAGCACAGCACACATGACTTGTCTGTTCGCGCGATGGCCGTGGCGGGGTGCCTCTGATGATGGCAGACAGGAAGGGTGTGGTGTGTGTATGGCCAGGGGAAGTTCTCTGCATACATACGTGTATATTAGCTACTCGACCGGCGGACGTGATGACGTGACACTCTTACTTACACTTCGTCCGATCCCTCTCTCTCGACTACCAATCTCAATCGGATTGACAGCGATGTGATATGTAGGCATCGAGTCGCCCACTGAGTGAACCGCACTCAATAAACCGCAACACCCTCCCTACCTCGTCCTCGTATCATTTACACGCCCCCCCACGCCCCCACCAAACCGCCGCTGTACACAACACACATGAGCGCAAGTAGCAAAATCGCCTGACAGCCCTTTTTTTTTTCTGCAGTCAATCGCTATCGATAGACACACACATAGACAGATAAGAGACCAGAGGACGGGATGGATGCATCTTTGATGCACTCATTTCGCTTCATTGACAGACAGACAGACACGCAGAGAGACTGCTAAATGCTCGGTCGAACGAGCCATCTCGGTCACATATATCAGTCGGGTAAAGGAATCCCAGCACCATACCTCACATTACCTGAAACAGCACACGACCCACGCCATCCATATAAGTGACCATCGCTGCCACGTGACGCCTTCCTGCGCGTGCTCACTTCTCTTCGCGACGGTGTCGAGCTCAGCCACGTCGTCGGCCGTCAGCCGCCAGCCAAGAGCACCGATGTTGGAAGTCGCCTGCCGCAACCGACTCGCACCTACACACACATCCACACACACACGTGTTGGTCGGTGGCTGCCTTGTGGGTCCTGTGTGGTGTGCAGACCAGACCTGGTATGGGTATGACGCCCTTGCTCACACACCAGTTGAGGGCCACCTGTGCAGGCTGCTTGTCGTACTTGTCTGCAAGTATCCTCAGCCTGTCGATGATCGGCGCCGCCTTTGGGAGCGTCCGCCGGTACAGCAGCCGGCGGGGCCCTTTGGGGTAGTTGGATGAGTCATCGGCCGAGTACTTGCCTGTGAGGAGCCCTTGTGCCAGCGGCGAGTAGGCCAGGATCTTGACGTTCAGCTCCTTGCAGGTGTCGTAGACGGCGAGCTCTTCCATTGGTGTCCTGTATAGCAAGCTGAACCTGACGCACAAAGTGAGACAACTAGGTCTCTCTCTCTCTCTCTGTGGCCTGGCTTACTGTATCTGATTGGTTGCGAGAGGAACGTTTCTCGCGGCCAGCTTGGCGTGCACTTTGCGCAGCATGTCTGAGCCATAGTTGCTCTGAGGAAAGAAAAACACACAGACAGACAGAGGCCTCCAGCGAGAGAGGTGCAGTGCCTGTGCGCACGAGTGCCTCTCTCCCGTGTGCATCGCGATGCCTACCACGCCAACAGCCCGCACCAATCCCTGCTCATAGCAATCTGCGCAAAAAAAAGCGACACGAAACGACTTCGTTCCCGAGCGCGTTCACACGATGGGGCGGCCCCTGTCTGTGTGTGGATTCCCTTCGCACCTGCGAGGCCGTCCCAGTAAGCCTCATTCTGCCACACCCCTGCAGGCAGGCCGAATCCCCCCCACAGCACATGGGATGAGCTGATGTCCACGTATTAAGTGTGTGTGCGTCAAAGCACCTGGGAAGTGTATCTGGTAGAGGTCAATCTGTGTCCTCCCCAGCCTCGCGAGCGAATCCCGACAAGCCTCGACCACAGCACGGCGACCCACACGCCACTGACACACACACAGCAAGCGGGCAGACAGATACCCACACATCGCGCCCTCCCGCATAGCCAGCCATCATGGTGGGCTTCCCACCGGCAATGGAGCGAATTTCGTCGCGACGATGGGTTTGGTCTTCTCTCTTGGCGGCTCACTCGGCGTGTTCGTCAGGTAGACCTTCTCGAAGTTGCCGAGAAGCCTCTCCGACTTGCCGAGGCCGTAGACCTGATGGATGCAATCAACAACCAGGCAGACCATGATTGACGCGATGCGCCGATCTATCCAGGTCTTTCACACCTCTGCTGTGTCGACCAGGGTGATGCCGCTGTCCATGCACGTGTCAAATATACCCTGTGCACCCAGACAGACAGACAGACAGCGTGTTGCGAAACCAATGTATGTCAGTTCAGGTGAGTCACCTGCAGCTCCGGGTCCATGTCGGGGGAGTAGCTCCAGTAACCGAACGAGTCGCCCCACTGCCATGCGCCAACCCCTGCACACACAGACGCGCTGCCATCTTTGTGATAACACACTCATTCTGCCTAGGTACCCATTGGCGGCACTTTGAGTCCTCCGGCCAGCGTTATCTGCTCCTCTTGGAAAGAGATCCCCGACCCGGCCTTGTCGTTCGCAACAGACACCGCATCCACTGTAGCAGCTGCTGCTGCTGCTGCTGACGCGCGTGGCTGCTGAAAAGCACTGCCGCACGATACCTTCCTTTTCGGGCCAACAGATGGGACGAACGACGACAAGTGGGAAGACCACGATGGATGAAGTAGGAGAAGAGCTGTCCAGATCAACAGATGCACAGCCACTGCCCCACTGGATCTTACCAGCGGCGTGGCTGTGCGCTCGAATGAGAGATGGGCCATGCTGCAGCGCTGACAGGCCGCCAACGGCAGACCGCAACAAAGGCTGCTTGAAACGTGACAGCAGCTGTGCCAAACCTCGCGATGTGCAGGGCCAAACCTCGCGATGTGCAGGGTTTCTTAGGGTATTGGGTTCATCAAAACGATCCCTAGAGAAGGGGTGGTCTGTCGGAGTTTCGGTGAAGGAAGCGCTCCACGCGAGCGATAAGAGCGCGTTCGTGCCTGCCAGCCACCATAACATTCATCGCTCCCATTCCGCTTCCATCGCTACCTCTTGTGTTACCTGACATCGCCGCCGGCTCTCGGTGAGCAGCGCACTGAATGCATGCAGCCAGGAGGGCCGCAGAGAGGCAGGAACAACATCAGGGTGCATGCCTGCCTGATGGGCCAGGGGTCAATTCTGAGCGGTCCACAAGAATGCATTGTGGTGCTGTGTGTGTGGCGCAGGTGCCGCTTTGGTTGTAGACTTGACTGTTGAAGATGGCTGACCCCGTAGGGCTGGCCATGTCTGGGATGAACCGTCGGCAGAACGCGAACCACCCGGAGGATCAGGAGCCCTCGTACAACGGTAGGAGAGGGGAGGGAGGCACATGGGCGGGCATTTGAGGGAGGCGGGGGATTGGGTGGGTGACTGAGTGGTCCATGTGCTGTGTGTGATGTGTGTGATGTTGTGTGTGGTGTTCAGGTCCCTTGAAGGTCGAGTTGCGTTTGGAGCAGAAGGCGCTGCCCCAGAACCGACAGATGGAGCTCTTCGCCGTGGTCGAACTCAAGCAGCCCAACAAAGACCATGACAAGAAGAAATTCGCCGGCAAAAAGGTAGGTAACCACACACACACACACCCTCTCACCCGCACACAATCCCTTGTCTGTGTCGGTCCTTCAGCGTTCCATTGAGGACGGGCCTGCCCCTGCGGCGGCTGCAGCTGCAGCTGCTGCCACAGGCACGAACAACTCGACCACTGACGAGGAGCTGCCTGAGGAGGAGGGTGGCATCGAGGGTGTGCCGATGGATTTGGTGTGCGTGCTGGACATCAGCGACTCCATGTGTGGGCCGAAGCTGGACAGCGTCCGCGAGACCATGGACTACATCATCCAACACGCTATGAAGGAGACTGACCGGTGGGGGTGGAGGCGGGCGACGCCAGGAATACCTTATCTTATCTCTCTCTCTCTCTCTCTGTGTGTGTGTGTGTGTGTGTCAGTTTGGGCATAGTGATGTTCGACTCGGTGGCCGAGGTGCTGCTGCCGCTCAAGAATATGACACCCGAGAACAAGTCGGCGGCCATGGTCAACGGTATGCAATCAACTCACACACACATGGACACCCACACGCACACATGGATGGATGGGTGGATGAATGTGTGTGTCAGTTATGCGTTTGGCGTCTCGCGCAGCACCAAGAACTTCGTCTCGTCCATCTTCATGATCACAGACGGCCAGGTGTGTACGCCACATGAGCACACCACCACACACACACACTCATCGATGTCAATGGTGCGTGTGCAGGACAGCACGTCGCCCCAGCAGGTGCAGTCGTTGTCGCGCCGTTCGATGATGATGGGCACCTCATTCTACCCATTCGGTCTGGGGAGAGCAGCGCACCAGCACCAGCACCACACACACATGCACGCACACGCACACGCACTCGTGTGTGTTGTGTTGTCTGTCCGTCTGTGTGTGTCTGCCTGCCTGCCTGCCTCTCTGTGTGTGTGTGTTAGTGATCGGTTCTGACCACAACCAGAACATCATGTCCAAATTCGCGGAACTCCACAGCACCACATCCACCACAATAGAGGTACCTACCACATCACATGGACCTCACTAACTATGTGGCACACAACACACAGACGATATATAGCGCCAAGCATACAGCACAACACAGCACAGGACGTCTATATATCGTCAGGACGTCAATAACTTATCGGAGCAGGTGGTAGCGCAGTTCTACAATGTGGTATGTCATGCTGCCAACACACACATGGCACACACGACACACAGACAGGGAAATGGCCTCTCTCTCTCTCTCCCTCTCTCTCTGTGTGTGTGTGTGTGTGTGCGTGTGTGCAGCGTGAGACGACTCTGAAGGACATCGAACTCGAATTCAAGTTGGAGGCGAGAATGACCCCCCCACACACGCGCACACATAGACACAAACACCGTGTGGATTGATGTGTGTGTTTATGCGTCCAGGCGACTGGTAGGGACAAGACGTTGATCAAGACTTTGCACATCGACTACCCCAACGAGATCAGCAGGGACAAGAAAAGCGCCACCATCAGGATACCGAGCCTCCTCAAAGGTGTGTGTGGGAGGGAGAGGGCACAGACAGCCCAGCAAACCACACACACCTTCCCCACCTCCCCTCTCTCTCTGTCTCTCTCTCTCTCTCTGTTCTCATCAGCTGAGTATCGCATCCTTCTGATCGAGTTGGAGGTGCCTGAGGAGTCCTTCTCGACTGACAAGGTAGGTCAGCCACCCACCCACCCACCCGTCTGCCTGCGTCTCTCTCCCTCTCTCTCCCATGTATTTATTCTATCTGTGCAGAGCACCCGCATCTTGTCGGTGAGCGGCAACTACAGCGACATGAGAGGCCCCAAGCTCCTCTCACTCACCCGAATCGTCGAGGCGTAGCCAGACGCTGAGGATGACGAGGGAGAGGGGGAGGGGGAGGACGTGCCCGAGAGCAAGAAACTGCGCCGGGAGTGATCAGCAGATAGAGATAGAGCGGGGGTGGGGTGGGTTGTGGGCGTGCGGCTTGATGGATGGATGGATGGACGGTCCCACTCGACAATTTCTTTTTTTTCGGATGGACGAAGGACGGATGAATGCATGACATCTCAATGGTAGCGTCGTCCATGCCTTTGCAAGCTCATGAATAATTTCTTCCTGTGTGACCTTCACACCAAGTCAAAAAGCCAGTCCCTTGCACCCAATGTACAACAACACTAAAGCTGCAGAGAGGCCCTCCCCTCCCCTCCCCATGCGGCAGTCACGCCCCTTTGACTTCGTCTTGTCCATTGCCGTTCTGGTCCTGGCCATCTGTGGTGGGGAGCTTTCTGACGACCTTGCAGGGCACTCCCACAGCCACGCAGTCTGGCGGAATGCTCTTGGTCACCACACTGCCCGCGCCTATCACAGAGTTTCTGCAACCGTCGTGCGTGACACAGACCACAGTCAACAACGACTGTGCACTGCACGTGTGTGCGCAAATACATGCAAAGCCGACCTGCCGATCGTGACGCCGGGCATGACGCACACGCGGCCGCCGACCCACACATTGTCCTCAATGGTGATGGGCTGACCATACCTGAACAGGGACATCAAACAAACAGCAAAGAACTCTGTGCAGGATGGGGTTGGCGGGCTGGGCTGCTCACTCACTCACTCGAGCTTGTCTTTGCGTTGCTGTGGGTCAAGAGGGTGGCCTGCATTCGTGGAATGCAGACAGACACACCATGGCAACACACCAGTAAGTCATCCATTTCTGTCGCCCCTCTGCGTATCGATGGATGGATGGATGGATGCACCCACCTCACCCCACCCCACCCCACCCCACCTCACCTGCTGTGTAGATGTGCACGCCCGGACCGAACTTGACAAACGAGCCGATCTTCACGGGCGCCACGTCAAGAATGACCGTGTCGTAGTTCATATACACATCTGACATAAAAACATACATGGACAGCACAGTGGCAGGCAGCGAGGGAGGAATCATTCTCTCAGCCTACATACCCCTGCCAAGCTCCGTGTTGAAGCCATAGTCCACCCGGAGCGGCGGCTCGATGAAGCTCCCCTCACCGACAGCCCCGAACAGCATCCGCAGGAGGGGCATGTTGGCCGCGGCGCTCACGTCAGCCGCTCGGCGGTTGTTGTAGGCCTCACAGATGATCTGCAAAGCAAGCAGCGTGGTTGATAGATCCGCATGGGGCGATTGTGTGCCTGCCTGCCGTCACTCACCTTGGCTTCTCTGAGGCCTGAATTGAGCAGCTCGTCCACTCTGTACAGCTCCCCCGACACCTGAAATGACCACACCACAGTAGAACGAAGCAAAGCCAGCAGCTGCAGGCAGAGATGCCATCGGTGAGATCTTCTTCGTCTACCATCTTTCGAAACTCTTCGTTTTCGAAGCGTCGCCTCCGCGAAGCACCATCCTTCTCACGTATGAGATCCATCTTGTGGGTTGCAGGGTTGAGGTTACAGGGTTTGCAACCCTGCCGATGCAGCGCACACCACACACAATAACCAAACCAAACACCAGGTTTTTTTGGCTTTCGCTCGAAGCTTAGACACGATGAGTGAGGCGGAAGCAGAGCGGGAGGGAGAAGCGGAAGGAGGAGCTCATCGCAGCGGTCCCTCCAGTGGTGCTCGCTCCTATAGGGCTCATCCGTACCAAGGACCATACAACAGAGGCTCGGCTGACTCGGCGGGGCCAGCAGAGCAACCGGCGGAGGGCCAGGGCGATGCGGCAGCAAACAACACCACCAGCACCCACCTCAACATCAGGATCAACATGCAGCTTCTCGTAGGGGTCGACACCTGGGTGAGCGGAACGGAAAGATACGTGACTGCAATTCGGGTGACCGGAATGATACGTGTGTGTGTGTGTGCACAGGTATCAGGGACGCCCACACTGCATTTCAACATACGGTGAGCAGACACCGGCACACGCGGAGGGCAGGGCAGGGCAGGCCAGGCCAGGCCCCCCTATGGTGCGACCGGTCAATGCACTGCAGGCGGACCACTGCGCTGTGTCGCATGTTCGGCATCTACCTGGGCCGGCTGAGCGTGCCTCCCGAGCTGGAGCCCGGCCTGCACTACATGTGCGAATTCAACTACTTCGCCACCGACGGGCGGACACACACATTCACTAGCGAGACTAGCGTGACTGGCGGGGAGGTGGGCATGGCTGACGGTGACACGATCTACGCCAGACCGACGCCCGGCTCGGCACTGGTAAGCCACACGAGATGGATGGATGGATGGATGGAAGCGGGTGTCCGTGTGTGTGGACATTCCTCTCTCTCTCTCTCTCTCTGTGTGTGTGTGTGTGTGTGTGTGTGGTATAGGATATGTGGCTGCGTGAGAGAGAGAGGGACGAAGGTGACGTGCCGCAAGGGGGCATGCCGCAACCGGCAGACGGTCAGCATCACCTCACCACCACACACAGCAGAATGAAGGACTCATCAAAATGACCGGTCCCCCTTTCTTGCCCGCATTGGTTGGTTGCAGAGTCTGCCTCTCTGTCAGTGTTGATCAAGACCAGCAGGCTCTTCGCCTACGGCTGCGAGGCCACCACTGACGCCGACGGCAAGCTAGAGACCACCGCGGGATCGTCATCCTCTCCGGTGGAGAGGACCGCGGCTGCAGCAGCGAGCGCGTCGTCCCTGGCCGAGCGGACGGACCAGGACACGTGCTCGATATGCCTCGACACATTCGCCACAGGACAGGTGTGTGCCTCGTTTGATTGGGTCAGACAGACAGACAGACAGACACAACGACAGATGCTCTCATGAAGTCTCATCTCATTCATTGAGTCTCTGCAGGTGGTACGGCGGATTTTGAAGTGTGGTCACCAGTGGCATGCCGAGTGCGTCGACCCGCACTTTGCCCTCAAGGCGCACTGCCCGGTGTGCCGGCTAGACCTGAGGGAGGCCGCTGTCGAACAGCAGAATCAGGCGGGGGGCAAAGGGGGCGATGCGCAGCATTGACTGACCGACAGGCAGGGGCAGAAACCTTCCGCATGAGCATGATCCAATAAGCGGAAGTTTCTCAGTGAATGCGTGTAAGAAGCTCATGAGCAAGGCCTTCCTTCGCCATCCACACACGAGCCAGTGGATGGAGATGGGGGACAGACACAGCACATAAGCTGGCCAATTGGTCAGAAAAGACTGTATGAGGGCCGGCGAATTCAGGTCTTTGCTCATTGTCACTGTTGCCAGTGTTGAATGCATTGGCGGGCAGCAAAAGAGTCATCAGGCAGGCAGATAGACACAGGCGATGCACGAACGCCGTCAAAACGATCAGAGCCTTCCTTTGCACTGTTGTTCGGCCATGGACGGTGCCGTCCAGACACCAGGCAGGCAGGCAGTCAGGCAGGCAAGAGCCACACAGGCAGGCAGACACACAGGCACCCCTGCAAAAGGCCGACAAACGGCAGGAAGGGAAAAGCGGTCATCACTCAGTTCACTGATCTGCTCATTAGCTGAACTGCCAAACATCTCCCTATATATGCATCCCTCCCTCCCTATATTCCACTCACAAGTAGCCATGCCTGCCTGCCTGCCTGCCTCCTTCATTTGGGGAGCAGCATCTCGCGCAGGAAGGTCCTCTGTGCATTCTTGTCGTTGGCCTTGGGCATCCGGACGCCCCGGCGCCCCGCTTCCACCCTGTACTCGCTGCAGAGCGCCGCCACCGACTCGGCCGGGAGGCTGTTGACGAAGGCCAGGCGGTCGTCGGTCTTGAGAGTGAAGGTGGCGACCTTGACGTTGCTCTTGATGCTCATCTCGCACTCCTCGTCATGGCCGTCTGTGTTGGTCGTCAGGGACAGCTGCACGGCGTAGTAGCTGACCTTGCTGAGGGTGGCCAGCTTAATGGGCGGCGGGATCACCGTTTTGTACTCGTTGCTGGGTGCCGTGTCGTCAGCAGCAGAGCTGACGGAGCACTCGGCCGGCTGCAGGGTCACCCGCTTAAGCAGCTTGTCGCCACGGACCAGCTGAGGGTGCTGCGATTCGTCGGATGCGTCAGTGTCGTCATCATAGGGGCCGTAGATGGACACCTCAAACTCCTCCCCCTTCTTCGGCTTGGGCCCGCAGAACCACAAGCACTCAATGCAGTTGCGCGACAGGAACGCCTTGGCCGACAGCAGATCCACTCGCGGCGCCCTCGACCCGAACTCGGGCTTGGCTGCTGCTGCTGCTGCTGCCTTTGCCTTGGCTCCCACTGTCATCTTGACCCTCTTTTTGTCGCGAGACTCCGCCTCATCCAGGTTGACGGGGCTGCCCGCCGCAATGCCGCCGCCACCAGCGGCCCCCCCTTTGGCACCACCGAACAAGAAGGGCGATGGAGGGCGGCCGCGGAAGTAATCGAAGGTCGACGGGCGGGAGGGCCGGGGGAAGCCGGTGAAGCCGGCAGGCTGTGCGAATCCGCTGAAGACGAAGGGAGATGGAGAGGGGGAGCCGCCCACGGGGACACCAGCAGCAGCTGCTGCTGCAGCGGCAGCGTGAGCCGTCTGCTTGGGCCTGACGTGGGGCTGTCGAGAGGCCGTGCTTGGTGCAGCAGCTGCTGCTGGGCCCTTGGCGAACGGCGGACGGAGCTGCCCTGGGATGTGGGGGGTGCGGTGGCCGAAGTGGGGTGATGGTGTTGCGGAGGGGTGGGCGACCAGGCCTGAATGGGCTGGTGGGGGAGGGCGTGGCGAGCCGACGGCCTTGCAGGGGTGGTACTGAATGATGCATGCGACATACATACACACACACACACACCACACGCACAGATGCGGATCAGTGGATCAACGCATGCAGGTGGCTGGCTGCAGCGATGCGGTGCTTACTCTTGTCTTCTCGTGGAAGGCCTGTCTGCATGCCGCGTACGACTCGTTGACCTGAACACACAGACACACGCACAGACAGACAGACAGACAGACACGAAATAGAGAGTTTTTTCTATCAACAGCTCTTTGTCTACCCACCCTCCGGCCGACCTACCCGAGTGATTGCCTGTGTTGCTTCCTGCTTCTCACTCGCTGGCGCCTCCTCGAAGTTGATCTTGTCGGGATGGACCATCAGCTGCAGCTTCCTGTGGTTCGCCTTCACCTGACACACACAATCACACACACAACAGACAAATATGCAGTCATGGGGGACCCCGTTGTGTGCCCCCGTCTCCCCAGTTAGTCTCACCATTTCGTCCGTCGCGAACCGTGCGTCAAGGCCGAGCACCCAAAAGTGGTATTGCTCGCCACGGGGCAGCCGGTTGACCCACCGGACGACCGCCATCTGATCACGATGCTTCCGCGCGCGCTCGTGACGCTCCTTCTCAGCTTGGTGCTGGCACACACACCCAGAGAGAGATCCATGTGTGTTGTGTGTTGGATTGTACGGCATTGCGTGTGTGGTGTGGGGCCCCACCTACCTTTCGTCGCTTCTCTGCCTCAGGGTCTTCGCCGAGTGCCTTCTGCCTGCTCATGTCGTATTCGTCCTTGGCGGATGTGAGCAGCATGAACGCCTCACGCACAGGGGGAACCCGCAGGTGCTCCTCAAAAAGGCCCTTCAACGTCGTGTGACAAAACACCACCTGAACCACATCCATCCATCCATCCATTTGTGCGGGCGGCCCTGCCCACCCACCTGTTCCTCTGGTGTGTCTTCGGCCAGCCCCAGGAGGCTCTGCACCGATACCGCATCGCTGCTGAGCGAGTGAATGCGCATAAGGTTCTCAAACACGGTGTCGTTGAGGGCCAGGAGGGTCTCCACCGATGCGTCGAGGAGCCCAGTGGCGCGGTCGCGCTCCTCATCGTCGGTGTGGTCCTGGATGGCCGACCGCACGAGCGATGCCTGGGCCGTGACAAAGCTGCGCAGCTCCTTGACAGTGCGGTCCACGGGGAAAGCCACGCGACTCCCTGACCAAACGAACAAGCGAACGAACGAACAACACGTCATTCCATCACTTAACGCATTGCATTCCGTGTGTGGGATGTGTGTGTGGCTGCACACTCACCTAGGCCAAGGTATGCGATAGCGTTCTCATCCCTCTCCCTCAGGATGGCACCAACGGTCTCGCCCGCATCGATGGCGGGCTTCCCAGCTGCACCGGCTCCCAAAGCCGCAGCAGCCGCAGCAGAAGCAGCAGCGGCGGCGGCGGCGGCGGCGGCACATGCCTCCTCTCCCTGGGCGGCCTCCTCAGGCACTGGGCTTGCCACTGGACCTTCATCTGGAGGGTGGACGTGGAGGCCGCTGGGTGACATGCCCATCCCCTCCTGCTGCTGCCTGGGCTCCTCGTCCGAGCCGTGCTCGGGGGGCGCCTCTGGTGTCTGCTCGTCTTCCTGACGAGGCTCCGTCACAGCTTTCGTGTGGTCCTTCTCGGCCTCTGCCGCCTGCTGGGGGGCCTCATATAGCGGCTCTGGCGATGCCTGCTCGCCAGAGTGGTCTCCCTCTTGTGGCTCCTGCTGCCGCACTGTCGGCTGCGTCTCCTGAGGCTCCTCGGCCGGGAGGTGCTTCGCTCTGTCGGGCGAAGGAGCGCCTCTCTGGTCAGCTGGAGGGATGGGTGGCGGCGGGCCAGGGGAAGTCGCCGCAGCAGCTGGGTCAGACGCCGCTGGCTGCGGGATGTGTGGCGGTCGGGGAGGAGGTGGGGGTGGGGGCGAGGGCATGTCGCCCCCGTAGCCGTCGTACCTCTGCTGGTGAGCCATCTCATCCAGATGCCGCTGGAGGCTGGGGTCGGCCGACCGGAGCCCTCCCATCCCTCCCGGGCTTCCGTCCCCACGTGCCACCTTCCTGGCCTTCCCGGCAGGCGAACGCCGGCCTCTGCCTCGCCCACCCACCTCCTCGCCCGATGAAGGTGACGCTCCCTCTTCGCCCCCGGACGAAGCATCGCCTTTCTTGCGCTTGCGGATGGGGGATGGGGTGGCCTTGGCGGCACTGCGAGGGACGCGGTCAGATGGGGTGCGGCCGCGTCGGCGTCTCGCGTGGCCCCGCTGGCGCTTGGCCTCGGCTCGTGTGAGGGGTTTGGAGGGCCCCGGGCCCTCCTCCTCCGTGATCTCGCCGTCCTCGCACTCGTCCAAGTCGTCATCGAGGTTGATCTGGTCGATCTGTTGAGGACCCTGCTTGCGGGGGAGCCGCTGCCGCTGCTTGGCACGGCCACGGCCAGGGCGGGAAGGGCCTGACGGCTGGCTCGGGGACGGCACCCCACCATCTGCACACACACAGGGAAACAAACGCATGGATCAACAGTCAGTCCGCCCACACACCGACCGTGTTGTACTCGTTCGTCTTCGGCACTCACCTCTTCTGGGTCTCGGTCTGCTGCCGCAGGAGGGTCTTCTGCCCCAATCCTCCTCTCCCTGCTCGTTTTCCTCTCCTTGCTCGTCCTCCTCCTCGTTCTCATCCTCATCGTCATCACACACAATCGGCTCCCCCGCGCGGCTGCCCTTCCCCTGCAGCATGCTGCTGGTGCTCCCGCCGTCGCCCTCATGCACTCGCTGCCTCTTGACGTTGACGTTGGCTGCGGCCGCCGCCGCCCGGCCGGGCCGCCGGGCCTCATCGCTGCTGCTGTCGACCACCTGAGCCGCGACGGAGTCTCGGGCCCGTTTGGAGGAGAGAGGGGGGAGGGGAGGGGGAGGGTACTGGTCGAGCTGCTTGACGAAGCTGCTGAGGACCTTCTGGTGATCGAATTTGACGGGAGCGTCAGGTCGGTGGTGGAGGGTGAGGAGGAAGTTGGCCTTGTCCCACCAGCAGCACTCCGCCTGGCTGAGCGTGAACAGACGACGGACGAGCTCGTCGCGCATGGTGGCTGCACGGGCCTCCGAGAGCAACGACCTGACATGACAGAGGGGGGGAATAGACACACACAAGGAACAGTCAGGGCAGGGTCGATGGATGCGATGCATGCAGCCAATCACACGTACTCAGAGATCTTGGTCTGAACTTCTGCAAACGCGGCCTCTGGACGAATCTGCAAACACGCACAGCACACACAAGGATGTATCAGTGAGATGGATGCACCCATCCATGCGGTATGATATGTGATGCATGGCCACTCTATCTACCTCTCTCTCCCGCAGCTGCATGTGTATCTCGACCACATCTTTCCTTCTCTGCGCGTCATCCTCTGCAGCACCCTCCTCCTCCTCCTCCTCCTCCTCCTGTCCCCGGCCTCTCTCCTTGGACTCAATCAACGGCACCAGCCGCCCAAACAGGTTGCGCATGCCCCGCTGAGTCAACAGCCATCTCTCCAGATCCGCCAGCCTTGTCCTACTCGCCAGGAAGTCGTTCTTGGACATCGGGGCGGCATTCGCTGCAGCGCTCGCGGGCTCGGCGCTGTCTTCGGCCTCCATGAAGGCCTCACTCGAGGAAGCCAGGTTGTCCGGTGCTCCCGAGACGCTGAAGGCCCCGTTGCTTATAGCGACTTCGAGCAAAGCAGAATCCCTCTACCTCACTGCGGCCTGCGTGCCACGAGCGGTGCGTGAAGCTTTTCCCTTTTCCCTTTTCAACTGCGAGCTCCCCATCGTTTGCGAGCTTAGCTCTGATGAAGATCTGGGAGCAGCACCAGCACGGCTAGGCCAGCAGCCTCTGGATTCAGCCGTTCATCTTTGTATCTCGAACAAGGAAGCTCATTCTTCTTCGACTCAGCTTTGAGCTTTGGTGATGATGAGTGGCTCAATTGGAGGGATCTCATCGCAAGCATGAAGATTATGCATTCCTCTCCCGCCATAGCCCTAGTCCTCGCCCTCTCTCTCACCTCTGTTCGCGCCTTCGCGCCGCAACCCACGCAAATACCTCGGCTGCTGTCGCGCAACCATGCCTCACGGGTCCGCCAGGCCAGCCAGGGGCCTCTTAGGGCGCCAGCTGGTGTGCGGCTGATGGCGCTGGATGAGGCGACGGGCGGTGGTGGGTCGATTGACCCACAGACCATTGCCCTGATTGCGTCCCCCCTCGTGGCTGCGGCGTTTGCCTTCGCTTTTGCCTTCACCAATGAGAAGCAGAAACTCGCGGATGCAGGTGGGCTGTTCTGGGCAGGGTGGGCAGCGAAATGGAGGGCACCTGTCTGTGTGAGTTGAGTAGGTGTGGAGGTAAAGGATTTCGTCCCGTCGGTGTCGTTGACGGAGAACGGCAAGATCCAAAGCAAGCTGAGGAGCGTGCGGCTGCCAAGCGGCTTCGAGGCGCTGCTGATCTCCGACCCCAACGTGCCCAACCCCACTGCATGCCTGGCCCTCAAGGCCGGACAGTGGGAGGAACCGGCCTACGCGAGCGGACTCGCGCACCTCTGCGAACACATGCTCTGGGGAGGAGATATCATGGTCAGGGAGGGGGGGGCGGGCAGCACACAGACTCACATATGCCCATACGAAGCGGTGTGTGTCTGCGTGTCTGTCTGGTTGCTTCTGTGCGATCTTCCGTCAGTCAAAGGCGGCGTGGACGGAGGCGCTGACGCGGCCGCGGACGACGTCGTATGGGATGGTGATGAGCGACGTGCGGCCGGGCCCCGGCAACAAGGACAAGATCACACAGCCGCTGCAGACACTGGCGCAGCAGTTCTACGACACGTTCTTTGTTGACGAAGTCGTTATCAAAGAGGTGAGTGGTGCCACTGCTTCCGTGTGTGTGGGCGGCGGAATGGATGGATGGATGGATGGCGCTGGTGTGTGTGTGTGTGTGTGCAGATGAAGGTGCTCGACAGCGAGTTCAAGTTCTTCAAGTCCAACGACGCCAACAGGATTGGCAATCTCTTCAGGGACAAAACCGCCAACCCCAAGCACCCTTTCGCCAGGTACACTCACTCACACATACATCTGGCGACGAAAGGCAGGCCACATCTGTGTCTGTCTGCCTTCTGGTTGACCAGGTTTGGTATCGGCAACGCGCGGACTCTCTCATCGTCCGGCAAGAACCCCACAGACGAGCTGCAGGGCTTCTACGACGAGTGGTACAGCGCCAACCTGATGCGCCTTGTCGTCGCCAGCAGGGAAGACCTCAGCACCATGCAGGACTGGGTCATCCGCTACTTCAGCGAGATCCCCAACCGCAACGCGCCAGAATCGCTGTCATATGACGACATGTCGCCATTTGACCCCACTAAGACAGGTGCGCCACACACACGACGAGAGTTCTGATGTATTGTGCTCTTCCACTCACCCAGGCAATCTGTTCCGTGTGGTGCCCGTGGCCAAGAACAAGCGCACCATCCAGTTCTACATCCCCTTCGAGGCCCCGCGCGGCAGCGAATACGCCGAGTCCAAGCCATGGCGGTTCCTGGAGGCCATCATGAACGTCGATGACCCTTCCGTGAGCAAGTACATCGAGGAGCGCCGCAGCGAGGGGATCCTCCTGCGGTCGCCCTTTGGCTTCTTCGGCATCACGCTCACCCTCACGCCTCAGGCGGAGAGGGACCCCAAGGCCGTCGAAGAAGTGCTTGGGTGAGTGTTGTGTTTGTGCGTGCAGATGCAGGGTGTGCGTGTCCGTGGGTCATGCGTGTGTGTGTTGATTTGTGTGTGCAGGTCGATCTATCGTCGGCTGTCTAATTTCCGGCCGGGGCAGAAGAGCCCTGATACGGGTGGGTCGGTGGGTCGGTGGTGTGGGCGAACACAAAAGCACTTGTATGTGTCCTGTCCGCCCCTGCAATCTATCTCTGTTTTGTGTGGTGGTTGGCCTATCATCTGCAGATTTTGAGAGGGAGATTGACCAGCTGTTCGGTCAGTTCCGCACGCCGCAGCCCATCTTTGACGACTTTGATATGGCGCCACTCGACAGGCCCTACACACTCGTCCGACGGGTAGGGAGGGACACCAACACAGGCCAGTGCACCGCACCCAACACAGACAGGCTTCCCTTCCACGATCCTCTTCCCTGTGTCCGGGTTATCCCACGAGCAGATTGCGCAGGACTTCCTGGATGTGTCAGCCGAGGAGGCCATCACCGACTCCCAGACAGTCAGGTGGGACCGCGCCATCCTCTCCAGGTTCGTCGAGCGGTACATGACGCCGCAAAACAGCCAAATATTCGTCGCCATGCCCACATACGAAGCACAGGTCGGACACATAAGAGGGAGCAACACATCCACACTCATACGGCTGCTGGTTTCCCCAATTCAGGCGCTGTCGAAGACCGCGAAAAGGGATGGCTGGCAGGAGGACGACATATTCGGCTCCTTCTACAAGCAGGAGCCCCTTCCGAAGTCAATCATCCAGGCTTTCAATCAGGGCGTCACGGAGACGTCCATGCCAGCGCCTGCGGCCACGCCAGACACCACACAAGAGCCTGCAAAAGCCCCCGCTACCCCTGCCGCCAAGGCGCCGTCAGCAACACCTGCAGCTGCGAAGGAGGAGGTAATGGTCTGACTACAGCACACGAGCAGAGCGACACATTGCAGCTGTGCATTGCCCGTGTGGGGCATGTCATGTGTGTCAGGCCGTCAAGGGCCCGGGTGTGTACAAGGTGGTAGACCAGGCGGGCATCAGGGGCTACCTCGGCTGGGGTGTCAGCGAGGAGGGCGAAGAAAGCGACCGTGTGGAGGGCCGCGTCATGCTCCAGCTCAGCGAGCCCCTCCCCCTCTCCCCCACAGACACCGCCAGGCAGTCTCTGCCCTTCCCCGGCGATGCAGACCGGTCCGCCCCGCTCCCATCCATCGCATCACACCTCGTCTCGGCCGTGCTAGAAGACCTTCTCTCGCAAGATGATTCGCTCGACCGGCTGTCGATACAGCCTAAGGGCACAGCAGGGGTGGCTGGGGAGGGGCTGGAGGTGTCTTTCTCGGGACCGGGGGGCGTGGCGGATGTCGCCAGCCTGCTGGAGGGCGTCAGGGAGGTGCTTGCTAAGGGTGATAGAGACAAGATGGAGAGGGCTTTCGAGCGGGCGAAGGGGCGGTTGTTGGATGAGGTGCGGGAGTTGTGTGCGCGGCGTCCGCAGTACCTGTCGGACATTCAGCGGCGGTCGGCTGTGAGGGAGGTGCTATCGCCTCAGGCAGCGATACCCGAAGAGATGCTGCCCATTCTGGTGAGGAAACATACATACCCGAGAAGACTCGTGGATCCGTTCTGTCTGTTTGTCCATGTGTGTCGTGTGTGTGTGTGTGTTTTCCAGGAGGGTGACAGGGTATCTTTCGGGTGGTTCACGTCGCTCCTCCCCCGCTGGACCAGCCTCTCGTCCGCAGCGATCCTCCTACACATCAACGATCCACGGCCAACAGTCAGGACGCGCCTCATCGACTCGCTCTCGCGTGCAGCCAAGGTGCTGGAGCCATCAGTTGCGCCAGCTGCAGCTCCTGTCAGCGCGCCTCTAGACTACCTGAGGGCGCCGCTGGGCGAGGATGGACTTGCCTATGAGAGGGAGTGCCGGTCTGTTGGCGATGAGAACGCCATGGCTGAGGTGGTCTTCCAAATCATACCTGAGGACCTTTGGAGCCAAAAAGAGGTGAGAATGGACAGACAGACAGACAGACAGACAGAGGGAGGGTGGGAGGGGATCATGGTGAGTGTTTGTGCAGTGGGTGGGGCAGAAGGGCGAGAGCCCCTGCAGCGTGCCGGTCAACGTGGAGGCTGTTCTTCGTGTGGTCCGCTACACCATGGTCGACTCACTGCGCAGAGTCATCAGGGAACAGATGCAATACGGGTAAACCAAGCCACCCACCCCACCGACCCATCGATCCCTCTCTTGTGTCAACATGCAGGTACGTCGTCTCATCATGGCTGGAGCCGCTGGGCGCCTCCTACCTTCTCCGGCTGACCGTCGTCTCGTCGACAGCCCCACCCTCTACCCTCACAGCGGCTATCGAGCAGTGGCTGTCGACATACGAGGCCAGCGACCTCACTGACGAGGCCATCCGGTCGGCAGTGGCCGAGTGCATGAGCAACAGGGACATGCTGGGCGACCGGGAGGGGCCGTCAAGGACGGCAGCCGACGCGCTGTGGAGGGACGTCGTCTACCAGCCCGATCGAGATGAGAGGTCCGCAACAGCACACAAACCAGCCCGTGTGTGGGTGTGTACGTGTCTCTCTGTCTGTGTGTGCAGGTGGTGTGACGTCGGCTCAGAGGTGGTGTCATCGCGGCGGGCCAGCCTAGAGTCGCTGTTGAGCGATCCCGCCAGGAGGCGGGCGCTCGTCAGCCAACCGCGAGTGGCGGAGTTCGTTCAGACATTCCTCTCGCGAAAGGCACCGTTCAGGCGGAAAGTCACCCTGCAGGTCAGCAGAACGCAGCACGATGTGAGCAGTGTGGACCACCTGGTCTCCCTCCGTGTCGTCTGTGCAGGTGTCGAATCCGAATGTGCCGCCACAGCAGCAGCAGCAGCAGCAGCAGGAGGAGGAATTGCAGAAAGAGGAAGCGCCGCTGCCCGTTGAGACACCAAGATGACGGCCGAAACCAACACACCTTCCTGCAGGTGTTTGTGAGAGGGGAGGGAGAGGTTTGTGAATGCAGTGAGCCATTTACGTTGATCGGACAGACAGACAGACAGACAGACAGGCCTGAGAGAGTGCGTGGTTTTCATGCCATCCATCCATTTTTCGGGCGCTGTTCCTTCCTTCCGTCATTGATAAGAGCTGGGTGTGGTGGGCGTTCCCTCCTTCCTCGTCTTGTGTCTCGTTCATGAATTTTTCTCTGAAGGAATGCGTTCTGCATCCATCGATCCACTGACTTGTGGATGATGAATGAATGAATGAATGAGGCCGCCACGCTGCGAGCTGAGTGCACGACGAATCTCATCTCTGGCTGCTAGTCGTCAACATTCAACTCAACCACTCAACTCAGGCAGGCACCCTAACTACAGTCCGCGAGACAGGCACACCACACACATCCCCATCCCAACGTCACGAGGTGCTACAACCACCACACTTCTCGGCGATCGACATGGGCGGCATAACCAGGCAAGTGTCGCTCATGGCAGTAGGCCGACCGCCTCATTTTCCAGTCCAAGTGACCTCAAGAGCTGCCGCACGGCGGCCACCGTAACAGGGAACCGCTCACCGACCGTCGCCCCATCCGCCACCACCGCCTCGCTCGTCCTGACCACGATTTGCCCTTCATAGAGAGACACTGACGCCACGACAGAGCCGCCACCCAGTAGCAGCCCCACAATTCGCATTGGTACGTGAAGACCTGGTGGTTCCCTCCACAATTCCACTTGCAAATCGATGACGAACATGTCAGATTTGCCGCTGAGGTCATTCTGCAGCAGGGCACGATAGCCAGCATGACGCAACCCCACTGTCACATCGAGGACGACATTACCGCGGCCCCGATAACCGAGCCGCTGCAGCAAAGTGTCGAGGGCAAACTCGCTGAAGGAGCGGTAGATATGGTGGTTCGACGAGAAGTCACAGCTGACGGGTGGGTCAGTGTCTCGACAGGTGCGACGAATGAATGGATTCAAGTGCCACAGCTCGTCTCGCCCGATGACGCGGAACCGCCTCTCTCCGAGACGATACCACTGCACCGCCCGCCTCCTGTGGTGGAGCACCCATGCCATTTGCAATCCAAATGCGACGGCAAAAAGAAGAATGAGCCCGCCAGCCAAGATGCTAAGCACCAAGGCAGCGAGCCAGCACAATATGGTCCGGTCCGAGAGCCGGCCACTGCGGACGGCATGGTAGCAATCCAACGTGCTTGACAAGAGAAGCCAAGCGCACCCCACCAGATAGAAAAAGTAAACGGCTGCAGTCAGGAGTTGCACCAGCGGACGGGTCGGCAAGGCCGCGACAAAGGTCCCCGCTCTGCCGGCCTCGGTGAGGTGAGCGCCGCCGTCCTCGGTGAGGTGAGCGTCGCCGCCGTAGACATGGCCAAATATCTTGTTAACGGCCATAGCAGCGGGCAGCCGATGGAAGCTGGCCTTGTCGGGAAGGTGAGCCGCCACTCTCTCAGCCGAGAGTACGAGGGGCAGTGGGCGACCCACACCACAGGCACTCGCCACCCTGATAAATGCGGCCATCATCCGCCACTCAGCCGCCCGCTCGATGACGTACGCACAGCGAGCGAGATACCCGAATCGCGAGAGGGATGGTGGGAGTGGAGGGGCTGCGGCATCGACGCCGCGGTCCCTCTCCACATCAATGAGGCCAGTGGGCTGCTGCTGGGCGAGGGAGCTGCTGATGCGATGAAGTAGAAACTCCTCATGGATCAGTTGAGTGCCGTAAGCCTTGCCGACCACCTGGAGCCGCACGGCATCGTCAACGGGCAGAAGGGGGATGACCACACGGGCAAAGACGTCAGCAGGGAGCCCTTGATCACCGTCAGCAATGCCAGCGACCGGCAAGGCTGAACCTGGTAATCATCATCATGATCACAGGAGGCTGACAGCATGCAGCTGACGGCCTGAGAGTGCGTTGTTGTCATGCCATTTTTCGGGCACCGTTGCAGCTGCAGCTTCATCGTCATGGTTTTTTCGGGAATCCTTTCTCCGTCAAACCTTTTCTCCGCTAGATGAAGCTCGCCCTTTGGCTCCATGGATGGCCTCCCCCCAACATCGTCCACTACGCTGCAACGGTGCATCCTCGCCTGCGAGCGCGAGCGGCACGGTCGTTTGGTGCGCCACGTCCTCCGACGACGGCCAGATCTGCGTCCGGCCAGATCTTCTCCAACAACGCAGCGGAGGGAGGAGCTTGTTTCGTTTGACGTCCAAGTCTTTGGCAAAGAACGCTCGAAACACCTGACTTGGACGTCCTCTCGTTGCCGCCAAGCCTCTCGTTTCCCTCCTGATGCTCCCCTCCGTGAGGTCATCATCAGGTGCGACCGAGCGAGCCTATGGTCCATCGTGCAGCTCTTCCTCACAATCACCGACCATGGAAGCCTGGGCGAGGCTCTGAGGGACAGGCTGCAAGTGTTTGAGGACAACCGGGGAGCCTCACTGCCCATGCCGCAAATCGGTACGCGTGTTGACTTGCCCACCCTACACACATGCCTACGCCATTTGCCGCCCAATGCAGTGCGATTGGCGCCCAGCAGGAGTGGCGGCAGGATGTCCGGCGCACTCCAAGAGCTCAGCGAAGTAAGTGGGTGCCCGACACACACAAAACGCACAAATGCCTGATGTGTGTGCATTGCGTGCGTAGGTACATGAAGAAGATGGGTATGCAGCTCAAGGAGAATCTGAAGGAGCTGCAGGAGGCCATAAGTGCTGGACTGAAGGAGGACCTTAAAGAGGTCTGCTGGGAGGGAGGCACGGCGTGATGCACAAATAAACGCGGCACAGCTCCTCCGGTGTGTGTGTGTGTGTCTTGGTGCACTGCAGGTGAGCCAGGGCATGAAGCGGATCAACGAGGCCATCAGAAAGCGATTGAAGAGGAAGCACGAGAACGGCAGAGATACCAACGACAACCACCAGAAGGTTCCCCCACAGCCATCTCGGTACACACCATTCATCTGGACACAGCATGCTGAACAGCATAGATGGTGTGTGTGTGTATGCGTGTGTGTATGCGTGTGTGTTGCATCTCTCTTATGTGTCCGACAGCAGCGACTCGCCTCCTACCAGCAACACCCGCCGAAGATTTGCTGCCGCCTGCCAGACGATACAACAACAACAACAACAACAACAACAGCAGCAGCAGCACTACAGGCTGCCGTCAGTGAGCACCAGCGGAACACAGTGTGACCAAGAGCATCAAAGGGGCAAGAATGGCCCTGAGCCTACCACTCCTTCCGTGCCTGCCAGCACACGAGCACAGCACCGAGGTACGGATGTCTCCGCACATGTCGTGTGTGTGTACGGTTGTGTGTGTGTGTGTGTGTGTGTGTGTGTGGTGTCCAAGGTTCTGTGTCCTCAGCGATGGCGGCATTTGATGAGCTGGATGCCGTGTTTGACATCTTGGATGACGAGGTGGTCACCTTCCTCCTTGGCGAAGGCGGCCCTAATGGCTCGCTCTACGCTCTCTTCGAGTTTATACTCACTAGTCCTCTGTACGAGGTGAGGCGTCTGGATCCATCCCACTTCGACTGTTCGTCGGTTAGCTCCTCGCTGTGTGTGTGACAGGCATCTGTTGCTGTATGGTGTGGGCGTGACAAGATCATGCTGCGGAGGCTCGGGGAGCTGTTTGGCTCCGCAGCGCTTCACACTGGCATCATTGAAGCTGGCTTGACCGCCACGCGAATATTGTCCTGCCTCCGCCGTTGGATGCAGAGCTATGTCGATTATGCTGTCGCCCTGGGGTACCTGAGGAGCCCTATCGACACACAAGTAAGGATCGCGAGTAGATGTCTGTATCGCGAGTGCATGTGTACCCATGCTTTTCAGATACGCACCAATGTGCTTGATGCGCTGCGATTTCTATGGGGCGATGGCGAAGCACAATTCAGGTGTGCGGTCCGCGAGTTCGTTCAGGGTTTCGTCAGCAACCTACCGGATTGGTTCTTCGTCAAGGCGGACGGAAGTGCTGCCCAGCAGCACTTCATGCGGTGTGTGCCATCATTGCCCCAGGGATTGCAGCAAGTATGAGTTCACGCACCAGGAATCATGTGAGACCCCCTCCTGCCGTACCCACCCCTGCTGTACTTCATGCAGATTCTGGTCCAGAAGGCTTTCGCCGTCTTCATTGAGATAACCCGGGACAAGAGGCCTCTTATGCACACTTTTCCCTTCTCATTGAAGACCAGCTCGCCTCATCAACGAGGAAGGCCCGAGAGACGCAGGCAAAGCTTGAGGATCAGAATCATCATATTGAGGACCTCTGCAGTGCGATTGCCAGTCGGGACCACAAGATCAAGCATCTCGCCTCATCAACGAGGAAGGCCCGAGAGACGCAGGCAAAGCTTGAGGGTCGGATAGAGGACCTCTGCGGTGCGATTGCCAGTCGGGACCACAAGATCAAGCATCTGGAGGAGAGCGTCAGCTACCACCGCCGGCTGCGAGTCAGAGGGCTGAAGTGCAAAGCAGTGGGATGCGCGGACGACCATGCGCGGCACTTCTGCTGGAAATGCCATGACGAGGACTCCGACCACCGAGCAAGCAAGTGCCCCTACAGCGTCATTGTCTATCACCAGACAAGCCGAGAGTCGGCCGAGTCGATCAAGAACGATGGGATCGACATCAGCAAGTCTAGGCCGGGCTGGGCTGGGAAGGGGTTCTATGCGGCGAAATGCATTGAGGACACGGATGGCAAGGCGCAAGGGGGGAGAGGCTGGATAGTCAAGCTGGCTTTCCACCTTGGGCGCCCATTGGAAAAATGTCGATCACTCTCTGACACGGGAAAAGCAACGGAAATTGGGGTACAGCTCAGTGATTATTACACACACCAACACGATAGAGTATGTGGTATATGATCCGCGACGTGCGGAAGTGCTCGACGACTTTCCTCGATAGAGTGCATGTCGTACTGGGTCACATGTGGCTGTTCTTTGTGGCGTGCTGACTGGCTGGCTGTATGGCATATTACATAGTGGATGTGTGGTTTTGTGTGAGGTTTGTGTGCGACTGTGCCTATCTGCTGTGTCACACGTGTTCGTCTGGGTAAAATGCTGTGTTCGCTTTTTGAGTCTTCAGCAGTTTTTTACATGTTCTTGTTGGATTAGTGTAATGGACGATGTGCAATGGACGATTCTGCCTTTATTTCCGTGTGCCGTATGAGGGCGTGCGTATCTGTGAATGGACGTTCATATCGTGCTGCGATTGACAATGAATGAATCACTAGTATGAAACGATGGAAAGCTCCCCTCGGCCAATACCGTTTACGAAAGCAGGATGTCCCGTCCGGCTCTTGCCTACTCTCTCCATGAAGAGGCAAGAGAGAGAGAGAGACAATGGCGTGCTTCACAAACACGAAAATGAGAGTGGGTAGACATGTGCAGACAGACAGATGGAACAGAGAGTGCGCGCCTCATCATTCGTTGATAAAGCTGGGTGGGCGTCCCTTGTGTGTGTCTCTTTCATGAATTTTCCTCTGAATGCGTGCGTCCTCCATCCATCCATCCATTGACGAACGGAAGCACGAACCAACGGACGGACAGTGTGATAGATAACCCTTTCAATGACATTCAGTCATATCATCGTAATGGAACCTAGTGGCCCTTCAATTGACAAAAAGCCGACCGAGACAGTGGCGTGTTTCACAAACAGGAGGACAAGGCGTCCCATGTACCCGACGATGAAAAGGCGATGCAACGCCTTTCTGCCCTCCCTCCCTGGCTGGCTGAGTGGCTGGCGTCCTTCCCGACACGAACACACAACCAAGACCATCTAACCGCACTCACGCACGCAACTGACCAAAGCGACTACGCCGATTGACAAAGAACCACTGGCCAGACAGACACCCAGCGAGCCTCAAGGCCACGGCCTCTTTTCAGCCGAGCTGTTGAGGCCGAACTGGGAGGGTCCGGCCATCCAAGCCTGTTCATTCGGTCAGGCAATCGTCAAGTGAGCCGAAGCAGCACTTCTTCTCTCCCGCCGGCACGAAGCCAGTCACGGCTCCACAGCACGCCTCGAGGCGTTGGCTGTCGTCGGGCTTCTTGCCACACTCGCACTCACGGTTGCACTCCTTCATGCACTTCTTGAAGCACGCCTTCTCCAGGAAGAAAAACGGTGCTGACAGCAGACAGAAACCGCCGGCGCACGTCGGCGGAACCTCACAGACCTCGTCACACAGCTTAGTGCGGATGGCCTGAAGAAATCCAGACAGACAGACAGACCCAATGGATGTATTATCATCAGGGGGGGTCGGTCGGTCAGGCAAAAGACTCACGCTGACGATGCCGGTGTGGATGTGATCCGGACACTCGCAGTCTCCCGAAGTGTCCTCACACGGCGGGTTATCGTAGCACCTATCACACACAGGAGAGTGTTTGTGCGTGCGTGTGGAGGTTACTTACTGAGGGTGGCTCCTGTCGATGCAGTCCGTGTCGACGTCACAATGGTCACAGCTGTCCCAGGGAGCACACGTCTGTCGGTCCGTCCTGCATGTGCCGAAGCACGCGAACTCGCCAGGCTTGCAGCAGTGGCAGCATGTCACAGGAGGCTTGTCATCGCACCCGGCTTGGCTTGCAGCCTACACACACACACACACACACACAGCAGACGACAAACAGCTTAACCATGCCTCCATCACTGGGTTCCTCTCAGCTCACCACCAAGAATGCAGCAGCGAAGAGAAGAGCAAGAGTGAACTTCATGGTGCTGCTGAGTCTGAATGCGGGCTCGTGAAGGCACTCTTTGTGACGCTTTCGTCGCGCTTGCCAAGCAGATCTCGATGCGGCGGTTGGCTTGGATGAACCCGAGATGCAATGACCTGAAGGATCCGAAGCAGCGAGACCGGGACAGAACGCCTCTCTCTAACGGATGCCGTTGCCGCCCTTCGTTGCCGGATCATGATTCTCTCTCCGCTGCGCGGATCGCCTCCCGGCTCGCGCCCAGAGGACATGACGCTTCCTGACTCATTCCAGGTGTCTGCCTCGGTTGCTGAGGCGCTTGCCCGCAAAGATGCAGTTGTCGCGCTGGAGTCGACCATCATCAGCCATGGCATGCCCTACCCAGACAACGTGACGACTGCACGGCAGGTGGAGGACGTCATTCGGCAGCACGGTGGGCGCTGATAGCTGAGAAAGGAGAGATCTTTGGTCTGCATTCATAAGCAGGGGCTTGTTTCAGGTGCCGTGCCTGCAACCATCGGCATCATGAATGGCAAGATCTGCGTCGGTGAGCTAACCGAAAATGCTCGGCAAGCAAATCGACTGCAAGCGCTTGCAGCCGAATGGGCTGTGTGATCTCGGTCTTGCCTGACAGGGATGAGTGCCGATGAGTTGGAGTCGTTCGGGCGACTCGGCCGCGAGTGCGTCAAGGTCTCACGGAGGGACATCGCCCAGGTCATCGCATCAGGTCGTCCTGGGGCGACCACAGTGGCGGCCACCATGTGGATCGCAGCCCAGTGCGGCATCCGCGTGTTCGTCACGGGAGGCATCGGTGTGCATTGCAACACACACGCTGCCAACAGGATTGCATTGCTTCCCACGTGTGTGTGCTGCTGTGATGCTTCTCAGGTGGGGTGCATCGAGGCGCGGAGGAGGTGCGAACAGAAAGAAGCACAGCATCACTGCCGAATACACCACTGACGGGTGTGTATGTGGCGGCGGTGGTCTGCAGACATGGGATGTATCGGCCGACCTGACAGAGCTGGGCCGCACGCCAGTCTGCGTCGTGTGCGCCGGGGCAAAGTCCATCCTAGACCTACCCAAGACGGTAGGCATGGCATGCAACACACGAAGAGGCCAGGCATGCCGATGCCGCCGTCTCTCTGCCACTCTGTGCCTGGATCTATCTGTGTGGGTCCGTTTGCCATCCATCCATTTTGTCAGTTGGAGTATCTCGAGACCCAGGTTCGCACATCACATGGCCGGCCGCAGCCACGCCACCGCAGCCGGTGATGGGTTCGTGTCGTGTGTGTAGGGCGTGTGTGTGGTGGGCTACGGCACAAATGACTTCCCGGCATTCTTCTCGCCGAGGTCCGGCCTACCCGTGCCTCACAGATGCGGTGCGCAACAATCACAATCCACCGAGGAGGACACAGGCATTTACACGCACTCTTGTTCACTGCCCTTCCTGCAGACACAGCTGCAGAGGTTGCCCGGCTCCTCAAAGCTCACTTTGATCTGCAGCTGTCAAGTATGTGGATGGCTCTCAGACACCAGGGCGATGTATGCCTCCCTGTGGTGTGTGTGGTGGTGCCAGGTGGGATCGTGGTCGGTGTGCCCATCCCTGAGAGCGAGGCAGCGCAGTTTGCCGATGTCGAGAAGGCCACACAACAGGCTGTGGAAGAGGCCAGGTGATCACAACCAAGCAAGCATTGGGACCATGGCTGAACGGTCGCCCTTCTCTGTGTGTGTGTGTGTGTGTGGCTTGCAGGAGTCAGTCCATTGTGGGCCGAGACGTCACGCCCTTCCTGCTGAGCAGGATCAACCAGCTCACAGGTACCTGCAGAGATACGGACCCAAAGCAACCATTAAGTCAGCCCCAGGCTTGCATGTGTGTGGGTGTGTGCAGGTGGAGCCTCCCTGGCGGCCAACATCGCCCTCATCAAGCACAACGCAGCTGTCGGTGCCCAGATCGCCACCCAACACGCACAAATGCGGCGGCAGGTGAGGAGCACCGATGCAGGCACTAACTGCGCACACAAGCGCATCTGTGTTGTTGGCGGCTTGGCAATGGACTTCATTGCACGGTGAGTGAGCTGAATGAGCCGGCCAGCATGACGATGGGATGTATGTTCGTGTCTCTTTAGGCCAGCGGACGTGAGGAGTCGCGGCGCGTCCCGCACGTCGATGCCCGGCACCCTTACGACTCATCCAGGAGGGGTCGCCAACACCATCGCCACGGCACTCCAGGCCGTGCAGTCGCGAATGCCGGCCCAGGTATGCAACACATGCATCACAAAGGCCATGGATGGATGTGCCACATGTGGCGGACTCTTCGTGCAGGAGTTTGAGGTGTCGCTGGTGTCGGCAGTGGGCAGCGACCTCATCGGCTCGTCCCTGCGGCAATCGGTGGGCGATGCGGGGTGCCTCGTGCGCATTGACGGCACGCGAAGTGCCACCTACACGGCTCTGCTTGACGGTGGTGGCGAGCTGGTGGGCGCTGTGGCCGACATGGCCATAGTCGAGAGGATGGCGCCTCACATGGTGGGTGTGGGATGAGGGGGTGCAGTGCAGGGATGTGTTTGTGTTTGTGTATATGTGTGTGTGTGGTGGTTCGGTTCAGCTGCCATGGGATCTCATTCTTTCGAGCACGCTAGTCATCTGTGACGGGAACCTGGCTCAAGGCACGATCACATCCATCTGCCAGCGATGCGCCGAGGCGTCACCACCCATACCAGGTACCAATCAACTCAACATACACACACATGATCCAGACCAGACCAGGCTCATGATCTGTCTGTTCATCCTTGACTGACGCACATGGAATGCAGTGTGGTTCGAGCCGGTGAGCATCCCCAAGTGCGTCCGAGGCCTCCCCTGCTTACCCCATTTCCACCTCATCAAACCCAACCATGACGAGCTGGCGGCCATCGTCACTAACATGGGGCAGCGGCAGCCGCAGCAGGGAACCGAGACCGACATGGCGGAAAGGATGCTGCGAAGAACAGAGGTAGGGGGAAGAAACTAAGAGGAGGGAGTTATGGTCAATCCTGTGTTTCTGTATTTCTGTGTTTCCGTGTGTGTGTCAGGCTGCCGGTTCGCGTCCCGAGCGTCACGTGCTCGTCTCGTGTGGCGCCAGAGGTGCCGTCCTTGCAACGTCGACCGCACGCACGCCACTACGGCCCGGCTCTTGTCGGCAGAGAGGTCTGACATGGCGCGCCGACCTGCCAGATGCGGCAGGCAGCGGAATGAGGGACGGTCTGGGCGTGAGGATACAGAGCTGGGGTAAGTAGGCCGACCGACCGGCCCACGTGATCGGAAAAATGATATTTTGATGCTCTGTGTGTGTGCGTGTGTGTGTTGGGGGGGGGGGGGGGGGG